TTGTGTGTATTTCACCTCCTCTCTTAAGTTTGTGTGTATTTCACCTCCTCTCCTAATGTTGACATGATTTCACCTCCTCTCCTAAGGTTGAGTGTATTTCACCTCCTCTCCTAAGGTTGAGATGGCTTCACCTCCTCTCTTAAGGTTGAGATGATTTCACCTCCTCTCCAAATGTTGTGTGTATTTCACCTCCTCTCCTCAGGTTGAGTGTATTTCACCTCCTCTCCTAATGTTGTGTGTATTTCACCTCCTCTCTTAAGGTTAAGATGATTTCATCTCCTCTCCTAAGGTTGAGATGATTTCACCTCCACTCCTAAGGTTGAGATGATTTCACCTCCTCTCCTAATGTTGTGTGTATTTCACCTCCTCTCTTAAGGTTAAGATGATTTCACCTACTCTCCTAAGGTTGAGATGATTTCACCTCCTCTCCTAAGGTTGAGATGATTTCACCTCCACTCCTAAGGTTGAGATGATTTCGCCTCCTCTCCTAAGGTTGTGTGTATTTCACCTCCTCTCCTAAGGTTGAGATGATTTCACCTCCTCTCCTAAGGTTGAGTGTATTTCACCTCCTCTCCTAAGGTTGAGATGATTTCACCTCCTCTCCTAAGGTTGAGACGATTTCACCTCCTCTCCTAAGGTTGAGTGTATTTCACCTCCTCTCCTAAGGTTGAGATGATTTCACCTCCTCTCCTAAGGTTGAGTGTATTTCACCTCCTCTTTAAGGTTGAGATGATTTCACCTCCTCTCCTAAGGTTGAGATGATTTCACCTCCTTTCCTAAGGTTGAGTGTATTTCACCTCCTCTTTAAGGTTGAGATGATTTCACCTCCTCTCTTAAAATTGAGTTGATTTCACTTGTAAGCTTTATCACCTGTTCAATACATGTTGAGACCGGTATTTTTCGAAAGGCGTTTATCTATATACAAGTTACCTTATTAGCAGAACTTACCTTTCGGTTCTATATAGTTATGTTTACGTCTCTGGTGATTCTTATTAAGATAAGGAAAGTGTGGGAAAATTCTCTGTCATAAATATGCATGCACGTTAGCAAAGGACTATTGACTCCAAGCAAGTTGAATTAATTTGACAAAAACCGGAGAAGGTCAGAAGGGAATTCTCTGACAGACTCCGATTAGAACGACCGCCTGGTCTCATGCTGAAGCGTCTGCGGGACATCAGAGCGCGTGAATCTGTGTCAGATAGACGTTTAGTCGGCTTGGGAGACGTACCATACGGGCTGATAACACAATACGTTGGGCTTTGTGATGGATGTGTGTGTGATGGGGGCTTGGATTTCGGACGTAGATTCATATCCTAAATAGGCATCTAATGAAATATAACGGGGAAAGTTCAACCAATCAGTCGAGGATAAAACCGCTGGTGTAATTCTCGGGATTATAAGAGATCGAGGAAAAGGCATGTTAATAACACGGCAATCTTGTTGGAAATCAATTAATTCTTTTGTTTTATATACCCATTCTAAACGGATAGACAAGAAGGAAATTTTAGTAATGTGAAAAGAAAACCCGCACCTTTTCGACCTGATAAATCTACAGTTGAAGTAATATCATTGTTAGTCCAGTATAATACTGTTATTCATTTCAATCTCTTGTAAAACAGCAAGTGACTGTAGCAATGCAGGTTTTCCATCAGGGAGATTAGGTGAAAAAAACACTATTTGTTAAACCAGCATCACGTCACATGTCTAAAGCCACGCAATACTTTAACCATGTTATTAAAGTTAGAATAACACACGAATATTGATATTCAATGGAAATCAAATGTGGCAGCCAATTCTAGCACTACCTTAATGAGTGTGACGTTTAAATGTGATTTTTTTCTAAATAAATATCAGTTTTGCGTATTTAAACTTCTGAACTGTTTGGAATGCACTTTGCAAACAAACACACGATGTAAGATCAAATGAAATGTGTGAAACTACGTATATTTGCCTTCCTAGGTTACGTACATTGTACAAGCATGGAAATGTAATATTCAACATATAATGCCATGCTTTCGAATATAAAACACAACAAGACAAACCATCCTGTGTGTTACAGTAATGGCGTTCACAGAGAAAACGATTAAACAATGCTAAAATGCCGTCATTTCTCGGCGATCGGTTTGAATTCGCTTCGCAAAATCGGAGGGAAATGTACTGCTGACACAAAAATGATATTACTACAGGAGATCTTCTTGAATGCTTAAGTGATCAGATGATGATTTAGAGGTAAATCGTGAAGGAAAGCCTTCATCTTGGAGTCAATTGATACGGAGATTTTCATCCCGGGATGTTCGCGCCTGTGTATGCCGGTACACTGTGGAACAAGAAGAAGAAAGAACAAGTTTGGCAAATCGCATTTAGTGTGCAATTAAAAATACACATGAAACCATGAGCTTGTAACCTTGTTTTTCAGAAAACTTCTTGTAGGAGAATAGCAGCAAATGTGTCAGCGTCGAAATGGAGGCGGCTGTTTGACATCAGCAACCAAACCTACACCAAAACGAACGAGGACATCTCACTACACGCAAAACCACTGTACAGAAAAAATCTCTTCCCTTCGCAGTCGACATCGCTTTATCATGACGAAACAAGATCGCCCAACAAACATGACGCTGCCCACCCTGGGCCTGTATTGCTTACCTGACTTCGCTTGCTGAAATTGCTTCATCAAAACTAAAGGAGAATGAATTATAAATAGATAATAACACAACACAACATATCTATTTTCCTATTGGGGCCCCAACCCTCTACCACCTATATAATGAGGTCCTTAACCTCCTGCCCAAGAGGGTCGAGAGTCCACGTTTATACACTTTGTTTCATCTTCATCCAAGAATGCTTCATACCAAATTTGGGCAAAATCTAAGCATTCCTGCAGGAGAAATAGGATTTAAATAATCCTCTCTTTTTCCCTATTAAGCCCCGTTATTATCTGTTCTAAGTTGAAATAGGGATCTGTTGACAAAAGATGTCGACAGAATCTATTTATGGAACATAAAAGGATTTTTTCTCGTTAGTTAGCTCACCTGATCCCAAGGCCCACGAGAGCTTACGGCATGGTATTGGTTGTACGTTGGTCAACTTTAGCTATAAATGACTGGATTCTGATCAGCATCTATTGGGGAAGTATGTCGATTTCAGTATCAAATTAATTCCTACTCATTATCTTGGATTTTTGAGTTATATGATGGTGCTTTATACAACGTTTTGAAGAAATTTCGTCCGTGGACTACATTTTTTGACGGTGTAGATGGCGGCGTGATTCGGTTAATAACTGCAACAATTTCAATGCTTTCTCGTCGCTACTTTGATTCTCTTGCGCAAAACTCTGGTAGTTGTTAAGTTGATGTTAATTCATTTTTGCTCGAATTATCACAAATCAGATTTCAAATTCATTAATTCATGGACCCATGGATCAATTCTCTGATTTTTAGGACTCGAAAACAAATGTTTCGATTTGTAAGATGATCTTGGAAAAACTGGCAATTTGGGTTAAAATTGCAAAAAAAGTGCAGTGAACCTCTCGTTTTTATGTGGTAGAATTCGAAAATTTTGTCAAAGGGTTGTCATTTTTCTTCGTTTGGTTGCTATGCAGTATTAAGCTCGTTAAATAAAATCAAAATTAAGCATTTTTAAAAATTTTTTTTCACCTGATACTCAAGTATCATACTGTTATCTTGTAAGACTGATATCCTGTAAGACATTCTGACACTTTCACGGGGAAAACAAGTGCAACATTTTACTGTTTTGCTTTTAAATTTCTTTCTGAATTCTAACTTATAATCATCGACAGAACAAACGTTTCAAAATTACTTTTTTCATTTTTCAAAGGGTACATTCTTCAATATTGCCAATTTTTCGCTGACCCCAACTACTCCTTCATCCTACATATGCAATTGGTCCCCATATGTTCGTAAATTTGTTCCTAACTAGTCTTGAATTGGAACTTTTTACAGTACTAACATTTCTGTAAGTTACCGTTGTATTACAGTGTTCAGAAGAACAACACTGTGGTCATCCTTACCTAGTCTATTTGTAGTATGTTTCCTCGTTAGATATAAGATCCAACAACCTGGGTGTGTTTGTTTCCAAACAATCCAGTACGTTTATTTATTTGTCTGCCTTAGGAATTCCTGGTGCTGTGGTTCTAGTGTATCGCACCAACATCGCTCTCCTTTTTTGTGTCTACTGACACCTCACTTTCCTTGTATCTATTTAAGTATTACGTCATATCCTTAGATTCAGTGATTTCGATAAGCACGATGTAGTGTGCACATTTAAACATCTAACTTTCCCTGTAGCATTTCGGTAAGTACAACATATCCTTTGATTCAGTGATTTCGATAAGCACGATGTAGTGTGCACATTTAGACTTCTCACTTTCCTTGTAGTATCTATTTAAGTATTTCATATCCTTAGATTCAGTGGGCACATTTAAGCACGATGTAATGGACTTTCCAACAATTCTTTGTTTTATATTTCCTCACAAGAAGATATATTATGTAGATAGGTTTTGATCGAAATTTCCAATATCTATATGAATGTCACTTTTCAAGATTACCTAGATGAAATTTGAAATCAAATTATTTGTACTTAGAGGTGATCCCGGAAGAAAGAGCATACAGTTGCCGCTTTGTTCGTCCGTCACACATTACAAAAACTATAGGAGGTATCAAGATGAAATTTCTAAGGTCGATAGATCTGGATATGGAGAAATGTATACGAACCACAACTCTCTTTTTCATAATTAGCCCTTTTGGAACAAACGTTTATTCCGGGAACACCTATCTGTTCTATCGATTCTCTAGTTTCTTATCTATTACATCACTTGGAGATGAATGTTCAAACTTTCTTAGTTGTGATACCTACAGGTGTACACCTTTTGATACATTTATTCACATCTCTTTGATGCAACACAAGCTATCATGCTTGCTGATAAAAACAGCCCTGATAAATTCTATTTTTCCCAATCCAAATAAATAACAACAGAGACAATGTATCTGTAACACAGAGTTTATTGTTGTACAATTGATCAGGTATAGCAAAACTTGTGACTTGCAAACAGCACTTAACAAATATGTAACATATCAACTATAGTTAAATAAAACGCAATCATTGGCTACATTTTCTGTTATACTGGAACATAAACACAGCTTGGTATACAATGTATTTATAACAGTACTCTTGTATCCTGTTTAATAAGAGTGCTTAAATCACATATCTTTTAGAAGGTAATCTAACCAGTATTCTTTGTCCCTAAGGATGTTGGATAAGATAGGTTTCTATGTATATAAATTATTCCCTATAGATAAATGCTGTTTTATGCATACTAGTTGCAAGGCAACCAGTCTTGGACAATACTGACAACTCAAACACACCTCTATAATTCTTTATTTAATGAAATCCTTTTGATATTGATGAAAATAATAACCCTGTGATGTATCTTATTACCTGTGAACTTTTAACAAATTTGACACAAAAGCAACCCAATCAGTGAAATGAGAACTGACAAAAATGATTTGAAGGAAAAAAGAATGTCTTGATATATTGCAGGTATAATAGTTTCATACAAGATGTAATTGTCATAAGAGAAATAACCTCTGCGAGTTTAAAACATCACAACCATGTGTTTATGATAAGCAGTCAGCATAAGTGTACAGGTGCACACCTTCTGTGCTATAAGCAGCACAACATCCTCTGTACAGGTGCACACCTTCTGTGTTATAAACAGCACAAAATCCTCTGTACAGGTGTACAACTTCTGTGCTAGAAACAGCACAGCAGTACAGGTGCACACCTTCTGTGCTATAAGCAGCACAACATCCTCTGTACAGGTGCACACCTTCTGTGCTATAAGCAGCACAACATCCTCTGTACAGGTGCACACCTTCTGTGCTATAAACAGCACAACATCCTTTGTACAGGTGTACATCTTCTGTGCTATAAACAGCACAACATCCTCTGTACAGGTATACATCTTCTGTACTATAAGCAGCACAGCTGTACAGGTGTACACCTGTGTTATAAACAACACAATATCCTCTGTACAGGTGTACACCTTCTGTGTTATAAACAGCACAAAATCCTCTGTACAGGTGTACAACTTCTGTGCTAGAAACAGCACAGCAGTACAGGTGTACACCTTCTGTGCTATAAACAGCACAACATCCTCTGTACAGGTGTACACCTTCTGTGTTATAAACAGCACAACATCCTTTGTACTGGTGTACATCTTCTGTGCTATAAACAGCACAACATCCTCTGTACAGGTGTACACCTTCTGTGTTATAAACAGCACAACATCCTTTGTACAGGTGTACATCTTCTGTGCTATAAACAGCACAACATCCTCTGTGCTATAAGCAGCACAGCTTTACAGGTGTACACCTGTGTTATAAACAGCACAACATCCTCTGTACAGGTGTACAACTTCTGTGCTATAAACAGCACAGCGGTACAGGTGTACACCTGTGCTATAAACAGCACAACATCCTCTGTACAGGTGTACACATTCTGTGTTATAAACAGCACAGCTTATCACTAGATTTCACAAATATCAGCGAAAATAACTATTCAAGAAAATCACTACAAACTATGGAACAGTACACTTTGTTTTGTTTGTAACCTAACATTGCAATACTGTGGATAGATGCAACGATTTGAGACAAAACGATCACAGAAATATTTTGACCTGTAAGTGAAACAAGGCAACACCTACAAGCTAGTCTAGTATATTTTCAACCTCTTTTTCCCTTACCAGTATGGAAATCTAATAGAACAAATTTTCCCTAAACAGTTTTGATATCTAAAAAAGATTCAACATTTTTGGATTTTCATTCTCAGGCAATGAAAACTATATCATTTCACATTCTAATCATGCTTTCATTTTATCAATGTTTGAAAAACACATTCAGGTGTGAGGACAATCACCTGACAGAATTTGGCTGTCTGGACGGACGCAATAAAGAAGCACTTGAAGACACAAAGACATGACAAACTGCAATAACAGTGATAACATAGTATTTTTGTATGTACATAGGTGGAATGTCTACCTTTCAGCCTTCACTTGTGTATACTGGGGTCCCTTGATCCATAAATAAGGCCAGTATCAGTTATATCATTGTAAATTACATCATTAATTAACCATCAACTCCTCATAATATAGATCCTACACCTTCTCACGAAGAGCTATCTTGCCACTCATGTGAAGCTTGACAATTTGTATCAGTTAATAACTGTAGACTACAAATCTGGATTTTACTATCACAGGTCACTTACATTCCTTATTGTAGAACATGACATCAAAATCTGTCAAAAACATAAATTTCTGTCATAATATCACATCAACATCATAAAAACTTGCCATTATGGTAAAATTTGATCATATTTCTTGCATTTACATACAATTGAATGTGTGGCTCTTATATATCAGACAAAAATAACTAAATGTTTGCATAGACTTTTATATATTTTTACACACAGAAAAATATAAAATGCTTCCGCAAGGATACAGATCTGCAATGACTACCACTTTGTAGCACTATATCAACAATGGAAAAGTGATTTAAGTTTTTCAAGGTCCAGGATTCACAGCCTAATATCTATGCTATAAGGTTGTCATTTTTGCCAGGGTTAAAATTTTTGCAGATTTACCAAAATCTTGACACGAATTGGACATATTTTTAGCGAAAGTCATGAAATGGCCTATGGTCTCTTCTATTAATTTTATTTTCATGGAAACAATTTTTTATGATTTTATTCAATCTTTGAAAATAACGAAAATTAAATCCCCACAAAAATCACAACATTTACATTCATAGTATATGTTTTGGTTAGTAAGATATACACAATAAGTACTGTGTACATGAGGTTCCTATAGGATCTAAGCTAAAGCACACATAAAGAAATTTGAGGATGTACATTTCAATTTGTTTGTACTCATCCTTTTTTTCAAATAGTTATCATTGAACATATTTGCATTCAAAAAGAAACTGGAACACAACAGTAGAGAGACACGTTTCACAGAAATCACTTAAAAAGGATGATTACAGAGCATAGTCAATAGATATTGTCAATCACAACAAGTACAGTATCTACAAATATCAACATCAATAATATTTCACACTCATAACATTGGAATAAGCGAGTCACCAGACCAATCGATTTTGAACATGAAACTAATGTGAATTAAATAAGCATCACTGAGTCCATTCAGGATACTCAATTTCACAGCCGACCAAGAGAGTCCTACACCTTGGATTTTCCATTTGATGGCACATTAGATTCTGGGACTCCATACTACCAACGTGTCCACTTGGTATGGAGTCATTATCACATTTAGAGAACTGACAGCCTATTTAATGAGACACAAGCTGTTACAATAAAGTCTACATATCTGAAATGGTTGAGTCATGCATCTGAAATGAAAGAATGAAAAACTTGTCCATATATATGTGATAGAGGTCCACTTCAGTCCTTAATACAAAATCAGTATTGTAAAGTACAGGTAGACAGTTCTACATTTAAAATTTTATTCAAGTCTGTTACACATATCTAAATTTATATTGAGCGATTTCATTCAAAATCACTGATTTAAGGTGGGGACAGAAAGCAAGGATATTTCAACCTATACATGAATCAGTACAATGAAGCAGCTTCTAAAATATCACAAGTCTATTTTAAAGTTTACTAAAAAATAAATACAATTTTGACCACCCATCAGCTACACCTGACGACTGACCGGTGGGTAGGTAGGTGTACCTGGTTCCTTGAGAGATTGACCATCTCCAGCCAACTCCTCCTGGACTTCGATGGTGGAGAGGACGGCCTCGACACTAGAGTTATTTTTCTGTTCCTCTGTCATCTTGTTTTGTACATCAACCTGAGATGACACACAAAATTTTAGGACATGCAAAATTGTACATGTATTGTGTCCGAATTTTTCATTTGTAATATTCCTCATCTCTAATGTTTAGAGTTAAATAATATTTCCAGGCAAATTTTGATGAACATTCATTCAATTAAGCATTAAAAGCCCAATCAAAGCAAAATTTGAAAAGAACTTGTACCAATAGGTTACCAGTGGTTTTACTTTTAATGCATTAACTGGGTGATGCATGCAATAGGTTATTTAGTCAAAGAGTGTTATGTCAAACAGCAGTCAAATATGACAGATTCAGGACAAAGATTTACAAATAAAGTAAAAATGGTATCTAAATGGTTTACCACTGTAATATAGCTTATAATATCATATGAACAATACCTACCATTGGTGCTAAGTTCAAGGCATCTGGGAGGTCATCCACAATAAGTTCTCCATTTTCTAAAACCTGCAACACAACAATGGAAACTGAATATATGACAGAGATGTAACATCTAAAGACTACTAAAAAAAAAAGTTTGAATTTAAAGACAGCATAAAAAGCTGTGTACCTTACAGCTGTGCATAACAGGTGCTCTTTCTCTACTATTTAAATGCACAATGAGGTTTGAGTGAGTTTATGACTTTCTCACCAAAACAGGCATGTACAACATTAGTCATATCATTCATCCTGCTCACTGTCCCCTTCCCCAGGGTTACACCACCACCATGTGACTACTCACCTCTCCATTCATCCTGATCCCTTCCTCACTGTCCCTTTCCCCAGGGTTACAACACCACCATGTGACTACTCACCTCTCCATTCATCCTGATCCCTTCCTCACTGTCTCTGTCCCCAGGGTTACACCACCACCATGTGACTACTCACCTCTCCATTCATCCTGCTCACTGTCCCCTTCTCCAGGGTTACACCACCACCATGTGACTACTCACCTCTCCATTCATCCTGATCCCTTCCTCACTGTCCCCTTCCCCAGGGCTACAACACCAACATGTGACTACTCACCTCTCCATTCATCCTGATCCCTTCCTCACTGTCTCTATCCCCAGGGTTACACCACCACCAAGTGACTACTCACCTCTCCATTCATCCTGCTCACTGTCCCCTTCCCCAGGGTTACACCACCACCATGTGACTACTCACCTCTCCATTCATCCTGCTCACTGTCCCCTTCCCCAGGGTTACACCACCACCATGTGACTACTCACCTCTCCGTTCATCCTGCTCCCTTCCTCACTGTCCCCTTCCCCAGGGTTACAACACCACCATGTGACTACTCACCTCTCCATTCATCCTGATCCCTTCCTCACTGTCCCCTTCCCCAGGGTTACAACACCACCATGTGACTACTCGCCTCTCCATTCATCCTGATCGCTTCCTCACTGTCCCCTTCCCCAGGGTTACAACACCACCATGTGACTACTCACCTCTCCATTCATCCTGATCCCTTCCTCACTGTCCCCTTCCCCAAGGTTACAACACCACCATGTGACTACTCACCTCTCCATTCATCCCAATCCCTTCCTCATTGTCTCTGTCCCCAGGGTTACACCACCACCATGTAACTACTCACCTCTCCATTCATCCTGATCCCCTCCTCGCTGTCTCTGTCCCCAGCAGTGTCCCCCACAGTGTTAGCTCCCTGATCAGCATCTCCTTCATTAATATCACTGACCGGTGTTTCCTCTTCTGGCATTTCAAGATCGTCACCATCCTCCAAGGAGTGCGACTTTTCCATCATAGCATCACGTGATACAGCTGTCTCCGAGGGATCATCAGCGCTCTGCGACTCGTCTGCGTCTTCATCATCCTCATCACTTCCAATTCTGAAAAGAATTATAGAATCATAATTTCATTCAACATTCCAATAATCAAAATTACAAACCAATGTTACATTAAACATTAAGAATGGTTTTACATTTCTATTTTAAACTCCATTTATCCTGCTCTAAGCCCAGGAGGCCAATACATAACAGAATGTAAACAGGTGGGCTTATAACTAACTGATGTAAGCATTTGATATCATTGTTCATAAAACTGTGACAAAAGTTCCTTATTAGATGACTGGGACCAGCCTGCTACATAAAACTGTGACAAAAGTGCCTTATTAGATGACTGGGACCAGCCTGCTAAATATGGTATTTAATCTTCTGTACTTCATTTGCAGCATTTAACTTCTTTGATAGAAAAGTCAATGGTTTATAATTTAGTTTGACAAGTTTCCAGATGTGCAAAGTTATAGGTTAGGATGTTTTTTTATGTGAAGGACTCAATTGATACACTGATAAGGTGTGTACCTAAATATATACTGTGTGAAGGGCTTGGTTTAGGTAAGCTATGTGAGGTTGCCTACTGTATAAAGGGCCTATCCTGTGAAGGGCTTGGTTTAGGTAAGCTATGTGAGGTTGCCTACTGTATAAAGGGCCTATCCTGTGAAGGGCTTGGTTTATATAAGATATGTGAGGTTGCCTGCTGTATAAAGGGCCTATCCTGTGAAGGGCTTGGTTTATATAAGATATGTGAGGTTGCATACTGTATAAAGGGCCTATCCTGTGAAGGGCTTGGTTTAGGTAAGATATGTGAGGTTGCCTACTGCATAAAGGGCCTATCCTGTGAAGGGCTTGGTTTATATAAGATATGTGAGGTTGCCTACTGTATAAAGGGCCTATCCTGTGAAGGGGTTGGTTTAGGTAACATATGTGAGGTTGCCTACTGTATAAAGGGCCTATCCTGTGAAGGGCTTGTTTTAGGTAACATATGTGAGGTTGCCTACTGCATAAAGGGCCTATCCTGTGAAGGGCTTGTTTTAGGTAAACTATGTGAGGTTGCCTACTGTATAAAGGGCCTATCCTGTGAAGGGCTTGTTTTAGGTAAACTATGTGAGGTTGCCTACTGTATGAAGGGCCTATCCTGTGAAGGGCTTGGTTTAGGTAAGATATGTGAGGTTGCCTACTGTATAAAGGGCCTATCCTGTGAAGGGCTTGTTTTAAGTAAACTATGTGAGGTTGCCTACTGTATAAAGGGCCTATCCTGTGAAGGGGTTGGTTTAGGTAAGATATGTGAGGTTGCCTACTGTATAAAGGGCCTATCCTGTGAAGGGCTTGGTTTAGGTAAACTATGTGAGGTTGCCTACTGTATAAAGGGCCTATCCTGTGAAGGGCTTGGTTTATATAAGATATGTGAGGTTGCCTACTGTATAAAGGGCCTATCCTGTGAAGGGCTTGGTTTAGGTAACATATGTGAGGTTGCCTACTGTATAAAGGGCCTATCCTGTGAAGGGCTTGGTTTAGGTAAACTATGTGAGGTTGCCTACTGCATAAAGGGCCTATCCTGTGAAGGGCTTGGTTTATATAAGATATGTGAGGTTGCCTACTGTATAAAGGGCCTATCCTGTGAAGGGGTTGGTTTAGGTAAGATATGTGAGGTTGCCTACTGCATAAAGGGCCTATCCTGTGAAGGGCTTGTTTTAGGTAACATATGTGAGATTGCCTACTGCATAAAGGGCCTATCCTGTGAAGGGCTTGTTTTAGGTAAACTATGTGAGGTTGCCTACTGTATAAAGGGCCTATCCTGTGAAGGGCTTGTTTTAGGTAAACTATGTGAGGTTGCCTACTGTATGAAGGGCCTATCCTGTGAAGGGGTTGGTTTAGGTAAGATATGTGAGGTTGCCTACTGTATAAAGGGCCTATCCTGTGAAGGGCTTGTTTTAGGTAAACTATGTGAGGTTGCCTACTGTATAAAGGGCCTATCCTGTGAAGGGGTTGGTTTAGGTAAGATATGTGAGGTTGCCTACTGTATAAAGGGCCTATCCTGTGAAGGGCTTGGTTTAGGTAAACTATGTGAGGTTGCCTACTGTATAAAGGGCCTATCCTGTGAAGGGCTTGGTTTATATAAGATATGTGAGGTTGCCTACTGTATAAAGGGCCTATCCTGTGAAGGGCTTGGTTTAGGTAACATATGTGAGGTTGCCTACTGTATAAAGGGCCTATCCTGTGAAGGGCTTGGTTTAGGTAAACTATGTGAGGTTGCCTACTGCATAAAGGGCCTATCCTGTGAAGGGCTTGTTTTAGGTAAACTATGTGAGGTTGCCTACTGTATAAAGGGCCTATCCTGTGAAGGGCTTGGTTTAGGTAAACTATGTGAGATTGCCTACCGTATAAAGGGCCTATCCTGTGATGGGCTTGGTTTATACAAGATATGTGAGGTTGCCTACTGTATAAAGGGCCTATCCCGTGAAGGGGTTGGTTTAGGTAAGATATGTGAGGTTGCCTACCGTATAAAGGGCCTATCCTGTGATGGGCTTGGTTTATATAAGATATGTGAGGTTGCCTACTGTATAAAGGGCCTATCCTGTGAAGGGCTTGGTTTAGGTAAGATATGTGAGGTTGCCTACTGTATAAAGGGCCTATCCTGTGAAGGGCTTGTTTTAGGTAAACTATGTGAGATTGCCTACCGTATAAAGGGCCTATCCTGTGATGGGCTTGGTTTATACAAGATATGTGAGGTTGCCTACTGTATAAAGGGCCTATCCCGTGAAGGGCTTGGTTTAGGTAAGATATGTGAGGTTGCCTACCGTATAAAGGGCCTATCCTGTGATGGGCTTGGTTTATATAAGATATGTGAGGTTGCCTACTGTATAAAGGGCCTATCCTGTGAAGGGCTTGGTTTAGGTAAGATATGTGTGGTTGCCTACTGTATAAAGGGCCTATCCTGTGAAGTGCTGGGTTAAACAAGGATGTATGAGCAGGTTTATATGGGAAAGAATTGGTTGAAATAAGATGTATGAGGGTGTCATCTGTATGAAAGACTTGGTTTTACAAGGATGCATGAGGGAGCCTACCGTGTGAAGGGCTTGGTTTCACTAACAGCCAGCTCTATCTGGACAGCCTTGTAAGGGGATTCAATTTCATCATCTTTATCGTCAGCATCCTGAATCTGTATTTCACTGGCAAACTCATCGTCCCTCAGCTAGAAGACAAATAATATCAAGTATAAAAATAGTTACGAACCAACTTTTTAATAAAACAATTTTTTAAAATAAAAAACAGATATCTAATCTCATCCAGGTGAGACTCTTGAATGCTGTCACAACCTAAGAGCGGAAACGGTGGTCAAAGGGAAATAACTGGTTCACTTTTCCTGGTCAGACAGTCTTCTATTTAACCTATAATAATGGCCTTATTTATTATTGTCTGATAACATTATGTTAAATCACTGTAAACAGACATGACATCTTCATAAACAGAAAGTTTGTTTACAAGGTTCAAGGCTATATCTATTGTCATTTTCACAGAAGAGAGTCCTGAAACTCATACAGTTATACACCTATGTGTACCTATCAGAATCATTCAAAACAAATATTTAAAGCAAATGTTAATGTCCTTAAATTGGCTACTCTGAAGTTTGACAAGCTAGTAGCATTCCCATGACATTTTCAGGACTTTCAAATTTTTTTGTTTGCACTAGCCAATCAAAAGATTCCTTTTCTTTTTAATTTTTCATTTTAATCTACAGTGAAAATTGCTTAACAGGTCATTTGTTGGGAGGAAATAATAATAACCAGACATTAACAGATCTCTAAACCCATATTTCAGATGTGCAAAAATTGACTGTTTCTTAAACACACAGTTTGAAGACAAAAAATTGTAATTTGCTTCGTTTTTCCCCATGAGCAGTGGTTTTTCTTAGCTTCTGTTTGTTTATTCTTTGAAATATGTAACCTGCTATCATGAATTATCAGGAATGATCATGTTACATTTACAGTAAGCTTACATGTGGTCAGATTTGTATGTGACACCTTGTGTCATCAGCTGATATTTTGTCAAATATAATAGTCCAGGGCTTTTACACCCCATTTTGGGATTGGGGCCTGGGCCCTTAGAATTGGGAAAAATAATGGTGTTTTCCTAAGAATTGGGAAAACTTGGGGTCTAAATTGGGAAAAAAAGATACTATTTTGCATTATTCGGCCGCAAATGTGACAGATCAAGAGCCTTGTAGTCATCATCATACAGTTGACACACACATATATATATATAGTTTGTACCTGTGTAACTTTGATGAGTATCGTTTTCTTTGAGTACTACCAACAAAAACAGCCTACTGAGCGATGGAGTGTTTTGAAACACCTCATTTCAGTGACTGTTATATAAGTGGTTACATTTAAGTGTCGTGAAGCCTGGCTTTGGGACAACCTTGTAGAAGAACAGAATTATTTTGGTCATCTTTCCACTATTTATGAAAATTCAAGCAATAAATGACTTTGAAGAAAGATAAAAGCCTTTATGTCTCGATATTGTGATCAAACAGATTTTTTTCATTATCAACATTCCAAATGGCATGTTTAGAGGTACCCTGTACAATTGTTTGGAAAGTTCTTTGCAATAGCAGCAAAGATGTTAGTGGTCCCATGTAGCTTTCCAGGCCTTGTGTGAAAACTTTCTTTAATAATTCAATTTATCAAGACTTCATTTTGTGAAACTTGAATCTTTCATCTTACCATTTTTAGTTTTGTGTCATAAGTATGTCCACCTAGTGATATTTGTCATGGATCATTGTAAAGAAAAAAAAAATGTAAATAATTGTAAATTAATTTAACTCCTGCTGAATTGTTTTCTCAACATATCTTCAGAAAACATTATATATTGTTTGGAAATTGATCCCAATAAGTATACTTAAGATCTGTTTCCAGGAAGTATCGCCACCACATCAGAAAACTTCGAGGCATAACGCACACTCACAAATAGAAATCATGAAAAATTCCAAGTGATAAGGGACAGATATAACCCTTGGGTTGCGCTAACCAATTTGAAAGCAAACACACCAGACTTCCTAGGACCTAGCTTGATCCTACAGGTAAGAGAGTCAGTCTATAATTTGGAAGTCTGCAAGGTGTGAAAAGTTGGAAACTGACAATGTTTACTTAATGTGTTCAGGTGTGACAGATGTTGAATCATACAGAATAAATAGGGAAGATTTGGTGTTTTTACAAAATGTGATACTAACCAATTAACCAATGTAACATTTAAGTAGCAACGAGAGACATTCACCAATGTAACATTTAAGTAGCAACGAGAGACATTAACCAATGTAACATTGAAGTAGCAACGAGAGACATTCACCAATGTAACATTTAAGTAGCAACGAGAGACATTCACCAATGTAACATTTAAGTAGCAACGAGAGACATTCACCAATGTAACATTTAAGTAGCAACGAGAGACATTCACCAATGTAACATTTAAGTAGCAACGAGAGACATTCACCAATGTAACATTTAAGTAGCAACGAGAGACATTAACCAATGTAACATTGAAGTAGCAACGAGAGACATTCACCAATGTAACATTTAAGTAGCAACGAGAGACATTCACCAATGTAACATTGAAGTAGCAACGAGAGACATTCACCAATGTAACATTTAAGTAGCAACGAGAGACATTCACCAATGTAACATTGAAGTAGCAACGAGAGACATTCACCAATGTAACATTAGCAACGAGAGACATTCACCAAGTAGCAACGAGAGACCAATGTTCACCAATGTAACATTTAAGTAGCAACGAGAGACATTCACCAATGTAACATTTAAGTAGCAACGAGAGACATTAACCAATGTAACATTGAAGTAGCAACGAGAGACATTCACCAATGTAACATTTAAGTAGTTTCCATTGTACTTAGCTTTACCGTACGAAACACACTGATCGTTTACATACTGACAAAGACTATGTTAATCAAATGTTACTATGAAGACCTTAATTTTAGGAAATTTTTTTATCTCTTACCTTGCCAAGCTCTTCCTCTTCAGCAGCATTAAGTCGAAGTGAGCGGTCTTGCTCGCTATCTTCGTCCTCAGTCACAGTACTTTCAGTGGTGTCAGACTCCTGGGTCTGTGTGTCCTCTTCATCCAAAGAAATCTCTGCTTCCTCCTTTGTCTGTAACAGAGATTTGTAGAAGGTCGATCATGAGGTTCAATTTTAGGAATTTCATCAAAGACTTTTTCTAGTTTTAAAGATCTCATATGAAATAGAAACGAGTGGTTGATTCTGCGAACATTTAAGAAAACAGCACTTTCCCCGGTTGATCTAAACCTGAGCTGGTGGTATAATATGTCTGTCTGTTTTTTGTCTAATGTCACAATTCATGTGATGTGATGAAGTAAACAAGTCATAATTGAATCAAAAGAAGCTGATTACAGTTCTACTTCCTGTCTGCAGGTTCATAACATGGTTCATGTTATGTCTTGTTTAATGAATCTGAATTAGATGCTGCTTACTCTCTCTCAGGCTGTGTTTTTGTAGATGTGCATGTCTATATGTCTGTTTTGAACATAAATGTGTATGGATATGTGGATGGGCAGATATGTAAGGGGTTGCATGTACATGTGATAATGAGGAAATAGATGATGTTCTAGATGATGATGGGAATGATGCAGGTGATGATGGTGATGATGATGACACAGATGATGATACATGTAATGGCTATATGGATAATGATGATGATGATGATGATGATGATGGTGATGATGGTGATGATGGTGGTGATAATGGTGATGGTGGTGTTGGTGATGATGGTGATAATGGTGATGGTGGTGATGATGATGATGATGATGATGATGATGATGATGATGATGATGATGATGATGTTACTGATGATGATACATGTAAGGACGATATGGATGATGATGATGGTGGTGAGGGTGATGATGGTGATGATGATGTTACTGATGATGATACATGTAAGGACAATGATGATGATGATGATGATGATGATGATGATGATGATGATGATGATGATGATGATGATGATGATGATGATGTTGAGGGTGATGATGGTGATGATAGTGATGATAGTGATGATGTTACTGATGATGATACATGTAATTAATATATGGATGATGATGATGATGATGAGATGATGATGATGAAGATATGTAAGGGGTTGCATGTACATGTGATAATGAGGAAATAGATGATGTTCTAGATGATGATGGGAATGATGCAGGTGATGATGATGACGACACAGATGATGATACATGTAATGGCTATATGGATGATGATGATGATGATGATGATGATGATGATGATGATGATGATGATGATGATGGTGATGATGGTGATGATGGTGATGATGGTGGTGATGATGGTGGTGGTGATGATGGTGATGGTGGTGATGGTGATGATGGTGATGATGATGGTGGTGATAATGGTGATGGTGGTGATGATGATGATGATGATGATGATGATGATGATGATGATGATGATGATGATGATGATGATGATGATGATGATATTGATGGTGATGATGGTGATGATAGTGATGATGTTAGCGATGATGTAAGTGATGATGATACATGTAATGATGATGATGATGATGATGATGTTGAGGGTGATGATGGTGATGATAGTGATGTTACTGATGATGATACATGTAATTAATATATGGATGATGATGATGATGAGATGATGATGATGATGAGATGATGATGATGATGATGATGATGATGATGATGATGATGATGATGATGATGATGATGATGATGATGATGATGATGTTACTGATGATGATACATGTAAGGATGATATGGATGATGATAATGATGATGATGGTGAGGGTGATGATGGTGATGATGATGATGATGATGATGATGATGATGATGATGATGATGATGATGATGATGATGATGATGATGATGATGATGATGATGATGATTGATGATGGTGATCAAAAATCATTACATGTATGTGTGCTTGAATGTATGAAAATGTATGCATGGATGAGAGTGTGTTTCATGTTATTATGTATTATGTAAAATATCTTGTAAAAATAAAATAAATAAAAAAACAAAACAAAAACATACCCTAGGAATAACAAATAATTTGGCACACAACCACCACAAAAAAAAATTTTTACCTTAGAGTTAAGATATTACCCAAAGTCCTGTTCTCTGACAACATGCCAAATTCAAAACCTTCATTCTATATTAATTTCAGAATATGTGAACTTGTCTGAGTGGACTACTGACCTGTGTGCCTGAAGATTGGACTTGTTGATTCACTGCCCCAGGTTTCTCACCCAAACCTTGCATCAGGCGGAAAAAGGCAAGCTCATTGAACAGGACCTCGGACATATCCACCAACAGATCTTCTCCACACATTCTTAATCTGTGACACAAAGTACCGTTTATTTACTATTTGGTCAAAAATAATATGAAGGGATTCATGTACAGAATAACAAGCTTAACATTAAATAAGGTTTCATGATCAAACATATAATGATTTTGGAGGCATTTCAAGACAATGAACGGAAAACAAATAACCTCAACTGTAGTGAATTTGACTTAACTAGTACAAAGAATCAACGGTATTCTGATACCATATCAAAGACTTACACTTAAACATTGCTAGAAATTACTTACTTTCTTCCTTCAAATTTACTGAGTGTGTCATGCAGTGCAGAGCTCAGTTGGGCATGGAAGAAAGTGGCATACTGACTGCTGTCATACTGTCGGGTGAGACTGAGCACAAGGCGTTTAATGTAAGCCAACAGTTCATAGGAACACACATGGTCTATATGTTCCTTGATCACTGGAATCACCTCCTTCATTATCATCTTTATTTGTTTGTTTAGTTCCTGTGTATCAATTCTTGAGTACTGTGAAATAAAAACATGTTTGTTTAATTCCTGTGTATCAATTCTGTAGTACTGTGAAATAAAAACATGTTTGTTTAGTTCCTGTTGTATCAATTCTGTAGTACTGTGAAATAAAAACATGTTTGTTTAATTCCTGAGTATCAATTCTGTTGTACTGTGAAATAAAAACATGTTTGTTTAATTCCTGAGTATCAATTCTGTAGTACTGTGAAATAAAAACATGTTTGTTTAATTCCTGAGTATCAATTCTGTAGTACTGTGAAATAAAAACATGTTTGTTTAATTCCTGAGTATCAATTCTGTTGTACTGTGAAATAAAAACATGTTTGTTTAGATCCTGTTTTATCAATTCTGTAGTACTGTGAAATAAAAACATGTTTGTTTAGTTACTGAGTATCAATTCTGTAGTACTGTGAAATAAAAACATGTTTGTTTAATTCCTGAGTATCAATTCTGTTGTACTGTGAAATAAAAACATGTTTGTTTAGATCCTGTTGTATCAATTCTGTAGTACTGTGAAATAAAAACATGTTTGTTTAATTCCTGAGTATCAATTCTGTTGTACTGTGAAATAAAAACATGTTTGTTTAGATCCTGTTGTATCAATTCTGTAGTACTGTGAAATAAAAACATGTTTGTTTAGTTACTGAGTATCAATTCTGTAGTACTGTGAAATAAAAACATGTTTGTTTAATTCCTGAGTATCAATTCTGTAGTACTGTGAAATAAAAACATGTTTGTTTAGTTCCTGTTGTATCAATTCTGTAGTACTGTGAAATAAAAACATGTTTTGAGTATCAATTCTGTAGTACTGTGAAATAAAAACATGTTTGTTTAATTCCTGAGTATCAATTCTGTAGTACTGTGAAATAAAAACATGTTTGTTTAGTTACTGAGTATCAATTCTGTAGTACTGTGAAATAAAAACATGTTTGTTTAGTTACTGAGTATCAATTCTGTAGTACTGTGAAATAAAAACATGTTTGTTTAATTCCTGAGTATCAATTCTGTAGTACTGTGAAATAAAAACATGTTTGTTTAGTTACTGAGTATCAATTCTGTAGTACTGTGAAATAAAAACATGTTTGTTTAATTCCTGAGTATCAATTCTGTAGTACTGTGAAATAAAAACATGTTTGTTTAGTTCCTGTTGTATCAATTCTGTAGTACTGTGAAATAAAAACATGTTTGTTTAATTCCTGAGTATCAATTCTGTAGTACTGTGAAATAAAAACATGTTTGTTTAATTCCTGAGTATCAATTCTGTAGTACTGTGAAATAAAAACATGTTTGTTTAGTTACTGAGTATCAATTCTGTAGTACTGTGAAATAAAAACATGTTTGTTTAGTTCCTGTTGTATCAATTCTGTAGTACTGTGAAATAAAAACATGTTTGTTTAGTTACTGAGTATCAATTCTGTAGTACTGTGAAATAAAAACATGTTTGTTTAATTCCTGAGTATCAATTCTGTAGTACTGTGAAATAAAAACATGTTTGTTTAGTTCCTGTTGTATCAATTCTGTAGTACTGTGAAATAAAAACATGTATGTTTAATTCCTGAGTATCAATTCTGTAGTACTGTGAAATAAAAACATGTTTGTTTAATTCCTGAGTATCAATTCTGTAGTACTGTGAAATAAAAACATGTTTGTTTAGTTCCTGTTGTATCAATTCTGTAGTACTGTGAAATAAAAACATGTTTGTTTAGTTCCTGTTGTATCAATTCTGTAGTACTGTGAAATAAAAACATGTATGTTTAATTCCTGAGTATCAATTCTGTTGTACTGTGAAATAAAAACATGTTTGTTTAATTCCTGAGTATCAATTCTGTAGTACTGTGAAATAAAAACATTGGACAGCCGATAAGTAAAAATACCATATCACTCAATCTAGCTGAACACAAAGTCACAGAATTCAACTGCTTGATATAATCTGGTTTTACTTAAAATTTGCTTCCTCTGGAAAACTGTACTGGCTAATTTTCTTCTTAGTTAAGGAAAAAAGTACATCACAACTGCTAGAAAATAACGAAACAAAAGTTTCAGGTCCAATAGATGGAAGGGTTCCAAAACCAGATTTTTCAAAGTAGTATTTTTTAAACAGCAATAACAAATGACTGATTTGTTACCATACTTACAGAAGTGGAGGAGACGGAACTTTCACTGCCCTGGTCAACAGCAGAACTACTGGTTGGTTCTGACACAGGATGAGGGGGTCTAGCTAGAGTTGGTTTCTGTTTTTTACTTTCAAGTTTAGCTTTTTCTGCAGCTGCCAGTTTGGATTCATTTTCTCTCATTTTCTTGAGTGCCTGGTAAAAAGTAGTTCATTTCATTTTGCATGAAAAATTCAAAATCTCCATCCATTTTTGTAATCATTAAATTTTTTTCATGTGGAGGTGCTTTTAGAAAAATTGTTTCATGACATACAATCTAAATGCTATACATTGATATCTGAACATTCTGCATAGTTTTATTATAGTTTAGCTCATATGTAAAGCACACCTGTTATTTGTAATTATCAAATTCTTGAGGCTCAATGCATCTTGTTCAAACAATTGAATACACCAGTATCTATTCTAAAGTCCCCAGTAGTATTAAACAGTATAACTCACCTTGTCGAGATGGATAACGGTGTCCCCGAGGTCCTGTGAGAAAGGGTTGTCCCAGTAACTCGTAGAAGGAGTAGACAGACTACTATCATAATCAGCGGCTTCGACATAGTCAAACTGGTCATTCTGTAAAGACTCGCCTCTAGCCAGAGCACGCCTCTTATCAATTGTTAAGTCTCGTAACTTCATCTACAAAAGGAACGCACCTTACAAATCTACCATTTCTCTTCCTCATTGTCAAAATTTACACACAGAATCTGTTTTGTTGTTGGTTTTAACATTTTTTTTCCTTCAAAATTTTATACAAAATCTATCAGTCATTATTCCTATGAATATATAAATAACACTAATATTACAAAATAATATTCAGCTTTGAGACAGAACACCTTAGCATGTATACATACTGTTATTTCCTCATCATCTGTGGTCAGATTGCTCTCGCTAGGAGTAAGTTCTGAGGCTGTACCACCAGCAGCAGTGTTCATCCAAGCAGGCAGTGGCTGTAGTACAATCAGAAACTTTCACCACACATTTACAACATTACCACCGAGAAGTAGTGGTGGAACAGTGTAAAAAAAGTTACATGAAAATCACAAATCAGTCACTGTATTTTATTAACTTTACAACCATAACTGTTTAAAGTAAGCTGAATATTGCCTCACCTCATCATTGCCTGTTGTCAAAGGTCCGGCACCCTGTTCTGTCAGGAACATGGATACAAGGTGTTTGATGGAGTACAAAACACGCTGCCGAAGATAATCTGATGTGAGCTTCTGAAGTTCTCGGAAAAGTTCAATGAGGAAGTGTGGCCTGTTCTCATTCTGTGAAATCAAAGTGGCTACCTCTGCATAAATAGACTCTCTCAGTGCTTCAAACAAAGTCAGGTCTCCGGAATCATCCACGTCCCTGAAAAAAAAAAAAAAAAAAAACAATCAATAAAAGCAGACATAAAGATTTTATCAGATATATTACTTCATAGAAACACTGATACTACAAATTACAACCTGAAAGAGACCTGAAATGGAAATTTACCAATTTATCAGGTCTCAGTTATATATACTTCTCCAGCCAGCTATTGAAGAGGGGCTTGGTGTGAGATGGACATTAAAACTCATGTTATCACTTGTTTATAAGAATACTCCTATTCTGGGACACAAGCAAAATTTAAGGTGTGCTTACTGGTACTGCTAATTGTTTTAGAGTGAGGGTCATATTTCAATGGAAATTCTAAATCAATCTCACTGGTCCATCTAAATGTAATACTGAACAGCTTTGCAAAAAAAAAAAAAAACCCCAAGGCTTCCATTCCCTATGTAAACCAGAATCTGATATGGCCAAGAACTTTGTTATAATATTACAAGGTAAAAATGCACCTATTCAGAGTTTCTCAAGACATAACACTATCTCAATAAGGGATGGGATGTACACTTATAAATGTAAAAGAGGCCATTAGTTAGTTTAATGCCTCACTAGGATTTGAACCCAGGACCTCTGACTTAATAGTCCAAAGCTCAACTGATCAAGCTAGAGAGGAGTCCTCTCTCACTGACCATTATAATGTAGCTAGAAATCTGGTAGGATTAAAGACTCCCCTTCAGGAAATAATTTGTTCTTGAGTTTCCAGGAATTATAGTGATGCTTCTGAAAGTAATGCTAAGTATCCTTCCCGGTCCCTATATGGGAAACAATGTAGCAGAAGTCATTACTTATTTCAATGCCTGCACGAGTATTCAAATCTGGGACCTCTGACTTACTAATCTGACACTCCACTGATCAAGCTTAAGAGTTTTTTCTAGCTGAACAGTATATTGCTGCTAGTATTTTACCAGGGATACATAAATAACATTTTATGCCCCTAAATAAAATGGTAAAAGCTATCATCAGGTCAAGACAACAGTGTAGTTGAGAAGTGTGTATTTTCACCTGGACTCTTTCTTACGGACAGTAAGTGACTCTCGTTGTGGTCTATTGGAAAGGGTACTAGCAACACTGCCTTCCTCTCCAAATCCTGCCCCACTAATCCCAGCACTGAGTCCGGGTCTCTCCCCCATCTGACCTGTTCTCAGACCTGTTGACCTCACACGCTGGGTTAAAGAGTTGAGGATATCTGAAGTGTTAGCAGTGAAGTCAGACTGAGCAGCTCCTAAAAACAGAAAATGAATCTCAATTCATTCACCATACATGGGATTAAAATCCAACATACAGTAACACACTAGCCTTACAGGATTAATTATACATATCTCTGTTCCCCAGGAATTCCTTGAATAGACAACCAACATCTCCTGTTTCATGTCAACATTATCTGATGTCGGGTTTATATCATAGAATTTTTACTGTACAATAATATCCCACTTTTCATGCTCATTCCAATATTAGGACACAGATCTACTGAAACTTATAAAATGTCTGAAATACATGCATATATCAGCATTCCAAAACAAATGGAAATACAGATCAAAGATTCCTTTATACATTACATTACGATGCAGATCACTTCTCAGAACATATCCACATCAGTGAACAACTTAATATACTTGGGGTATGAAATGTTTGATGAAGTATTGGTTCTACACCATTACAAGAAGCTTCAGAATGCAATAAATATTACAAATCTGATAGTAGTAAGGAGAAAATATAAACAAGTAGAGGACAACTTTATTGGTGAGAACAACATACCTCCATCCTTACTACTAGAAGCTTGTGACCACTGTCTTTGGTGACTGCTTGTTCTGAAAGTAATTAACAAACAAAATTATCTATTGCTTCGGTCAACATTTTTTAAACAAGAGGCTCAAAGGGCCAGAATTATTCACTTGCTCTGAAGCTTTCAACGAGGCAAATTTGATTCTTTTAAACTTATATAATCTATTGAATTCATCTCAGCAAGCTACAGGTCAGGTATCATGACCCTGGGCTTTTGTGTTATTGAGAAGATATAATACATTTGTTTCATCTATTAGAACAAACTTGAAAGCCTTTAATCCATTGCATACTACTGGCCACATACCATGACTCTAGACCTTTTGTTTTTAAAAATTTGACTTTAGTCAAGATCATTCACTTTGACAAACTTTAAATCAACAATCTTCTAAATGTTTGAATCTCACAACTGTAACTGATTGTCAACACTTCTAACTTATTTGGTAATAAAATCAAAATCTTCGTAGGGTTTGTATTTCCTGTCATGGAAATCTATATGTTGTTTCATGAAGTGTTATCATATATCTTATAGCATGTTGTGCATTCAGTCTATTTTATTTTAAATTGTTTATTTTAATACTTTCTACACACTTTTTCTTCTTCCTAGCTTGAGAGACAGGAAGTGATGGTATGGACTCCTCAATCCTCGGTTGTAGAGATTCATTCCTACGAGATAAGAGTCGCTCTGTGTGTGCTCTCTGCTTACTTCCAGTACTCTGTGTACTGGCAGATCTTCCTAAAGACCGACTCCTCGCGTCCTGTCCTTGTGTCAGCCCATCCCCTAAACGCCTCTCTGATTCAAACACATTATCCTCACCAATAGCCTGTCCCGAGAGAAGATTATCCATGCTTTGCCGCTGGAGGAAGCTTGATGGTGGTTGACTGAAGCTGTCTGGTCGAGGCAGTGCCCCAATGTTAGGCGACAGGCCTCGACTATCTACAGCAGCTGAGAGTGAAGTGAGAGAGCGCAGACGAATTTCATCTGGTGTGAAGCCCTGTATGTGACGCTGAAGGTTCTGGATCTCCATCTGCTGCATGGCTATCTGTTGCAGACACTGACTCATGTTCATCATCATCTGCTGTTGTTGCATTTGCTGCTGGAACATGTCAGGCATTGCATTTCCCCGGTATCCAAAGCCTAAAGAAACAGCCATAGTCTCATCAGAATGTAAATTTGTGTTCAGTGTAAGAAGTTGTGCAATACCTTTTCATAATTTAGATATCATATAGCTTTCATCATCACTTTTCAAAAACATCATTCTAAGCATATCTTATCTCAAATTTTTTTTTTCATTTTCTCTTTTTTTCGTCAACTTCATTGTTAGGTTTAGACTTTTCATTAGTAATTAGATTAAATTTTTAACACGTTGCTAATGTTTACCTGGAGAAGGCATGGCACTGGTCTGCAGCAGCCCCATACCAGGGAGAGCCTGACTTTGGTCTGCACCCATCAGTGTCTGACACATGGAGGCTGTTCTCTGTAGTTGTAACTGTAGGGCTTCATACTGACTGGCTGAGGAGTCCATCAGTTTACTACCATCTGGTGAATCATCTTGCATTAACTCCTGAGGGGAACGGAAATTCTACAAGTAAAACACAGATCTCTTGTGGTTACAAAAATTATTCATCGACTAAAACTACTTTCTGGGGTTTTCTTACGATATTGTGAAACTGGCAAGTCTGTATTCAGCAAAAATTTGATATTTTTTTCCTATATGTTAAATGTTACAATATCCTTCTCTCAAAACAAATAGTTATAAAATTCAGCGATATCTTATGCCCTTAAAGCTATGCATTTCTAAACAGTTAATATGTTGATATAAAATAAGAAATGCAATATACTGACTTCCTGTTTGACTCTTCCTTGCTTTGTCTTCTTTGACCAGCTTCCTTGTTTTGGTCGCGCTCCATCTGGAAGCAAATGGGAAAGAGAAACACTGACATAAATATGTAGACAAGAAATTAGTCAAAGGATAGCTTTTTTTTACGTGATAACTTTTCAGGTAATTTCCTTGGCAAATATATGCCTTTCTATCTGCATTTCATTATAAGACCAATCAAAGACTTTGAACTTTTTGGAATATTTTCCAAACAATCTTGCGATTTTTTTCCCAACACTTCAGCACAAGCAGTGACAAAATACTTTGAAATGGGAACTTGGACTACAGGGGGTATGACAAAAGTTAACAACATAACCTTCAAGGTAGTTTTTGAGAATCTGAGAACTGTAAATAATGTTGACCACAAGATGTTTAAAATAGTAATACCTTTCTGATCTTTTCGAGCTCTTGGAAATGTGCGGCGTTTCTGTGCCCTTGAAGGCCCTGTAGTCACATGTCTCTGTGTGCGTGCCTCTCGCCTCTGTCTAACATCTTCCTCTATAGTGTATGTATTGTTATCTGAATCATTCTCCTCTTCTTCTTCTTCCACTTGGATGATTCCATCACTGGGGTAAGCTAGGAGAGATAAATTCTGTCTTATTTCTCCTGACCTAATTTTTTTGTTTTTTATTTCCCCAAGACATCATTTCATAAATTTATGTAAATGTATATAATTCCTTCACCATTCTCTTAAAAAGATGCATCCTTTACAATCTGCAGCAACCCTCCTCCTCATCTTCCCTTCCATATCTTGTATAGTCATCTGTTATAAGATTGCTCTAACTATATCTCCCTTTGTCACCGTTTCTGCACCACCCCTCACACCCTATGTGTTGGGCTACAGACTACAATAAGCCACCCTGTGACAATTTAAATTTACTAACAAAACCTGTCAGGTTAAACAAGAAATAATACCTTTCTCAAATTAAAGGAAAAAGATGTTTTATGTCAATTTAAACTTGTTTGATCTCATCCATTTTATCAAATATTTCTGTACATACCATCATCATCCTCCTCCTCCCTGTCCAGTCTGTCATTGTCCTCAGTAATACTCTCAAGGTTGTCTACAGTAGATCCTCCCCATGTGGCCATAGTAGCATCTGCACTCATACTGGCACTGCAAAACAAATGTCATACACACATACATTTCGTGTTAATGACACTTCAAAACAAACGTCATACACATATACATTTTGTGGTACTGGCATTTCAAAACAAACATCATACACAAATACATTTTGTGTTAATGACACTTCAAAACAAACGTCATACACATATACATTTTGTGGTACTGGCATTTCAAAACAAACATCATACACAAATACATTTTGTGGTACTGGCATTTCAAAACAAACGTCATACACAAATACATTTTGTGTTAATGACACTTCAAAACAAACGTCATACACAAATACATTTTGTGTTAATGACACTTCAAAACAAACGTCATACACAAATACATTTTGTGGTACTGGCACTTCAAAACAAACGTCATACACAAATACATTTTGTGGTACTGGCATTTCAAAACAAACGTCATACACAAATACATTTTGTGGTACTGGCACTGCAAAACAAACATCATACACAAATACATTTTGTGGTACTGGCACTTCAAAACAAACGTCATACACAAATACATTTTGTGGTACTGGCACTTCAAACAAACGTCATACACAAATACATCTTGTGTTAATGACACTTCAAAACAAACGTCATACACAAATACATCTTGTGTTAATGACACTTCAAAACAAACGTCATACACATATACATTTTGTGGTACTGGCATTTCAAAACAAACGTCATACACAAATACATTTTGTGGTATATCAAACTGATTGAAGAGATTAGAAACATCAACACACAAATAAAGACAATCTATCAGACACTAGTAAGAAGAAATACTTCCTTCTGTATATAAAACTTTAAGCTATCATGATCAGAAAATACTGTGTCTGCAGACGTAAACCTATAGATAAAAAAAAGTGTTAATCTATCAATGTATGTATACAGTGTACATATCTTACGTTATTAAGAAGTGTTAACTTCCTGAATGTCTGTAGAAAGAGGTTGATATTTCCCTTACCCATACATATCTGTAGAGTAGGATACTGTAACTTGCTGAATGTCTGTAGAAAGAGGTTGATATTTCCCTTACCCATACATATCTGTAGAGTAGGATACTGTAACTTGCTGAATGTCTGTAGAAAGAGGTTGATATTTCCCTTACCCATACATATCTGTAGAGTAGGATACTGTAACTTGCTGAATGTCTGTAGAAAGAGGTTAATATTTCACTTACCCATACATATCTGTAGAGTAGGATACTGTAACTTGCTGAATGTCTGTAGAAAGAGGTTAATATTTCACTTACCCATACATATCTGTAGAGTAGGACACTGTAACTTGCTGAATGTCTGTAGAAAGAGGTTAGTATTTCACTTACCCATACATATCTGTAGAGTAGGATACTGTAACTTGCTGAATGTCTGTAGAGAGAGGTTGATATTTCACTTACCCATACATATCTGTAGAGTAGGACACTGTATCACTTTGATTGTCCTGGTTTTTTGAGTAATGTTTCTTGTTGCCATTATCCTTCTTCATAATAGCCTCCAGTTCTCTCTTTTTCTGTCTCAATTCTTCCCTCATCATTCTCTGTTTCCTCATTTTTCCATATACTTCATCATTTGAGGAAACTTAAAAACGATGGAAAATATTTCCTTCAATGATAGGCGAGACTGACATCTATTGGAACTTAATCTTTTGTAGAAAGCATTAGGCATAAAACAAAACCATGCACAGAAGAAATGATGCTGGAATACTGAGGTTGGGTAGTGTTTTTTTTAAACTGTAATAGCCCCATTATCCAGGGTATATTCATTGCAAAGTGTGACAACATGTTGATACTCTTTTATAATTAGAAATGTTTTCAACAGTGCAAGTTTTACACTTATCTTCATGATTACAAATATTAGTAAACAAAGTGCAGATTTTACTAGTGAAGGATGAGTCTTTTTAACAGAGTATTCTTCATTGAAGCAGAATATTTTCAGACTTACATTTGACGACAGGAGCACTGAGTCTCAATGGTCGCTGGTTTTCCTTATCTTCATCATCTACCTCCTCCTCATCTTCTTCAGCAGCAGGATCTGATATTTCCTTTATTTCTGTTTTCACTTCTCGTTTGTTTTCTTCATCTTTCTCAGGCATCTAAATGTACAATTTAGCATCTGAAGTGATATATACCGCCAGTACTTCTTTATTGGAAAAGGAGCTGGTGTAAAGTTTAACATAAGTTCAACATACATGAGAAATTTTAAAATGTGTCTTTCAAAATTTAGTGCCATAACATAAATTTTACACAGGAAAATATAAATCCAAATCTACTAAATAAGTTTTTTAAATGTGTTTTTCATACGAATGGAAACAAATTTTAAACAACAATAATGTGATTTCTGTGAAGTGAAACAATGAGTCAAAAGATTTCCGTGAAGTGACACAATGAGTCAAAAATATTTCCATGAGGTGAAACAATGAGTCAAAAGATTTCCATGAAGTGAAACAATGAGTCAAAAAGATTTCCATGAAGTGAAACGAGTCAAGAAGATTTCCATGAAGTGAAACAATGAGTCAAAAAGATTTCCATGAAGTGAAACAATGAGTCAAAAAGATTTCCGTGAAGTGAAACAAAGAGTGAAAAAGATTTCCATGAAGTGAAACAATGAGTCAAAAAGATTTCCATGAAGTGAAACAATGAGTCAAAAAGATTACCGTGAACTGAAACAATGAGTCAAAAAGATTTCCATGAAGTGAAACAATGAGTCAAGAAGATTTCCATGAAGTGAAACAATGAGTCAAAAAGATTTCTGTGAAGTGAAACAATGAGTCAAAAAGATTTCTGTGAAGTGAAACAATGAGTCAAAAAGATTATATCTAACCCCAGCAAAATGTCCCTGCAACGCCTGTAACTCCTGCTGAATAGTGAGCAGTCTTCTTCGCTCATCCTTCAACGCCTCCAGTTCTCTCAACTGATTTTTGGCTTCTTCTAATGAATCTCTGAAACATCAAATGTAAACCAACACTCAATAACTGCCAATGAGTTGTTTGAATTGTCTCAACTTTTTAAATGAAGTAAGTATTTATCAATGGTTTACATTGAACCTTTGACTCCTATTCTCCATGACAAGTATCGATACATAGCCTTCAGCCCTCATTCCATAATCCTGTTCTTACCAGGCTCCAGTCCATCTATATTTTCAAAACATGTATTTTGCTTAGTTCCTGCTGTTTTGAGACTTTGCATTTTGTTTAACATATTAACTCAGTAAAATAATAAAAAGATTTTGACATTGATAAATGAAGAAAGGTCAATTTGTTTTAATGTTAGCATTAAATACAAAATGCTCACCTTTCTGTCTGCAACATGGGCACCTCACCATCCGAGAGGAGATGGTCGTGTGACTCAGCAGGGGGCTGGCCATCACTCTCAAGACTGGCAGCAAGCTCAGCCAAGTTGTCAGGTAGACCTCTAGCGCCATCTGGTGACTGCTGAACTATAGACACTAGATCCTGTAATTGTCGTAGCTTTTCTTTGGCTTCTTTTAACTTCCTGTTAAATCATAAACAGCACAAAGTTTTAGAAAATGACAGGAAATAATAACTATTAACAAATTCAACAATTTTTTTCTTATTCATTCCCCAAAATTCTTACTGGACTTTTTCCTGTATTTCTGGATCATCTCCCCAAGGGCCGAGACTGGACAGATGGGATTCTGATTCTGAAGATCTACTCTCCTCTGAGCGGTTGTCTTCATCTGACTTCAACTGAGTAGCAGCAGCTGCAACCACTCCTGCTGATGGTGCCATACTATAGGGTTTCCTTTGAGGAGGTTGTGATGGTGGACTCTCTGCCTCACCTTCAGTTAGGCTACAAACAACACAAAAGGACAAAATCAATAATTTGTACCTACTGTCTGTTGTCTTTGGATATTTACATTTTGTGAAATTTCGAAATGTAATCACATTTTACATTTATACACAAAAAGACGTTTGCTGTGCTAACAACATGGATTATGATTAAGCATCAACCAGTCTTATTTCATATGATATTTCATAGAAAGCCATAGATGAAAAGATACGTATAATTTTGTTAGATAGGAACAAATATGCTAGAAAAGCTGATAAGGAAACAGAAAATTAATTAGTTAGAGTAGTATTGAATAAGATTACAGTTGAAAAGGGCGTTTTCACCAGTGTTTAATTTTCAATATCAGGTATTTCTGATATAAGATTACATGGTCAGTACAGAACTGGCTAATTTTTAATTTATCAGTTCAGATAAAGCATTCTACAAAAAAAGTAACTAATGCTGCGAAGAATTGTAAATTAACAAATTATCCACCAAACAACAACAATTACCCAGACATTCCTCCCAGGTTATGCATCTCCTCCATCATGTCAAGTTGTGCCCTGAAGGCTGCTGCAGTGGTCTCATCTGACTGGTTGCCTCCTTCTGTTGTCTCACTCTGGTAATATTGTACCAGTGACCGTAGCTGGTTCAATCTCTGTTTGACTTCTTGTAGTTTTCTGTAGTATATATCATGATATTAGTTCAAATCCTTCTCAGACATTGTTTTAAGATACAATATTTTACTGTAAGTTTATTTAAAGGAAAAACATTCCCAATAAATTAAGACATAATTTATCACAAATACAGATTAGGGATTTTCCAGTAAAACACTTCCCCTCTTCCAGGACTATAATAGGGGTACTACCAAATGAGTTTAATTAGAACACAAACAAAGGGCAGGAAATCAAACCAAGAGTAGAAGCAATTTATTTTAAGTTCTCGGATAAAGTAGATGTTTTACTGGACCAGCGCTTACTGTATGATGGATCGATAATAGTTATATTGATATTTTTTGTCAGAAAATCTTATGGTCACTATCAATAAGCACCAACCTTAGTTTTTCCTGTGCATCAAGGATGTCTAGGATCTCCTGTGCATTTGTTTCTGTGTTTCCCGCCTCATTTAAAGCAGCCTTACTTTCCTCTAACAATGAGGTGTTGGGTGCTGAGGCTGTTTGGGCGACTGGTATCTCTACAAAATCACATCAGTTCATACATAAAGACAGAAATGACAATACTCAAGGTTCTGGTAACTATACCAAAGGACATAAAGATTAAATTGACTATATACAAGGCCGAGTATGATGGTAAAGTTGATTTTACATAAAACCATGTATAAAGGTAAAATCTATACACAAAGTCAATATACAAAGACCAAATTGAGCGTACAAAGGACCATATATGAAGGCAAACTTGACTTTACACAAGGTCATGTATGAAAGTGAAACTGACTTAACACAAGATCATGTATGAGGGTGAAATTGACTTTACACAAGGTCATGTATGAGGGTGAAATTGACTTTACACAAGGTCATGTATGAGGGTGAAATTGACTTTACACAAGATCATGTATGAGGGTGAAATTAAATTCATACAGGTCATGCATAAAGAATAAAAGTATGTAGTATCTTTGGTTCAAGTAGCAAATATACAGTTTTCGGTTTTTCATTTCATACCAAGTTTCACATGATTGTATTAAAATGAAATGACCAGAGAAAAAATTTAATACATTATCAGATAAAAAGTAATTAATCATTTTTTTCTCCTAACCTGGTTCTATTTGGGGCATGTTATTCAAGGCAGCATCGAAGCGCTGTGACCGTAGATTCTGGAGCTCCTGTAACAATGTATCCATGCGTTGTTTTTTAGACTGAAGGTCCATTAGTTTGTCCTGTAACTGGCGTCGGTTATCCTCTAAAGCAGCAGCATTAGTAGCTGCCTCCAACTCAGGATTACTTTGTCTCTCAGCAGTTTCTGGTGTCTACAAAATACAGGTTTTAAGTCTCCATCAGAAAAATAAAAGATTTTCACTAGTCTCTGTGTTGTAAATAACAAGCTATCAGCAACTCTTTTTTACTGTCTATTTTCCTTCCACATGTGTTTCCTAGATAAAACAAGAAAAGATACAGGTCAAGCTGTGACCTTCCTCTCTTAGTATGACACCTACTTGCACTCCTCTCTGACATTCAACCAAGACAACAAGAGAGAAGATATTGATACAACTTGTTTCACAATCACTCTAGATAACATTTGTTACACCTGCCCAGCATACTGTCCTCTACTCCTCTCTGACATTCAACCAAGACAACAAGAGAAATGATATTGATATTTATGTTGGAATATTCAGATAATGTAATCAGTAATGATGTATTTGGCAATGATGTGTCTTATAAGGATGTGTCTAGTAAGGATGTGTCTTATAAGGATGTGTCTTATAAAGACGTTGGAGAATGTATTTATGCTGGAATAATTAGATTATGTATTCAGTACCTGTTCTTTGAGTTCATTGCGTAGGTAGTTGAGATGTTGTCGGATCTCCTGCAGGTCCCCAGGCAAACCATCTGTGGTGTTCCTGGATGTCTGGGGGTTGTTGTCCACTGACTGGCCCACAGGTTTTTGATTGGCAGACATGAACATATGATTCTGACTGGTGTTGGTTGCAGGTGCTGATGAAGCTGGAAACAAGATACATACCATAAAATGTTGCTACAGTAAACAGATTTGCCAACAAATTGGATTAATATTTTTAGGTATTTAAGTAAAAAATGTGTTCGTTTAATTAACAAAGTGTTTAGGCAAAGCACCCTTAATGAAGTTGATTTGAAAAATCAATCGACAAAACTAGGAAAACTGGTTCATATTTTTTTTCTTATCAATGAATAGAATATATCACTGAAGCAGTTATTAACACTGAACATTATAGTAACTAAACTATCTTAATAATATGAATGTCTCAACTTTTTCTGAAAATCAAAGTTGACTTGAAGAATGAAGTATATTTTTCCATTAAATTCCTGAGTAAAGTTGATGCAGTAGAAAGGAAATTTTGAAAAATCATTAAAAAAACATACAAACCTCTCATACGTTCACTTGCTTTGGCATCGGCTAACTTCCTCTCAGCATCTTGCTGCAACGCTAATAATTCTGTCTGTCTTCCTCTCAAAGCCTTCATCTGAATATAAACATACATTAAATAAGAACACAATATCTGTCAAATTCTTTGAAACAAATAAAGGAGTGAAAATTATTTCAATCAAAGTTGAAGGAGATTACATTTTCTGCACACTTACTTGTTCCTGTTGGTGAACCAGCTTCTTTAGAAGTTCTTGTTGTTGTCTTAGTGATTTCACTTCATTCTTTCTCAACTCTTCCACTTCCATTCTTGCCTAAACATTAATAAGTTACCATTAAATGGTATTTTGGTAGGTTATTATTCTTTCAACAGAATGTAAAAAATCTGTCAGATGCAGCTTGACAATTCATTAATGAATTAATGCTTATTTCTATCAATATTGACAAATTTATGTATAGATTTTTCCCAAACTCTATAATTCTACGAAGTTTTACAGTGGCTATAAATATTTCTTGTTGCTTATTCCTACAAAATAGTATTTTTATTATTATATATTTTTTAGTACCTTTTAAAGTGAACATAAAGTCAACAGTAACTGAATACCTTTGAAGGAGGATAGGGTATCAGGGTCTGTAGTAATAAAGTTTAATCTGAATGTGCCATGAAAGCAAGCAATAAGGGAAATTGGAGTGATAACAATAAGGCTGAAGATAGACAAGCAAAGACACCTAAATAGGGATAAATATCTAAGTACCTAAGGGATAGGTGTATCACGACACTTTACTCAAAAGATTCAAGATCTGTTGATTTAATAAATGAGGTAAAAAAAATTCCTGCTAACCTCTTGTTCAAAATCCTCGTGCATGTAGTCCCAATCCCGAGTATGGTTGTCTGTATTGGTGGTCAGTGTGTTATCCATCATGTCTGGCCCTGGAGAACCATCACCAATTGTGCGCTCTACATTGTCATTCTCTTCCTCATCTCCATCAGTCAATCCTAGCTTATCTTCAATACGTGGACGCCATGCTAATGGGCTTGTCTCATTATCTTGCTGTTGGCATTAAAAAGGGAAAAAAACATAAGTCAATACAACTGTAACTAACAAATTTACTGAAAAAAATTGTGTATCCAAATTAAAACAAATACATTGTGTTACATACCGTTGTGGCATCTGATGTCTCAGACTGAACTTCCAGATCCACAGAACAAGCTTCCTCGTCTGCAGACTCCATAACCAAGGGTGTTTCCTGTCCTTGGTTACTCCAGTCAATGGCTGTGCTGTCCTCCTTCACTGACTGAAGAGAAAACTCAGACACTTAAAAAAATTACATTGTTAACTTATTTCATCAAACAATAAACCCATGTCTAGTAGTAATTCCACCCACATGCATTTCCAGTCAGTCACATTAGCAACATTCACTAATTGTGCTTTCTTTTATAAGCCCAACCACCTGACTTTGAGTCAGAGGTAAGTATTGGCTTACAGGGATCATTGCACAATAAATATGGGGTACATGCCTTTAAGTTAGAAGTTAACATTACCAATAAAATTCCACTGATAGAAAAACATAGATCAAATGTCATACATATTAAAAAGACTATTAACTTATCCTAATCTTTTCAATATGCACCCGACAACTTATAGACATACAGCATTGTTAATTTCCACAGAAAAATGAACTAATGGTAATTGAACAATGACAAGTCTAAATGATGAATTCAGAAGATACTATTATGAAGTCATATCTATAACAAAGAAGATACTATCATGAAGTCATATTTATAACAAAGATGATACTACCATGAAGTCATATTTATAACAAAGAAGATACAATCATGAAGTCATATTTATAACAAAGAAGATGTTATGAAGTCAGGTTAGTGACAGTGTTTGTACAATAAATTAGTATACCATAGGTTGATTAAACAGTTATAATACCAGTGTATAACACTGAATAAAACAAACTATTGGATACACCAATCTGAACAAAACTATCTAAACAAAGATCAGATCATACCTTATAACACAAGGATCAAAGATGAACATAAGTTTTTTCTCTTCAATTTGAAGGTTGTTGCCTTTACAAAATTATCTGCAGTAAGTCTTGTCAAAAAAGTTACCTGTCTATAAAGGTCATCAGTGTGTAAAAGTTACCTGTTTACAAAGGTCACTAGTCTAAAAAGGTCCCCAGTCTATAAAGGTCACCTGTCCATTAAGGTCACCTGTCTATAAAGGTCACTTGTCTATTAAGGTCACCTGTCTAATAAGGTCACCTGTCTATAAAGAGAACTTATCTTTGTTTTGATGTATCGTTATTAATATTATTAGTATTACATTCTTAACAGCTTGTCAACACATAAAAGGTCATAAGGTCCATCAAACGGTAAAACACACAGCGATCTTGTTTTGATATAAAAATTTCATATCAATTAAACCTCTATATAAAGGCCAACTGTGTAAAAAGGCCACTTTTCTCTTTTCACTTCAATGACCTTTATAGACAGGGTTAACTACTTACTTTAATTTAACAATAAGCAAGTACGAATAAAAACAACTATTCCACACAAAACATAACAGAAAATATGTCAACACAATAAACACAAAACATGTTGTCTAAAGATGCATCATGAAAACATGTGGAGAATTAGATTTTTTATTACATGTATAAAGAAACTGAAAACCATGCAGTAAAACTGAAAACCACGCAGTAAAACTAAGAAAGATGTGACCTGGCACCTACATCTCCAGTAAATGAATGGGACACATAATACAATACATGAGGATATATAAGCCTAATGATTACAAATATAATGACATAACTTAAACACACTATATTAAAAATGCAGAACACAATTTGAAAATATTTTAAAGTTTAGACCTGAACAAATTCCATCTAATTTAATAGGGTTTAGCATGCTGTAACCAATACCCCATGATGAAATGAAGCAAACGACATGTTGAAGTACAGGTATGTATAAGATACACATGCTGGACAATGATAGTCTATATCTGATAACTGCCTGCACACTTTGTGATCACTACTCACCAAACACTGGGCCATAAAAGCTACATAGCCTTTTTCCTGTTCCTCAAGACTTGTAACAAGTTTGGATACTCTCTCATAGTCTTCTTTATTTTGCTGTGAGAGAAGCACCAGATCACATTGAAGAAAAAAAGTATTGAGTGAACATAAAACAAAAACGCTTGTGGATAGACAACTACTGTTGGAGATTCATATCACATATTATTGAATTTGTCATAAGGATTAAATCAGAAAGTCCGAGACTTCAAAAACTTATTTCATAAAATAAATCTCCAACTTCATTGTCTTACCAATGGTGTTATTTGTATAATGTGAATAGAACATAACATTACACTGTAAAATTCATTACTCTCTGGTCACTAACCCAGAAGTCTTGCAGAATGTCCATGAAGCAAGCCTCTTGTTCTCGCAGAGACGCAATCACCTGTCCTAATTTACTTGCTTTTCGATGACCCGTCTATAAATGTTAAAATTGTCAAGTCTAATGATTTTTTAAGACTTCTCTAAGAGTGCCATGATCATCGAACGTAGTTTTCCATCAATACAGCAAACCTCATATTTTCGAGAGACAATATTTTACATGATGATACAAATAATGATTTGTGTAACAAATGTACTGATCACTGTTAACATTATAACATAAATCTATGACTACACTTTTATTAATTCTATTAATATCTGCATTTGAATCATCAACATTCAAAATCATTTGAAATATGTATATGCAACTGGTGATTTTACAGTTGTAAATGGTGGCAGACAAATATACCAACAGGGCCAATGAAAATTTAAGCATGACACCCTAAGGTATTTTGATGAATCCTCCATAAAAATGTTCTAGAAAATTTGAGATATAGCAGGCCCAATTTAGATTTTACGTGGACAATTTCCCCTGCTGAGTTAAGATATATCAGAAGAGACTTACAGGAGAACCTGACTTAGACAGAGCTTCCTTCATTGTGTTAGCCTGTTTTATGTACTCCCTAATCTGCATCAGTCGGCTGACGATATGACCATGTTCTCCTTGCTGTAGAATAAAGGAACCCAGGCATAAGTGAACTCATCATGAAAATTTTTGAATTTGAAATTCTTTGATAAGTCAAATGGTTGTTTACTAGATTTAAATTCAATTGTATAACATACCATCAATGTTCATAAGGTATCATTGGTATTCTCTTCACACACAAGTAAAACATGAGCAAATATTTTCAGTGAAGTGCATTATTTATATACACCATTTGACTGTGTTTGACCTTTGACACCTAAATTAAAACAAGTCAGTTGGTAAAAAGTAAATCAATGTTGTTGCAGTCTGGAAGGAAATTAAAGTGAATTGGAAAACACTGCTAATTAGCAGTTATGCACTATTTTAAAATATCAAACAACTACCTATATGTAAAACATCTGGTTGAATACTCCCTGATCATTCTGGCATTACTCAACAGATGTTGTACAGTACACTGATAACATCCAACTTACCAGCTCTGATCCTCTTCCTGCTGTGGCTCCTTCTGATGTACTCGAGGTATCTTGACGAGTGAAGTTTTCCAACTTGCCTCGGCGTGTAGGAACATTTCTTTCATTATTTCTTTCACCATCATTACTTCCCTATTTAATAAAACCATGTGAAATCAGTCTTTTTTATTTCTTTTGTTTTTCTTTTTCTTCCTCTCTCTCTTTTCTTTTTTTGTCCCATCAAAACACAACAACCAAAAAAAGTTAAGAAAAGGGAAATAGAACATTTCTGTTTTCAAATGTGGGCTATTCCAGTAAAGCATCTATCCCACTCCTAGGACTCCAGCTGTAATTAAGGTGTGCCAAACATAGAATTTAATTAATTTACAAGTAATAAGAAGGATATAGAACCATGGATAGGTGTGATTTATCATTGAAGTCCTGAGGACAAGTAGATGTTACACTGGAACAGTCCAGAAGGATATTGACCAGATATGAAACACATTATAGAGGCAAAGAGTGATTGAATGATGAGTTGTCACATTTGAATTGTCCTTTAGTCCATTCATAATTTTAGACCAATTCTTAATGAGAGAAATTACTAACTGATCATGAAAATACAAAAGATGGCATGTGAATGAATGTGAGATAAAGAAAACACAGTTCAAAGGTCAAGAATAACTGTGTAAATTTGAGAAATTACTTCACCTCCTGCTTCAAATTTTGTAATGAAACAATCCATGTCAACAATGCAGGATTGATACATTATGTAAATCAGTAATATATAATTAAATAGTACAACAAATAACATGTTTCTACAATATTCAATTTGTTTAATGAAGGTTTATATTAAACAGGATTTAAAACTCATTGAGTTGGTGAAATTTTCTCAACAGTATGATGGAAAACAAATGATGTTTTTCTATGAAAGGAAGAAAATCTATACATGATAAATTCTACAAAAGTAAATTGAAACAATAAGCTAGATGTACCAATATTATGCCTTAATTTGGGTATGATATCGTAAAGCAGTAATACATATATGCTTACATCCTCTAAATCACTAAATGTCATGTGCTGGCGAAGTTTTTCTAGCGCAACTCTTTGAGAAGTGGGTGTACTTGGGGTTATACGAGTGCGAGGAAAGGTTGAAGGGGTGCGCTGCTGACGTTCAGATGGGGGTGGAGAATCCAATGATAAGGACTGTTCTCTTTCTCTTTCCGGATTGCCTTTCTTCCGACGCTTAGTATTATCTATACCAGGGTTAGGTTTCCAGCCAGAAAAATCCTACAGGTTAGATAGAACCAGGTAAAAAAAACTTCACACCAATAAATCAAACCTGATTAGTGTTAATTAGAAAATGTATTAAAAGTGAAAACCATATTAAATGAATATGTAGAATAATTGAAATTTGTAGTCATTGTAAAAGACGCCTTGTGGTGTGTGAATATGATGTATTAGTTTTAGCAACAACATAAGCCTGAATATTTTTCACTAGCTCACCATGGACTAGTTATGGTCCTAAATCAACCAGTCTGAACTTGGTATTTCACAAGTACAGGACGTCGGGCTACTAGAATTGCACACCCCTGAATATATGTACCAACCTCCATCAGTTCTTCTTTTCAGAACTGTAAACAATTTTGGAATGTTGCAAATGTTGTTTCATAAAATGCTGAAGATGCATACAGACAAAAACCAAACCTGTATCTAATATCCAAAACTAAATATTGTTAGTACAGATGGAATTAATTAAGACTACTGTTGATAGAAATAGTGATGATAAGTCACAGTTCAGCATCAGTTGATAAGCTTCTATTGATAAGTTAGGTGTTTTTATACAATTAACACTATATATAGTAAACATGAACATGAAAATAATATGCATGATGAAAAACTACAAAAAAAGGAAGCAACATCCTTGATACTAGGGGTAATGATCAATTTCACTTTCTGCACCCCGGGAACAATTCCTGGCAAATTGAAAGCACAAGCCAAGTAATTTGATTGGTCCAGAGTGGGTTTTCTGAGAAAAAACTGACCAATCACTGACTGATATGCTCCTTTGAAGATCCAACTTCTAAGCCAGTACAGCACAACATCATGTGACCTTGCATTCATTTGATGTATATCAAACTTGTCTTTTCATCTTCTCCACAAAGTGTTACACATGGATTTAAATTTTGCCGTAAAATATTCCAGGGGTGAAAAGAGTGATAGTAAGAGTAACCCTTGGAGTATCGAGGATGGGAAACATATGAGAGTCTACAAAAAGGTTATGGTGCATAGGAAATAATGATTTATTTTTTTACCAGCCTTGACTTAAAATCAGGAAGCCTGTTAGAGCTTAGTGAATCAGATTTTACACACCTTTAAACACAAGATTCAAGGTTGTACACAATTAAAACACTTATATACTCCAGAATAAGTGCAAATTATGTGCATACATTAACATTACCAATACAACTTACTTTTCCATCACTACAAAAAAAAAATACTGTTCTAAAGACTTGATTGAAAAAGGCCCATTTAAAATTATCTGCACCTTTAGACTACCCATTTGTTGGTATTACTTTTAGACCATTTTTCTGTACTTAGAATTCTAAGACTTTCAGGGTTTCCTATTTTATAACTGGTACACAATGAAAAAGACTATTTTGATTACATGAAACTATCATACAGATAATTCTAATAAAAGAATTGTAGAGTGTTTAAACTGAAACAGTAGAAAATGGTTCTCTGGGGTCACTCTACACTGAAGATTTTTAAGATTTATTTAAATCATCAACCATCAAAAACCAATACTTACAAGGATAAAACAAAATATTAAATCCGTTTTCAGTATAATAAACAGCAACCCACTGTTTCGACTTTACCTTTATATGCCTTAAACTAAATTGGGATAGAATTCTGGTTTTCCTACAAAGAATGCTTTTCGAGAAATGTCGCTGTTTTTCCTAGCTCCATTGGGTCATGCCCCTCTAGCCCAAGGCATATCCAACATTTATGCAAACTTGAGTCCCCAGCATCCAAGGATGTCTCAAATTCAACCCCCTTCAACAAAGGATGCTTCAAATCTTTAATTAATGGTAGAGACCCATTGTTCACACAAAATTGATTACCCTTCACCAAAGGATGCTTGAACAGAACCATTTATGCAAAAATAGATTCCCCTTTCTTTCATGGATGCTTCAAACCAAATTCAAACAGAATACATAATTAATGTTATTCATAAATGAATTGTCAAATCCTTTTTGAGTCAGTTTTAAGTACCAGATAATCCTGACAATCAATGATGACTGCCTCACAGAATCTTTCATTTTTCCATAAAAAAAACCTTGATAATCCTATAGCAATGCAATGTGCAGCCCCCTCCCCTGCCCAAATTTGGACATTTATTTTCTCAAAAAAAAAAAAAAAAACCTGCACACATTATGTGGGTTTTTATGATAATTATGATATTGTTTCATGCAAATCAAAAACATTTTAGTGACATCATCTGGCAGAAAACATTAACTTTGTTAAGAAAACATAAAAAAAAACAATCTAAGGCTTACATAATGTTACTTTGAATATGATTTATAATTTCCAATTATCATATCCAAATAAAACAACAGATCTTACTACAACAAATTTAACCTACCCAGTTATTGGGTCGCAAATCGTTTGGAATGCTGTGTATACTAATATTATCCTCCTTATCTGATGCACTTGTTGACCTTTGCCATGCTTTTCTTGGTCTTGGGTCAGTGGATGCAGATTTCATGAACTGGCGATTGCCACCGGTTGCCATGTTTGACAATTCTATAACAAAACAGCAAAACATAATGAAAACCAATCCTTAAAGTTCATCGTGCTCAATCCAACAACAAAAGTTAGACAAAAAATATTCACTGACAATCTTGTCTGTTTGACAGAACCAAGAACTTTCAATGTTTTACCCAAGTTTCTCAAATAACAATGGATTCTACAATTCAGTTACATCCCTCTCCCAACAGTTTTAAGTCATCGTAGTCATTCTGTTTTTCATATCTCAATATTAAAATATCACCAGGAGTATCTTTACAATTTTCAAAATAATTGTTACATTTTCACATTTTTTGTTTTAAATAGAAAAGGCACAATATTTGATATAATGCAAACTTTGCCTTGAAAATGTTTAAGAAATATTTTGTTGTCATATCACATAGGTGGGGAAAGACTTAAGTTAAAGGCTATGCTTTTATTTTATAAGTTATAGCTAAAAAAAGATATGAATACATGCGCCTGATGGTTATAAAGTAAGCATTGGAATTATACAGAAAATATGTGTATTATGCCAAAATGCTATCTTGATGTTTTAGCACTTGAATATTCTGTCTCCCCTTCACTAGCTTCATTTAGATATCACATCACATCACAGATATAGTTCTAAATGGTGATTCTTCTTCTGACACCAAGAAACATGATCAACTTTAGTTTAAATGATGCAAAGTTATATATAATACCCTGAAGAATTTAGAGTATGTTCACATCATGATGGAAGCAAGTGTAACGTCAAGCAAAATGTTTGATGAGAATTGCTGCCTCGCTGGATGGCGACAATATTTGTAACCCTCTGAATCTTGACAAACTCTTGAAATGTTTGCCTTATCCAACCTTTCAAACTAGCACAGAGCAAAATAAACTCAAGACCAACAGACCAGCAGCTAAATGAATCTACCAGACTGACAGAGTTCTTACAGATTCTTGTTTCTGCAATTTTAAACACTGTGAGCAAGGATACTAGATATACTACATTATCTGTACACTGTGTGAACCTTGTTTATTTATTCATTTATCACAAAGGTTTTATGTCCACTACTATGGCCTTTCAATGAACTAAACATTCCAGACATACAAATCTTTAGAATTGGAAAATTTGGTGTCTCAACTATAAATGTAGGCATGTAAATTCCCTTTTTAAGGTTGGGTACAACCCTACATGTTCGGAATAGTCCCGCACTTGAAGGATTGTTACTGCTTTGATTAATCAGTTAGTTGCTCAAATACAGGGTCATTTTGAAAGAGAAACACACAAAGTTCTTTTGAAAATTGCAACGGTGTCATCTTTTTAACATGTCCTAATAGTCAGTTTGACAATGCATGTATGTAATTGCATAAGAAATATTAATTTCTGTTATCTTACTTTGTGTTAACATGACAATTTATATCACTGACTTTATTCTACATTGACCACAGTGAATAGCCAGTAGGAACATTTAATGTAAATGTCATAGGTGAGCAAGAATTTACATGTGTTCTACTTACAGCAATCAATAAGCAATGGCAGTAATAAAGTTTTTTTTTCCTACAAAAAATGTGACAACTGAATCATTCAGTTTTCATATAAAAATGCACATTAATGCATTGGTTATCTGGCCATGTCAAAATGACATGCTTTTTTCACCTTCTTTTTTTGACACTGCATTTGAGGAATTAATTGATTACTCAAAGCAGTTTCAGTAACTCATTGATTACTCAAAGCAGTAACTCTATCCTCGAATATCAGATTATTACCCATATGCGGAGTTGTGATCAAGATTTTTGAAATACATGTATATTTTTGTAATAAATTAGACATGTGGAAACCATACACAACGATGCTGCAATGACGCACGCTGAGCATACATATTGGATTTTGACCACACCGTAATTAAAACCGGCGGGTCCTAAAGCAATTTGAGGAGCTGGGGTGACGAGGGTAAGGGACAGTCCGCTGGGCTCTGACTATCTATCCAAGATTGTATTTTGTCGCGGACAGATGATCGAGACAAAATAAAATCGCAGACAGCCAGAACCCTCGTACTTGGTAGGCAGATCATAACACAAGACAATATAATGCAGAATTTCAGTGTTGTCTTGGCAATGACGCAAAAATGAACAATTTATTGCTGAAAGTAAGATCAAAGATACCAAAATGTACATCAGTTAAAACCAACGATTTACAATTTCACAGTCCCTAGTTTCACATTTAAGAATGTGCATGAAATATCTTGTCAGAGCACAAACCCGTAACCTTTCATTTGCAACAAAAACACACGATACAATCACGCATTATACATTTATGAATATTTCTGTTCACTTAAAAAAAATTACGAAAATATTTAGAAATGTACCGGGACACTTTATAGTCGCAAACCCTTGATTTTTGGCTCGTCTGCAAAGTATCAGCGTTCTCTAAACACATTCCAAAGCGGCCATATTGACGCCGCGTACTAATTTAAAACTTGTCACTTTTCGATACAATTCATGTAAAAGAAACTTGTGGATAATGCGAAAGCAATATCGTATTTTAATAACATGATAATGCGAATGAAAGCGATAAGAATCATAATATAGTGCAACCACTGATTAGAATAGAAACGAAAGAAGGATTTATTTTCGTTGCGTACTTTGCCTACAAACCTCCGCGCGCGTTAAATGTTAAACTGTCAATCATTGGCCGACAGCATGAAAGGTGCATTCGGTGTGACAAAGTGTGATCTTTAACGAACGTATCATACATGTTAACATATGTTTACCAACAATACAACATATCTTACAGCTGTTATAAAATTTGATAGCAAATAAATTATCCACTAATCAAAAATCTTTCAATTACTATTTTGAACAATACCAGAAATAATTGCATCATCCTCGAACAAACCGGAAGTGGCAGCATATCATTTATGCAGAATAGCTAGTCAGTCTTTCAAAAGGTCGGGGAATTGGACGACAAAATGGAAAGAAGAAATAAATAAATAAATAAATAAATACGTTAACATCACCTGAAAATAATGTCAGATATTTATAAACAAAATTTTGTTTCTTTACCATTTTTAAGATATAGTGTCATATTGATATTGATTATACAGATCATAACGTCATAAATGAGAGCGTCCCAGAACCGCACTCGTCTGTCAAATGGACAGTGCTCGATCTGTGTTGACTATAATTTAACAAGGAAGAACAAAAGCTTATGTGAGTAAATGCTTCTGGAAAAGGATACATATGTAGGTATTATGCGAAGGTTTCTGACATCCAGCACTACAGTTGCAAGGTTTTCCCATAAACATCACACGCCCCCAGCCTCTCTACCTGTGTTCTGAGCTGACAGATACACTTCTGGAGTCACTTTTGGCGATTCCATTTTCTGAAAGACATAGTTTTTAAAATTTTGATCGTAAGAATACCTGAGACCCTTAGAGTTCTAATCCTCTAACTTACATACACCTATCAGTAATGTATGAAAGTTTAGAGAGAGGATTTAATAGACCAACAATTTCTGTCTTTAAAACGATTATTTGATGCAAGAGTATAACCATTACAGTTGTAGATATAAATAACAGCATAATAAATGTGAATATTCTTTGGTTAAAATCTTATAGAGACAGGGATTTTTTGTCAAGGGATTTACATCCTCTGAGTTGAAAGACGTTAAGAGAGTGCATCCCTTGATGTTTCCGGAGAAGGAAAATGAAGTAACTGTGTAGATCAAACTCAGTTATCAGATCAATCCGGTTCTTTATCATTCCTTATTTCTTTCTCTAATTGTTTTTCTTCAAATAGGTTACTTTGGGTCAGGATTGCCTCTTTCCAAAACCAAACTCACATATTCTTAATTGAAGGTTCATAGACACACTTTCAAAAGGTTAATGTTCTTGGCAATCAAATTTGTGGTGGAAAAAAAAAGAAGAAAAAAAAGACTGTCAAAGGGGAATTGATACTTGAAAAATATCAGCTTGACCTGTCTCAACAAAATTTTTATTTAGGAAATGATAAAGAATATTTCCAATTTCATTTAATTTACCAGGTATATTTACAGATTTTCATTATACACTTTATCCAAGTTTTGAGCAACTGTGGTCAGATTTCTTATGTCACTCTTTAATAGTCCATTTACGATGTTACAAGACTCAGGTAACAAGGTAAAGAGTGAAATGAAAGATCAGGGCCCGTATTCATGAAACTATTCTCATGATCAAGTGTAGATTTTGTGCTCAAGGAAACTTTTTTATAATTCACCTAAATGATATAAAATAATGCAAATGTTAAATTTAAACCTTGAATATAGCTTTCACTTGAAGTCCTTTCAAAATTGTCTTTCAATCTTCGGCAAAATCAGCCTTATTTATTAATTTTTTAATTTAAACAAGACACAAGATTTGAGCACAAAATTCATGCTTGAGCATGAGAATGGTTACATGTATACGGGCTCACTGGTGATGTTATAATTAGATTGTACGAGCAGAGACCAGTAAGGTGACTCAGTGGACTCCCAACTTCTACATATCAGTTGACACACTAAATCAATGGATCCTACTTTGGATTTTACTATACATGTAACTGTTTTTGGTCAAATTGTTTGATTATTTATTCTCTCATTGGATCAGAATGGGGAGCAGAGGCCTATGAAATTTACCTGGTACTTGTTTCATAAACTTTGAAGGTAAAGGCATAAATGTGAAGGCATTACACACATGATAACACATTATAGATTTATCTGTTTTATAGAGCGTTTACATGTCTGTCACTGAATTCTTCCCATTATGTATTGATTGAACATTGAACCTCTCGTTAACAACATTAATGTTCTACAAAATATTAAGATTGATGCCAGTGATATTGCAAGTCACATATCTTATTTTTCACAGGTTCCATGTCTTCATGGAAGAAGACATGAAAAGAAAGATACATTAAGAAAAAAAAGGAAAAGTGAACTTGATGTTATTTGTTGAAAATATGGCACACATAACTATGGTGTTAGTTTTTACTGTGATAACTCTAAGTATATATGATTACATTATAAGATTGAAAATGCAAACTTCATCCTAATTTTATGAATAATTTTGCAGGTAACCAGAACACTTTCCTACACAGCAAATAAGGATAAGAATGGCAGGAAACTACTACTTTGTGATTGTTGGTCACCATGACAACCCTGTATTTGAAATGGATTTTGTTCCTCAAAGTAGAGCCAATGAACCAAAGGTTTGTTTTGTGTTGTGTTTTGTTTTTATTGATGTAATTTTATTACAATACACATACAATACACATGTACCATGTATAGCAGTCCTGCATGTAGGATGTAAAGACATAAAGAAATTGTAGTAATTGCTCCTATAAATGTTATACTATCAGTCCACTATATGTATTTACTTGTCACATAATGTTGACCATTGTTGTTTATTGTAGAAGGATGACCATCGTCACTTGAACCAATTTGTAGCCCATGAAGCTCTGGATCTTGTGGATGAACAGATGTGGACCACAAACAACATGTACCTCAAAATTGTAGACAAATTTAATGAGTGGTTTGTCTCCGCTTTTGTCACAGCAAGTCGTATCCTTTTGTTGCTCAGAATTTGTCTTCAACCATTTAAGTTGAAATGACTTTGTAGACTAAACTAAATATACCTAAAACACATGAAATGACTTTGTAGAGTTTGTAGACTAAACTAAATATACCTAAAACACATGAAATGACTTTGTAGAATTTTGCAACTAAATATTAACTAAACTTGCCTACAACACATGAAATGACTTTGTAGAGTTTGCAGACTTAACTAAACTTGCCTACAACACATGAAATGACTTTGTAGAGTTTGCAGACTTAACTTAACTTGCCTAAAACACATGAAATGACTTTGTAGAGTTTGCAGACTTAACTAAACTTGCCTAAAACACATGAAATGACTTTGTAGAGTTTGCAGACTTAACTAAACTTGCCTAAAACACATGAAATGACTTTGTAGAGTTTGCAGACTTAACTAAACTTGCCTACAACACATGAAATGACTTTGTAGAGTTTGCAGACTTAACTAAACTTGCCTACAACACATGAAATGACTTTGTAGAGTTTGCAGACTTAACTAAACTTGCCTACAACACATGAAATGACTTTGTAGAGTTTGCAGACTTAACTTAATGTGCCTAAAAACACAAAATGTCTTTGTAGTTTGTAGATTTACCTGGTAACTAAATGTGCCTGAAACACTTTTTACTGTTTAAGTTGTTATCTTGGATGGTGAAGATTTTTGCGGCTTTAACAAATTCTTGAAGCAGAAAAGAAACAGATTATAATTTGCTGTGTTAATTTTGCTTTCAAGGTATCTATATTTTTCATAATTTGATTTTAACCTGGTATTAGAGAAAACTGAACCACTCAAAAAATGATATTGATAATAATTAATGTACTAATTAAGTGTTGGAACTTACGTCTCTCTAGGCGCAAGAAGCTCATTCATTTCCTTTTTGAAATAGAGTATGTGGAATAGTATATTATGATAACAGTGGGAGATTCAGTTACTCTTTAGTGACTAATAAAAGTACAAACTTACTACTAGTGATTTTTGAGGATGTTGATGTAATTTCCTTCAGTAATAGTTGTTCCGATAATCAGAAAGTAGAGAAAAATTGAAAATCATTCCTTTTTCTACCAAAAACAAATCTTAAAGGAAAATATATTTTTAAGGTCAATATATATAAGCGTGTGAAAATTCTATTAAGAAATCAGTTTTATTGTTCCTTAATTAAATACAAGGCATGAGGTTTATGATGCTGCATGATACAAAAAACGAAGACGGAATTCGAAACTTCTTCACCGAAATGTATGAAATTTATATCAAGGTGAGCGATGTCATTTTGTAGTTATTGATGTACAGAATTTTTAATGTCACAGGTAATGGTTGTCCTCATAGAGTGATGTGGAGAACAAAAGGAAATATTGAAGAATAGAAACCGTAGACTCCGTATGAAATATATCAAATCTTTCATCATTGAAAATATGAATGAATAAATAAATAATAATCACAGATTATATCCACAATGTCAAATATCATGTCCCTGCTAGGTTGTGTTATGAAGGTTAAATGTATACAGTTTATGGAAAAAATTTTAGGTAATATGATCCTCATATACACCAGAATTTCAAATTTTCAACTTGTAAAATCTTGGATCAGATGTTATTGTGGTCCTGTTTGATTATTTGTCAGCAGCTTTGTTTGAAATTGTATTTTGTTCATCATGTGCTGTTTTCTGTTTTGTAGCATTCCATGAATCCATTTTATGAAACAAACAAGCCAATTGAGTCACCAAGTTTTGAAAAGAAATGCCAGTTATTTGGAAGGAGATATTTGATTGGATAACATTTTTTTTAATATTGAAATAATGGAAGACAATTGTATTTATAATGAGTGAGAGTGAAATGTTTGAATTCATGGACATATGAATTTTGATTGTTGTATGTTTCCGAGTGAGAGCATGGAAGTTTTGAGTATGGCTTTGTGTACTTGCATGCATTGTAAGTGCTAAATCTTTGATATTGTATTGAATAGCTAGCTAGTTATGTCCTAGGCTGTCTAGATCTTCAGAATGAGCAGGTCCAAGGTGGCTCAACCCCTAGAGCTAAAACCATCCTGTTGAAAAAATGAATTTGGAAAAAGTTTTACAGATTAATTTCTTGGTATATGTACCTTCATGGAGACATTTTAAACATTCAAATGAAAAAATATAAATAATAATGTTGGTTTAAATAGCAGAAGGATGCTTTTGAAATGAAAATAATGTGCAATATGTACGTGTGACTCTCTTTATGATTGCTATTACCGTTTTTTGCCTAGTAAAAACTCTCTATCCAACCGTTTACATTTACTTATATAAATTATAAATATGCTGACTGTGGTAATTAAGATCTCCACATATCTACACTTGGTGAGTAGAACAAAGGTGTTACTATTTAGACCAGGCTAAATCACAATGTGATCACAAAAGAAATAAATGTAACCCTGGTAAAATACTAGTCGCAATATACCACTTGGCTAGAGAGAACTTCTCTTTAGCTCGATTGGTTGAGCGCCAGACTAGTAAGTCAGGGGTCCCAGGTTGGATTCCTAGCGGAGGCATTGAAATAAATAATGACCTCTGTTACATGAAGAAAAAATTATTTTATGGAACTTAAGTTTAAAGTTACTTTCCAGATCAGAAATATATAGAATTAGATGTTCTGTGCTCATAAGGGTGTATAAGTTGAATTCTATAGTAATATGAGAGTCTTACTAGAGACTTGTGTAGAACATTTAAAAGAATTATTATTGCATTAACATAGCAAATCGTTGAATTGCCAAGGTAAATTGTAGTTACACTAACAGATCACAGACAGTTGTTGACACAACAAAAATGTGACAGGGAGGAAGAATTGTAACAAAGTAACCATGAAATTCCTGGAGTGACGACAACACGTCCATTCCTCTCCAGTTCAGGTTTACCTTACAGTAAGAGGGAGGAAGACAGTTGTAACAAAGTAACCATGAGATTAGAAGTGTTGTCAAGGCATTTAAATCTTGTAAAAGCTGGGATGGTGTTATTGACAATATCTTTTGCATACGATGTAAGAACAATAATTGCTTTGTTTTGGAAATGTTCTCACATGCTCATGCACATGTTAAGTGTATATCTAAAAATATGTAGATCAGTTCCTTTCACTAACATTACATACTGTATCTATTGGTATTCATAACTTTGGAATTTCTGAACATTAAACTTTGAAGTGACAGGATTTTTTCAAATTTTGTCACAGTTTCGCCAGTGAAATAAACCAGAGTGACATTTTGGTACAAGGCAAATTGCATCATCACTGCATCATTTCTACATTCTGTGAACTTTATATATATTGGTCTGGAGTCACACCTATGAATAATATAAATATTTTGTCATGTAGGTGAGTTATCTATGATGTTCAATGGGGAACCATTAAATATTCTCTGGGAGTAAAAGTGAAGATAGAGTGAGAGTTTGAAACGATGTGTAATCACTACAAGTACATGAAAAGACTGAGATATCAAGGCTGATGAATTATTGTGTTCAAAATTCCACATTAATAGAACAGTAGTGCCTAATGTCATAGCACCTAATGATGAAGTGATCTTTTGTATCTCCTGAGAGAGACAAGCTATGTTTTTACCATGTTACCAGATACAACATCTGTCTATAATAAAATCAGTTTATATGCATTGAACTTAAATGATTAAAATATTTGAAATCGGCTTTGTTGATAATTTGTTAATGTATATTAAAAAAACAAATTTATCCCAATCGGATACTGTCACCCACCTTTGATGAACTTTGCTAGTTCGGGTATTTTTCATCCACAATATCCTATCTCTTCTACACAGTATATTATAATACAGGTGAAAGTAAAATCTCAGGCTGTCTTGGATATTAGAGGCAGTTCGAAGATTTTGATATATCTGACCCTTCTGACTTTAATGGTGGCTTCTGGTCATTGCACTGTCATTGTAGCAGATTTTTACATATTTGACATCTGTGACCTTGAAAGGGGCAAACGCTATAAATTTCAAATTTGTTTGAGTAGGCTGCTGACCAAATAACACTACCATGGGCCTCTTGGTTAGTAAAGTTTGATACTTGTGACCTTTAAACTGGGTCAAGGTCATTCACTTGAACAAATGCTGTATCCGGTCATTCAAGCTACAGGTGGATTATAGGGAATTGGTACCAAAAACTCACATTGAACACTTCCGTAAATTTCCGTGGTGGTCTCTTCTGGAGTTACCATTAAGACATTGCGGATGCAATGACAAGTGGCTATATTGTCAAATCATCTGGAATTTCTTATGAATCTAAAAATGTTGCATTCTCATTTAGAATCATTACTGACCATGTCCGTATATTTTCAGAGCATCATTTCGACAGTTCTTGAGAAAATGGTAAACGAACAACAAATGTAAAAAAAAAATTAGACTAACAGCTGCAAGTAGCTGGAGCATTTGATGAAAAAACGTATCTGCCATGTTTAAGGAAGATCCCTTACAGTTGTTCCAGAGAAATAATGACATCTAATTTTAAATTTCAAAATTCAGAGTTACCTCTGGTAGCCATCTTGCATGTACATCGATAGGAACCATATTAAACTACTCCTATAACATAAGAGGCTGCTGGTTGGCCATTTTATTATCCGACATTATTGCGCCAACTGCGACCTCTTAATACCAAAGTACTATTTTTAAAGCTCATTCCGCCCGAAATCTGATCGGAAAGAAATATTCAATTTTATAAAACCTCTTACATTGTTGGAATAATATTAGACATGCCATATGTAGTTACCACAAGACGCCTTCAGCATGTCTTGGAAAATAGCTGAAACAACTCTGGATGACAAGCTCTAAAATGGCTTTCTGGTGACCCATTTTTAATGTCTGATCAATTTTAAATGCGACAAGAAAAGCATGGAACCATGCTGAACACCAGGTCATAGTTTCTAGCACATACTAACAATCTGAATCAACCATGACAAGCATGTTGGATATCTAGTGAAGAGAGACGTATATAGCACATATAATTTATACCATGTAGGTCTCTGATTAAATGCAAATTTAAAATGAAATTCCTTCTGAACATTCCCTTTACGTTAAAAAGATTTCTATTGCGATTCCAGAAAAAGTATTAGCAATGTATTTGTTCTCTTTCATGACAGCCACAGACGAAAATTTATTTACCTGTTTGAAAGGCCTTTCACCTGTTACATCTGATGGTTCGTCACAGAAAATATTGAAAAGCAAGGATACTTATAAAATTATTGTTGTACGTTTGTGTCCCAGATACGATAATACTTTAAAATGTTTTTTTAAAGAATTGTAGTATATTACCGTGTGAGATGAAACAGGCCGATTAAAAATAAGCAAAAAATCTAATATCTAAGTCTAAGTATAACCTTTGTCTGTTGATTAGTTTCATCAGACCAGTTTAGCTCACCATGCCACCATTTTCACCGCTTCGTAATCAAATTCTCACACACTCAATGGAAACCCCTCTAGGGAGTTTATTAGAGTGAAACTCGTTAACAAGGACTACTTGTTGTCCAAGGACTTGCTCCATAACAAAGGATATCATACCTTCATGTTATCCAGTCTTCCATGAGACAAATATCAGTCATGTTTCAGTATTAGTATTATAGTAATCCTTATGTCCAGTTAATAAGTATGGACCTTCCTCGTTTGTATTGGACTCCAAAACTTCACGCTAAAATCCATATAAACAATGGATTCCAAATGGGCCTTGTCTAACAAGCAGCACGCTATCATCCCAAGTACTTGTAGAGATAACTGGGTTATTGATTATCATTTTTATTCGTCCCTGAACACATCTCTAGTCTGCTATAGGAATATTTGAATTTTTCTATATTGTACACACTACCAAAACACACACCAATTAAAAAACAAAACAAAAACAACATTCACTTTCCTTTTCAAATATATCAGTATATAATTGTGAATAACACTGGAGTGTATTTTGTGAAATCACGTTAAAAAACCCATGGTTTTGTCTTTAACTAGAAATTTATTAACAAGCCATCCTTCCATGTCAGTCAAGAACTATTGTGCTTTGTATTATCATCATCAAATAAAGGCCTATTTCAAACTGCATGGTTTTCAAATTTCACTGTGCTATTTAATTTTGACAGCTGAAGTTGCCAATATTTCTTCAGATCTATTTAGTAGAACATCCTATTATCACATGTATTTCCGTTTAAAGGCCACCAAACTGGGTTTTGAATGTTAAAAATTTGTTGACGCTATTTCTAAACAAGAGGCCCAAGGGGCCTTAATGGTCACCTGAGGATATATGTCAATAATCTGGGGATTTTAAAATGTTGCAAAAATGTAACAACACTTGTGCAGGACTGTGTGTAAAACATCTGTACCAAGTTTGAACATGATCCACCCATTGGTTCTTGAAAGGAAGTCCAAAATGTCAAAACAGAGGCCAGGGTTGCACATTTATATAAAGCAAATAATGTTTTCATTTACAAGTTGAAATATAGCTTAGTAGATACATGTATAGCTAAAGTATACAAAAAATCAGATCAATTTCAAGTCTATCCACAATCTTTTCCTTGCCTAATACAATAAGGCATACAACTAAAAAGACTCACATAAAACAATGTGAAAAAATCCTGTGGTACTTCTGAGACAGTAATATATATGTATCAAGGCTGAGAAATATAGTGCTACCACAGGTATTGAACCATATTATACATGAAGCTCAGAACATAGAAGGTTCAGCCAGTAATAAGATCCAGGTTTGATGAAAGATCTGGCTACACATTTTTTCTCACCTATATGGTTGTCATAAACAAACAACATGTCTTTATTAAAGATTAATATGTAACAAATATCAGAAGGGCTAATTTTGGACCAGTTATTTTTATTCTCACAAACTTTGCAGTTTTTTGCCTAAACATCATCTATATGAAGTTACACTTTTGGTTCAGGACAACAAGATTTGCTAAGATTTAACAAATTCTACACCTTTCTGCCCCTTAAATATGCCACCCATTGAGGCCACATCTTTTTCTATTGTAAACTTAAAGAAGCTTACTTTACCTAATTTTACTCCTTTTTTACAACAATCTGGGGCCCCTATTGCAGCCATTACTTTTTTTCCCCCAAACTAAATGTGTCTTATTACACAGATGCTTTTTGCTTAGTGTCATTGTAACCCAAAAACATGGTCAATGACATTAGAACCCATTTTCAAAACAAAATCTAATTGACCCCTTTTTGCCCCAGAACCCCTCAGACACTTTTTTTCAACTCAAAGTCACATGATCTTCACTAGGGGACCCTATATACTAAATTTGGTTGAAATCCATCAACTTTGAATTTTGACCCCTTTTTAGTGCCCCCTGGAGGGCCTGTTTATGACCCATTTTTTTTCTAATTCGCAAACTTTATAGACCTTGCTCTGAGAATCATTAATTTTGAATTTTAGGAAAATCTGAATGTTGGTTCATACGAAGCAGATATTTAAAGATTTACCTTATTTTACCCCCTTTTTCACCCTCCTGGGGCCCCTATTGGGGCCACGCCCTTTTTCTTCGCAAACTTGAAGTGGCTTCCCGTGGGGATGCTTTGTGCCAAGTTTGGTCAAAATTCATCCACTGGTTCTTGAGAAGAAGTCATTTAAAGAAGGTTTTTACATATGGCCCCTTTTACACCACTTATGTGCTCAGAAGGGGACATTATCGCTTTTTTCAACTTAATTTCACATGTCCTTCACTAAGGAATGCTTTCTACCAAATTTGGTTGAAATCGGTCAAAGTTGAATTTTCTTCCCTTTTAAGCGCCCCTTAGTGAGGACGTTTTTGACCCGATTATTTTCCATTCACAAACTTTGTAGACCTTGCCATAAGGACCCTAAATATCATATATGAATTTAATCTGATTGTTGGTTCATGAAGAGAAGATTTTTAAAGATTTACCTAATTATACCCCTTGGTCTTGGATTCTGACAGTTTATCACTATTTCTTGAAGTACTGGAGTAACACCTACACATATGTAGAATTCCCTCTGTGCTTTGTTGTCCATGCCCTCAGCATTCAGAGAAAATCATAGCAAGAAGATAATCAAACTTATAAAAAAAAAAAACAGAAAAAATAAAATAAAGACCATATGATGTATAGATTCTCTATGGCATCTGTTGTTGTTGATACCACCCCCACCCCCAGCAATGTTTCAACAATGTTTATTTTGAAATTAAAGGTTGACGTAATGTTCTAAAAAGCAAAAACTAAGAACAAGTAAATGTGTTATAAGTTTATTATTACATGGAAATAATATCATACAATAGTGTAGAAAAAAATCTAAGCTAAATGTTGTCTTAGCCAACCTGTACAAAATCCACAATAACACAGTTGTTGTTTTGTCCTTAGAACAATGTTATGTAAAGAGTTCTGGGGAAAACAGGATTTAAATTGTTTAAAAATACCTATTTTGATTTGAAATAAATCAAGCAATGTTCAAACTCGGAATAAACAATGCCCAGCACTGTTTGAACTTCTGTACAGTTCATGGTCTTAGCACTCGTGTCAGATCACTTGAAATGTATACCCATTTCTACAGTTCATAACAAAGGACCATGTTCAAAATACCTCATTAACTTACATCAGATAATCCATTAAAAAATTTTGTTAGCAAGTTGAATATTATATGATCCATTCCTTCCCTACACAATGGATTTAAAAGGATGTAAACTATTTTGTAAATGATCAAAATTGACTTGGAAAAGAAACTACCTACATCTGTGATTAAACATATAAATCAGGATGTTTAAACAAGAGAGGAAACAAAAATATATCCTCAAATTTTAACTTTGCCAAAAAGAATTCTTCCATATAATTTATACAGCTGTGCAATTTAGAGAAATGAGATAATTGTAATTCTAAACAACCAGCACTTATCCATTTGTTGATAATTGTACTTACAACTTCTATCAACATTGAGACGTCCACTGTATATATTATGCTTGATCTACTTTTAAAACCTGTGGTAGCCATTTTTGTGATTTTTGAAAAATTTTGATAAGGTATTTTATGTTTCTTCTGGATTTCCTTCTGGTGTATCCTTAGTATATGTATAATATACATTTGCATTGAACATGGTCCATATTAAAGCATTTCAAATTCATAACAAAAATAGAGACAATATATTGGTAACAAAGAATCTATTAAAACAATTCAACATTAAGATATCTTTATCTAAAATTATATTTATCAATACTTCTTTTGTAGGACAAAACAAGGGAAAATAAAATAACATATCAGCATAGGGTGTATTTTTTATCCTCACAAGACTTTATCCTCTCATTCAAACATGGAACTAAATGCTGAACAAAAATGAGCGAATAAAGCATGCAAACAAAGGGATCGCTGTCATATCAATCAGTGTTACTAAATATAGAATGAACACAATTATAATAATATTATGTTTAAGTAAAATGGCATGTTCTACCTCAAAATGTAAACTTACACAAATTCTGAAGCATCAGAAATGCTTCTTCAAGGGTGTCTGTTCTACCTCTGACTTGGCACTTCAGGTAAAACTACTTGAATCATATCAATTCTTTGTTCAAAAACATTCTGACCAAATATGAAAAGATTTGAAATGAAAACATACAGTACTTGAGAACGCTGGTGATGTCTTGTGAAATAAGTTTTAGATTTGTTGCTATGTCCTGAATATGTGTCATTTGATTTTCTTTATGTCAGAATGATTTGAGAAAAAAAAAGCTGTGAAATTCATAGCATGAATTCTTCTGTTTTAAACAAAAACAACATAATTTTTGTGTTTGAGAGATGAAAATGAATTATCAACATGCAAAATGAGTACAAACTCCACAAGAAGATACAGTCACTTTAACATACAGCTATAATCAATGACAACAGCAGTTTGTAGTTACAATGTGTGATTGTCTCGGCCATGTCATGGTGTTGACATTCCTTTACACAACAATAAACATCTAGTAGATCATTAAAAAGAGTAACTTCTAAATTCATTATAATGAAACAGACTTTTTCATGTCTTACATAATAGGCCGGTCTCAGCAGAAAGAACTATTTCTCGTTGCTTTCAAAATTTTAGAATATATAGAAATAAATACATTGAAAACAGGTTTATGCAAGTAAAAGTGTGATAATCAAGCAGGTTCTGGAAAAGATAACTGGTTAAAAAATTGTTTCAAATCTTGGGTTATTTTGAAACTATCAGTCTTAATAAATTTCATCAGTTGCTAACAGAGAAGGATGGAACCAAAAAATGAATTACCAACAATTTTTGTTATTGAAAGGACAACACTGTACATTTGGTAAACAGTGATAATACTACAACACTGACACTAAGACACTAATACCATCCAAAGAAATATTGGAATTTAACATGACAAACCACAAGACTTCAAGTTTTATACACTTAGTATAATATTCATACAAACATGGATATTGAGCTCTGTTATCCTAGTGGCACTGTGTAGGAAATGGCTCTGTTAATACTACCATATCATACTTCAGTAATTGTTGAAGTTACTGAAATGAGGATTGCAAGAGAAAGCCATTATCTAGGTGTTGAAATAATTCAAACTGATTACAAACATTTTCTATGATAGCCTATCAGAAATTTGAACAACTTAACATCAATTATCCATCTGTTGACATGTTATTACATTAATTTCCTGTAACCTTGCTTGGTTATATAACAGTAGGTGGGGAAAGGTTTTGAGATTCTTAATAAGAATGTATCTGGACAAACAAGGTCCTGGTTTCAGGAATGTTGCCCAGATATATATTTGACCTCACTTGCTGTGCTTTTTCCTTCTAGTACGGTGAAAGCTTAAGTAGGGGAGATAACTCAAGTAAACAGATACCAGTAGCCTTGTTCCATAACACGCACGACAATCACTACACAAATGATTCTTGAAGTATGAAGCATGTTAAAGTTATAACTACCTATATATTGAGCCTATGTAGACCTTCCTAACAACATGTATGACACAAAATACAGAGGCCTTCATCCCACATAACACACAAAACATATTACTGGAAGCCCAAAAATATAAAGATATTGTGATACTCCTTAACTGGCAACAAATCTGCCTGCATACGAGTTTGAAAGATATTTGGAAAATATGCATATACAAATATTTAGTTATGTTAACAGTAGACAACAAATTTTACATCCATTATTTTCATGGCAGAAAATCCCAACATAAATGAATTATCAAACACTTTATGTTAACATCAGATAAATTTCTTCTGAACATAATTGGGTAATGAAATAGCTTCAATACTTTGACAGTTATTTTAAACTCATATTTACTTATGAGACCACTTCAAAACACTGTAATAGTTAAACATAAAATTCTCAGTATCAAATTTATATTTCTGAACTACATGAACCCATCTTACCAGATCATGTTTGGGTTCACTGATATTTGATTAACACTTGAATCAACAAGGTATGTATATCTTCAGGTGGGATTATCATCAAGAAAGTATGAAGTCATGTACACAATACTTTCCCTCCTATATAACATAAAATAAAAATCCATGTTGAATGTTAAATAAACAGACCTAATTTTAGCACTTAGTAACTGTCAGCCAGCAGTAATTATTGAAATATTTAATGTCCACAGGTTTCTTAAATCATATTGCTGAATTATCATGTGAGCAAGACCTGCATAAACAGTCAAATGTTTGCAACCAGTTCTGACATGACAGAGAACTCTTTCAGCTATTGAATCTATTTTAAAACTCTCCACTGTCTCAGACAGTAAGCGATTCAGACAAAATGTATGTCAAACATACCAGATATCCAACACAAAAATGTAATGAATTCTGCATCTATCTCCTCAGGGAATAGACTACAAACTTTCCAGATTTTTTTGTCTGTGTGGAAATCCTTCACAGGTACAACATTGATAGTATAAAATATAAATGAATAAAAAATATCAAATATGGAAATTCACAATGGGGATTTAAGCAAAATTATGTCTTCTGCAGTGTCGCAGGGAGCATGACTACATTCTTCTGTTCTAAACACATCTTTAAACATAGCACAATTCAATACATATCTGGAGTGTTTGAAAACGGAACCTAGAAAATGTAGAATTAGGAAGGAAACATCAATTATTGCTTTTCATCTGAATCAATAAGGGTAAAAACATAGATACCTTACCTAAAGATTACTGAAATATAAGCTTCAGTCTTGTCACTGTTGGCATAGTTATTGCTGTGTTACAAAATTTCATTATTCTCTGAAAATGACATCCTTTATTCAGGAGTTGAATAAGTGCAAAAATTAACATCATCAGATTTGTATTAAGTAAATTGTAAAATATATATGTAATTTGAAAGTATCTAACAAAGCACAATAACAACCTGTAGTGCTACTCTTCACACCAATACTTAATCATCTGAATATCAGATTGAGACAGCAGAAAACTGATGTTTATTTCAACAACCTATGCCATTAAACATAGTAATTATCAATGAAAATTAAACCCTCTTATTTGCTGAACACACCTGTCTGATTTATACTTAACAATCATGACAAGCATCTTAAAAATACCTGCCCATTTCAAATGACAATATCTACCTTACTTAGTTTAAGTACATTTGATATAGTAAGAGAAGTAAAAGAACAATACAACCCATTAACATCACTACTGAAAATATTATATATCTTCAGCACTGATCAGCAAACTTCATGGAGAAGTCATACCTATTGGAAGATCAATACATGCTGGTCTAACCATTGATACTACTCCACAGAAAACTGTATGCATCCTTTGCATTTAATGTAAGAACTTTATTTCTGCCAACAGTATCAGTCTGTAGGACATATTCTTATAATGAATGGGGAAAACAATAGCTGGAGCAACCATTCACAGTCATTTACACACGCTTATATCTACCGTGAATTACACAAAATGCAGATCACAATCCAAAAGGAAGTCTTGACGAGATGTTTATGTTGATTACACTTGGAGATTTTATTCTCTTTTCTGTGTGACCTTGGTCTATAATGTGCCAATACTGCACTTAGGACACTGAAGAAATTGGATTGTGGGGCGAGCCCATCTGGGTCAACACTTTGTCCAACCACTGAAGTGGTCCATTGAGATGAATTTCAATCCAACATGGCGTGCTTGTTACATCCTGGCGATGATACTCTGCGCCCCAGCCCTTGACAAAGCTCATGCGAATAGTACACATTTTAGTAAGTTCATATACTGCTTCAAAACCATGGTTGACCGACTGACTCAAAAGAGATGCAAACTCCTGGTTGTTGAATATCTTTAAGCTGCAACCTGGAGGTATCTTGCACACTGTTGTTGGGTGAAAACCATGATGATAATTACAGTTTCGGCTCTGTACAAATATACTACTGTCACTCAAACATTCTGCAAATACCTCACCACCTACGTAATACAGATGAACTCCTGGAAAATAAAAAAGACATCACCGTCAAAAAAAGAAATCTCTCAATTGAGAATACTTTCTCATTACCTCTGAAATTAAACAAATACAAATGAGAGATTAAGAGGTTCCACTGGCCTGTAACGTTCATATGGTATCACGGCAAAATAATCATATTTCTATCACACTAATTTTTCTTAATCTGGATTTGAATTTTCAAATGATGATTCCCTGTAAACATCTGTAAGCATATATTTAGTGAGGGATTTGAACATCTCACCAAGTTCATCCTTGAAGAATTTTTATCATTATCTTCATGATTAGTGTACATTTCAGAGTGCTCTCTGGTATAGAGTTCAAGAATTCAAGTATATTTTGAAGTACTTTCTAATATTCACAAGTGTTGTCTACAATAGTTAGTTGGTTTATAATTTGGAGAATATGATGAAGTGTTCTAATTGAAATTAAAAGTTTCTTTTCTAACCTTTACTTATATGCCTGCGAGTATTCTCTATGGTAGAGTTACGGTTGACGTTGGACAGGAGTCCAAGACAGAACCTGTCTGCATTGTTGGAGGGGTCTGTAAAACCGTCCACAACAATGCTGGTCTGAGAGGCATGGAAAGCCTCTCCTACGCGGTTGTTCAATTCATAGTATACTATGGAACACCAGTACTGTGGTTCCTGGTACGTCACTGGTTGTAGATCTGTCAATAGAAAGCATCTAAAGTCATCAGAAAACTTCTGTTTCCCTTCATAAATTAAATTTGTTCCAGTCTTTTAAAATACAATGCATTTTAACAATATATAAATCAACTGAATTATTCATAAAACTTTCAATGTAACAAACTACTAATTATCCAGAAGTTTCTAAATCTGAAAACTGACAAACTGGTAGTCAGGATAATGATCAAGATACCTACTGACAAGTTAGAAAATTTGTACTAAAGACAGCCACAAATATTACTGAAAAGCACTACATTCTTTAACACAGCCCTGATATATAGTTCTGGGTAGGTAAGCATTGAAATTTGTCTGCAAGCTAGTATTCCAAATTTGAAGTACAAGCCTTGTGACCCCAGTAAACACAATGAGTGACATGGAAATTAAATAAACTTTATGCAGACACATCAAATAATTTGATAAAAGAACATGCAATATATTGTTCAATAAAAACCAAAAACACTGCTTAAAGATTCATAATGAATACAAAATAAATTAGATCCATCTATTCTACTTACACAAATAGATGTTTTTGGCCCAAAATCTTGAATGAATTTCAATCTTAAAATCAAGCCTCAGCTCATTATTATTGCATATTGGGTATAAAAATAAAGCAAAATTAAGGTAAAGAAGCAATATTTAACCCAAATAACAGGTAAATAAATTTACAGAAAAGCAAAAATAAAAAAAAACAGACTCAGCACATAAATGAAATTAAAGCACTTTTTTGTATCTTAACCTGTTCATTCAGGTTTTAATATTATAAACTTTATCTATTAAGAGCAATTTACCTGTATTTTCATTTCTGTAATCTCCTCTATCACTTGACTTTCTTTTCCTTAAAATCACCATTTCAAAATTTATTATGATTTTTTTTATAAAATTTGTTTAGAACCAAACTCAGCAGCTTAAACCTGACCAGACTGAAATTTTCTCAAGAGAGTGGTGCACACATAGTTTGTGCCTTACATTTTGTACCGATACCTGTAGGAGTCGGCATGGTATCCATAGGAGTTGGTTGTTGTGGACCTCTCACAGTGTTCCTACTCTGATTAGCATGTTGCATGTTCATGTTCTGGGAGTTATCGTCATGAGGTTGGTATGCGGGTGGAGGTGTACCAGCTGCAAGAAAATCAAGTTTTTTTTCGATACTTTGTTACTACTTCACAAAAACTTCAATGCAGTGGTTCTTTCAAAATTCATACATTTTTAAACTATACTGTTTTTACCTGGTAGAGCTGAAACGAATGTTCTGAAAGTTTGAAGTAAAAACCTCCTCTCTTTTCACAGTCAAATTTCAGATACCTCAGGTATTGCCTATAATTAATAACTAAGTACATTTACAGTGCTAATAATAAACATGGACTTATCTGATAATCAGTGGCTTCTTTAACCTAATTTATTTGACAGTGTAATTGCAAAAGACTAAATAAATGAAATATAAACCATAATTCTCATACAACAGGTGACAGCTACATGGCTTCAATGAGATAAAGTCTGAAAGGGTTGTACCTTTTACTATGTTAGAACATAAGTTATACTAGTGTTAAAAAAATAACCAATTAACATACTATGAGGTTATTGACTTACTAAAAAAAAAAAAATATAAAATCCACTGCCATTTATCAATCATTACAGTACACTTTATCTTTCTAGTTACACATAACACTGAATTTTTTGTTATGTAAAACAATCCATATCTTTACACAGTAACTCCATGAAACCATTCGTTTCAGCTCTAATACCTGGTAATCCGTAAGGACTGCTGGGCCCACCTGAACTGGCTGGCGAGTGTGGACCTTGTGAGGGTTGGTGGAAGCCATTCGGGTCAAAGCTCACATTCTGTGGCATGGCTGGTTCTGGGGCCTGCTGAAACGGTGGCATTGTTGGAGAGCCAGCTGGGAACTCGCTGTACCGGGGGACTAGAACTGGGGGAAGCACTGCAATCAAAAGTTTCATAGAAAATAACAATGATTTACCTTTTGTATGTCAAAGTGATAGAAATTAACAATGATTTACCTTTTGTATGTCAAAGTGTGATAGAAAATATCAATTATTTACCTTTTGTATGTCAAAGTGATAGAAATTAACAATGATTTACCTTTTGTATGTCAAAGTGTGATAGAAAATAACAATGATTTACCTTTTGTATGTCAAAGTGTGATAGAAAATGACAATGATTTACCTTTTGTATGTCAAAGTGTGATAGAAATTAACAATGATTTACCTTTTGTATGTCAAAGTGTGATAGAAAATAACAATGATTTACCTTTTGTATGTCAAAGTGATAGAAATTAACAATGATTTACCTTTTGTATGTCAAAGTGATAGAAAATAACAATGATTTACCTTTTGTATGTCAAAGTGTGATAGAAATTCAAAGTGTGATAGAAATTAACAATGATTTACCTTTTGTATGTCAAAGTGTAGAAAATAACAATAGAAAAGTGTAACAATGATTTACCTTTTGTATGTCAAAGTGTGATAGAAATTAACAATGATTTACCTTTTGTATGTCAAAGTGATAGAAAATAACAATGATTTACCTTTTGTATGTCAAAGTGTGATAGAAAATAACAATGATTTACCTTTTGTATGTCAAAGTGTGATAGAAATTAACAATGATTTACCTTTTGTATGTCAAAAATAGAAAATAACAATGATTTACCTTTTGTATGTCAAAGTGTGATAGAAAATAACAATTTGTCAAATGTCAATGATTTAATGTCAAAGTGATAGAAAATAACAATGATTTACCTTTTGTATGTCAAAGTGATGTGATAGAAAATAACAATGATTTACCTTTTGTATGTCAAAGTGTGATAGAAAATAACAAGATTTACCTTTTGTATGTCAAAGTGTGATAGAAATTAACAATGATTTACCTTTTGTATGTAAAGAAAATAACAATGTGATAGAAATTAACAATGATTTACCTTTTGTATGTCACAAGATTTACCTTTTGTATGTCAAATGATTTACCTTTTGTAGTCAAAGTGTGATAGAAAATAACAATGATTTACCTTTTGTATGTCAAAGTGTGATAGAAAATGACAATGACCTTTTGTATGTCAAAGTGATAGAAAATAACAATGATTTACCTTTTGTATGTCAAAGTGATAGAAATTAACAATGATTTACCCTTTGTATGTCAAAGTGATAGAAAATAACAATGATTTACCTTTTGTATGTCAAAGTGTATAGAAATTAACAATGATTTACCTTTTGTATGTCAAAGTGTGAAGAAAATAACAATGATTTACCTTTTGTATGTCAAAGTGTGATAGAAATTAACAATGATTTACCTTTTGTATGTCAAAGTGTGATAGAAATTAACAATGATTTACCTTTTGTATGTCAAAGTGTGATAGAAAATAACAATGATTTACCTTTTGTATGTCAAAGTGATAGAAATTAACAATGATTTACAATGATTTACCTTTTGTATGTCAAAGTGATAGAAAATAACAATGATTTACCTTTTGTATGTCAAAGTGTGATAGAAAATAACAATGATTTACCTTTTGTATGTCAAAGTGATAGAAAATAACAATGATTTACCTTTTGTATGTCAAAGTGTGATAGAAAATAACAATGATTTACCTTTTGTATGTCAAAGTGATAGAAATTAACAATGATTTACCTTTTGTATGTCAAAGTGATAGAAAATAACAATGATTTACCTTTTGTATGTCAAAGTGATAGAAATTAACAATGATTTACCTTTTGTATGTCAAAGTGTGATAGAAAATGACAAAGATGTAGCTTTTACATATCAAAAAATAAATTGCTTAGTGACAAAACAAAATGTTTCTTAAAGATTTTGATCAAAAGCAAAAATGACCTTGTCACATGCAATTCAAACATTAAGTCTCAGGTTTATCTACTATAACAAATTATTTATTGAATGCTCATTTCTAATTATATGACATTTCAGATTCTTTAATGAAATTGAAATATAATCTTGCATGGATTATATGCAACTTCACTTGGAAGAAAAATATAAATTTTATTCTGAATAGGTCTATTTCTATGAGACAATACACATTCACTAGAAATTTTCAGATACTAGAGATCTGAACCGAATTCTCTGTGTCAACTAGTTGTACAATCCATCCCTGTACAGATATATACAAATATTGGTTTTTGATCAAACATTTAGATAAAACACTCTTGTCAGATCTAACATCTTCAAAGGTTTGAACTTCCTGTGGAATATTCATGAAAACTGGATTTGAGCTGAAATATCTACTAATCTACTACATTAGGAAACTGTGAGACTATTTTACCTGGGCTTTCTACACGTTTGTAGTGGTAGGGATTTATGCACACTTCTTTCTGTTTAGCACTGAATGGGTATTCACAGCATTCAAGAGGTTTAAGTTCATGGTGACTTTGTAGATCAGGCCATCGCCACACACGGCAATATATGACATGGGGAAGTCCCTTCCTGTGTGAAACTTGAAGCCGGCCATCCAGAGATCGGGGAATAGTCACACATTTACTTGGTTGTCCTGGACTACTTAACGCTTTTTCTAGATCCTCAAGTGCACCCTTTTTCTTCTTCAGCTTTTTGACAAGAGAGTCTACCGCCTTTTCTGCCCATTTTTCTTCCTCATCTCCCTGTTTCCATCCAAGCAGGCGCTTGACAGCTGGACTTGTGAAGGAAAAGAGACTGTTCAGGCTGGAAATTGGGGAACTCATCCCTCGGTTATATCTGAAAAACATATTACAAATGTTATAACAGAGCACAGATAAATCCAAAACATCCTTTTAATACATGTATTCAGTTCTATCATCAAAGAAAGACACAATTTACAACTATAACACTGAGAAACACTTGGTACTGATAAGAGGTAAGAATTGGGGAAAAAAAGCATAACTGATTAGAAATTGATTAAAATCAGATAGGCTCCTCCATGTAGCTAATCAATTCCAATATGGCTGCCTCCATGTTCAACATTCACAGAAAGTGAATTCTTTTTCTGTGGTAGTTTTTTCTTTTAATATTTTCTTTTTTGAAACTTGAACTTAAAACAACTCACTAACATATAATTTACAGATAAATGAATATCATTGGTGTCGTTATTGTGTATAATATGAATTCTGTTTTTGCCAAAACACAAGAAAATATTGAGGTATTGATGATGGATTATGAAAAATTACAATCTTGTCAATCAATAATCACAGGAGATAAGGTTAAACAATTAAATAATTGATTATATATCCAATCATAATCTCATCACTAGTATTCTGTAAATACTGATTATGTGTAAACCTATAGTACAGCAATGACATGAAAACATGCACATTGACTTTATGTATACATGACCACATAAACAGTTACATCTTGTATCTACATAACCAACGATCAATCAACCATTTATTTTCAACTTAATTGTTAAAATAAATGGGTCCTACAAAATAGAATTAAAGTAATTTCTGTAATTCTATGAGTAAAATCAAAATTTGATGAGCACAGGACTTGAGACTTGTTTGTACATATATTGCTGAATCACATCCTTTAGACTTTTTTTCCACTGCAGTAAACCACCATCTGTTGTTAATGTGGCAGTCTCATATAACACAATGGAAATCATAGCACGTTGTAAGTACCCTATACCAACAGGATAAAGGTGAAGTAGTTTATAAGCGGTCTATAGATGCATGACTGGTCTAATTATACCTGCATACATTAGAATGCAACTGAGTTGCATACAAATGATCTCTAAAAATTGACTTGATTTAATGCTATCATACATACAGGATATCAGATATCTGCCCACGTTTTGCCTGCTTCAGTGTACATAACAAACAATGACATTTGACATTTACTGAGATACACATGCAAATTTTGAAGTATGAAAACTTTATCACTAAACTAACAATATTCTATATGGATTGTCAGAAGCTAAATCAACATAAACAATATGACTAGTCAGAAACTAAAACATTCTGAATTCTCCACAGGTTGAATATCCTTTCACAAATTATTGATAACATGTATCAAAACGCCATGAGATATAGAAAACCCTTTCAATGGTGGCATGGGTTTGTTATATGTATAATTTAGCCCACTACAATAAAAAGCACCAGATCAATTCTGGACTTAAACCTGTAGGTCTAAAATTATGTTGCTTATTGGCCATTGGCATAAAAAAATTAAAATTCAAGAATGCACAAATTGAACCTTACAAAAGGTTTTTAACAAAGAGATCAATTGAAAATTTTCAAATCCAAAATACCTGGTACTTCATCTCTTCATCAGTATTCTAAATTGACTTGTATTTTATTCTACTTTTTTCTGACATCGCTCTTTTCTTTATTACACTTTTCTGATGTTTTCATTGTTTGGGGGTCAATTACTCACTGATTACATGCAATCATGTATGGAGTATCCATTAGCAAAACATGTTTACTTGCATTTTTCTTTGACTGCCTCTTCCCAGAATGCATTATGTCTCCATGATATTATTTTATAACCAACAGGACAGAACAAATTCAACCCATACTTGCCATCTTTAGAGAATTTCCTTTGGGGAACGTGTACATGTCACAAATATCTTAACAAACTTTTAAAATGATATCACAACCATCTCTTTCTGGTCAATATACAAGATACATATATAAGTTTTATAAAGGAGTTAAATATTTACCGATCATTTCTGTCTAAAATAGGGGCCAAAAATTATGGGTCTTAATAGTCCCTCCTAATACATAATTGAGTTTTAAGTATATTTGTTTAACACTTCATGATGGTCTCTTCATTAAAATAGCAGTTTGTTTATAACATGCAAATATGTTGAAACTACTGTAATACTTTAATATTGATATACTTATAAGTCACTAGATGTAGCAGTCCCACTTGTTTACTGAACACTCCCCCAGCACAGGACCCTTGGTTGGTAAAAAAAAAACAACATATTGTATACCAAACACACATAAATAGGGAAGAAATAACCTTGCCAGGTGATTATATATTGATGAAAATTGAAGGTATTCTATTGTATACATATACACCTACATATTTAAGCCATTTTGATATAGTGTTTGCTTAGAAAGGGAGAGGTTACTTGTTCGAGCACCAGTATGGACGGACTTGGTGTCACTAATCATTTCAATAGTAAGCTAGATATACGAGGGAGAGGTGCATTTAGATGAAATCAACCTCTGTTGCGATCGTTATCATTACCGGGTAAGAAGACATTCAGAAGTACAGTTCACTCCTAGCCTCAGCTGGTGAAGATATCTTTTTCACAGTTTTAACCTTGTAAAGTGTCCCTTTGAAAGCAAACTATTACAGCTGATTTTAATCTAGCGCTGACTATTGTACAGTTACATAAAGAACACGGGCTTCTACATAGTAAATACTCATCATGGGCAGAACTGTTTGCTCAATCTTCCTTTAAGAATATATAAAGATCTCTACAGAAATTCATGAACACACAGGAATTACTTTGACTATGAAGTGCAATAACTGGGAAAATTAAAACCCTCCACAGCACCCTGACTTGAATTGAAATAAGGTACCGAGCACATGAATTAATACTGCTACCAAAACAAAGCTGTTTACATGGCATTACATCCAAAGACACAGTGACCAGGTCCCTTGACATTCATACCACAAGGACGTTCTTGCATACTAATCAACCCAGCATACTGGTCAATCTTGTGCTAATTTCCGAGAAATTTCTGTACATTGGATTAAATCATGTCACAGAACCCATGCTGTTCACCAAGTATTTGGCAAATTGTATTATTTTTATTTCATAAATCTTTGGTATCGAAATATGCCAACATACAACTAGAGCACATAAATTAATTTCATGCTGGAAGAAGTCAATGAAACTGATAAAATTTAACTACCTTATTATGTAAACATACATCTCAGACATTCGTCTAGCCTACGAGACACATGCAATATTGAGGTTTCACGTACGGTTTCAAAAATACCATAAAGACAGTCCGCACAAAATATGTAATGAAAAACAGAAAATCTATAAAAAGAATCACAAAGGGTAATCAGTACGCTTAACGGAAGTCATGTTTTACAAATATACACTCCCAGATGAAACCAAAATGGCCGAGAATGAATCTGATCGCCAAACGAATGCATCATGTTCATTGATATTCTATATACCTCTAAATCGCTGGAATTGGTCCAGGACACAATATGTCGGCACAGTAAACCGTCTAATTATTCCTATCGGAGTAATTATGAAATTAAAATGGTTGCCATCAAAATTTGTACCAGTCTTGTTCCAGTTTTCTTCTTTATTGAGGATGGCGACAGTACGACGGAAAGAACCGTACTACGGAAATAGATCGCGTAAATTAATTCGCTCTAAATTTTCCAGACATACTTCCTGTTGTTTCCAAAGTAACATTTTCATAATTGTTGAGGAAAATCGACATACAAAACGTATTGTTTTATAAGATTAAGTGAAATTATACCAGAAATTATTATATTTAAACTATTATATGTATATCTAATTCTAGTACTATATTCATGGGCGGAAGACCAAATTTAACATTTTCGATACATTGGTTCACGCATGCGCTATGTCCAAGTGACGTCAAGAAACTGGCGACAGAATGACGGAGAGAGTTGACTCAGTAATTTGAGTTTTTATGTATATTTATGTTTAAGTATGCATAGCCAAGCTACACGTGTCCAACAATTTATCGTGAATTGCTGGTTAGCATCGACATTAACTAGGTAATACTGACAAGATGGCGATCGCACGAGGGCACCAATTGAAGCACACGTAACTATCAACAGGTGCCCGAAAATGAAACTTGATTGCGACCATGTGCTTATGTTGACCTCGTGTTATGACAATAGTTTTGCATTGACACCCACGGGATTTGACACACCCATTTGATTATTATTGTCTTAATTTACATATGTTTGTCATTGGAATGATCAATTTATCTTGATTTATGAAAAATAAAGAAATATTTGATTTATCAGTTCACATATCGTAGAAAATGGATCTTGTGAATTTGTAGACCTAATAATATTGTATTGTGACATGCTTGGTCGCAATTCAGATGACTGTACAGTAAGTTATATTAACTATCTGTTTCAGATAGCTGTCATTTCATGCGCTTTTCATTTAAAAAATTTCCAAACATGTGTTTTGAATTTAGATTGTAATAGTTTTAAATAATAAGTTAAGTTAAGTTTATTACCAGAACAGGATATACCTATCCTCTACTCTGGTCTCAAAAAACATACAATATATATACATGATATTTCATATAATAAATATAGTATGTATAAATCAAAATAATATGTCCAGCTTTTAGTTCCGTTGAATTACTATTAAGACAGTCTATATTGATATATCAGCTCTATAATTAAAAATGATATCTTGGTTTTCCCATAACTTATCAAGCCTATTTTTGAAACAGTTCGTGTTTGAGGCAGATACAACAGTTTCTGGTAATGTGTTCCAAATGCGTGCTGCTCTCACAGAAAAGTAATTACTTCTTAGTTTAGATTTAGCTCTTTGTGGAAAAAGTTTTTTTGAGTTTACTCTAACACTGTGTTTATCGGACATGTTCTCCCATAACTTTATGCATGTACAGCACTCTTTGTCGTACACTCCGCTGATCATTTTATATATCTCGATCATGTCACCTCGCAAGCGTCTATAGGCCAAGGTAGGCAGTTTTAGTGTTTTTAATCTTTCTTCATATGATAAATTCCGTAATTCAGGTAGGCACCGCGTTGCTCTTCTTTGAACATTTTCAATAAGATCTATATATTTGTATTTGTAGGGATACCATACTGCACTTGCGTAGTCTAGCTGGGATCTAACAAGCGATTTATATAATGGAATGAATAATTTGATGTCCATAAACTGGAAAGTTCTTCTTAGCATCCCAAACATTGAGTTAGCTTTTTTCACTTTCTCACTGATATGATTTTCAAAACTCAAGTCAGACTCAAAAATAACTCCAATATCTTTCTCCTTCGATGTTGTCTGAAGTTGATTTCCATTTAGATGGTATATAGCCATATCTGTATGTGTTCCTATACGCATATGTTTGCACTTGTCCGGGTGCATTTTCAGCAGCCACTCCTATAAATTATAAAACATTTTGTAAGCAATTTGTGGTACATAAATATCAGTAATTTTGTCAATCTCAATGGTGATCTAGAAATACAATGTAATGGATATTACACACAACATTGCATTCAATAATCCAATGTAGGGTGTTAAATACTATGTCTTTTGATTTTCATAATAATTAACCAACATACCTTTTATGTACCATACAAAATAAGTCCACACATTTACATAGAGTGGTCAAAAGTGGTACTATGCATCTGCTCTTCCGTTTGGCTCGAGATTTGTTTAGGTGCTTTGACTTAATTGCTCATTAGACATTTGTATTAGAAGTTTAAAGGACTTTAGTGGAAATGAGCTTTCAGGTTTCTGGATAATCCTGGTTTAAGCCCAACATATTTTTTAAAATAGAAACAGTTCATATTTGATAGTGCCAATGTTACCAAGTCTTGTCTTGTTTATTGACATACACGTTTTTACTCGCTAGTCATAGACAATGATATGGGGTTTGTTTATATATGAGAAAAATATGCAATTAATTACTTAATATGTAATAGGAAGGAGTAATGTCGTTGTTGGTTTTGAACTATTGACCCTTCAGTCTTTAGCTGGACACTCTACTGCTTTCCTACAGGGAAATTCCCACTAGCCAAAATTAGTAAGGTAGCCTGTGTTCTCAATTTCTAGACTACTCTGTCCTTCACAAAGTCTTCACTGACTGAGCTATTGCCACCTTGGCTTATTTTAAGATAAGTAGAAAATGTAACAGAAGGATGATTATTTCAGAAAACTTTTTGAAGATTAAATTGTTAATAAAAGAAGATGTATTCTGTGAAATATTCTTCATATGAGCAAGAAATGAAAACCATCAGAAGGGAAGGATCATCAATACCCAGATGTTATGATCTGTTATCATTTTATTAAGTCTGTGAAGCTATCACCAGTCACCAACGCCTAAAGGTTATGACCTGAAATCAGTCTAAAAGTCCTGATGATCATGACAGATGAAAACAGAGTGAAATTTCGTGGTATCACTTGTAATAATGGAAAACACTTTCAGTGGGCTCATGACCAAACAGTAAGCAAAGTAAACATTCAAGTCTACAATGTTTTTAGTAGTGCTACTTTATCTTCACCAGGAAGTGAATTACCATCAGTAACAAAACTTAACTTCTTAAATATATATTGGTATGTTCCAGGATGAAGTTCTAGAGGCGTTGCAATGGTTCTGTTGGACTAAGATCAAAAATTGATCATAAAGAGACTAAAAATGGCAGGCACAACAGTGTTCCTAGCAGGGAAAAAACAAGAGGATTCAAGTCTGCTCCTGCCATTACAGTCAGCAGCTATATTGTTTGTGACTGAATATTGTATCAGTGACAGAGCTGACTTCCATTTGACGTTGGTCGATGAAGGAATCAATCCATCTGCTTGTGTGACATTGAATCAGAATATTTTATCAAAGTACAGTCATGCTTTTACAAATTCGGAGGGAGGCTACCAGAACTGCGCTCTTCCAGTGATTGTGGAGGAAGAGGGGAGGCTGATAAGAGCAGGACTTTGCAGTATTATACGTCAGATTGTCAACATCGCCCAGAAATATTCTCCAGCTGATGAGTTTGAATTTTTGTTGGTGAGTTGCAAATTCAATATTTTGTGTATATTCTGACTTTCTATTAGTGAGGAACAGGGATACATAGCAGAGTTTCCATTCTTAGGGAAGGCTGAGATTTGGTTCAATGCTATGTGTCTGGATTTGTTTTCTTTTTCTACAAAAGATGAAGGTAGTTGTCCAGTTGCAACGATCCTTGGGACTCATGCTTTTCCTGTTGGACTCTTTGAAATTTTGAAAACCCACTATATCTCTTCGCAACTGGACTCCTAAAAATTTTGGAAATCACACTCTGGACTCAGCAGAAAAAATCTTACAAAATTACTGAGTTATTTAAGAATTATGCTATTGAATTGCTCATCGTAATCATTATATGTCAATATGTTTTAATTCAACAAATAGAAAGTAGGAAACTGCTTTCCCCTCCTATGCTTAGAGAGGGGTGAGGAGGGGGCAGCCCATTACTAAACACATTCAGAAAAAATTTTCTTTGGTTATTAGGATTGAAATTTTCGAGTATTCAGTTTTGGAACCAAGAAATTGAAATAAATAAAATATATTAAGATATATTGAACCCCTTCTCACTACAGATATTATTGCCATGGCTTAAATATCTATATGCAGGGCCTAGCTTCTAGCTTTTTGTTACTGCTATATTTTCCCAGTTTACGAGGGACACAGACTGCTGTAAAATCAGGAGAAGAAAAAAACCAGCAGCAGTACTGCCATTAGTTTCAGTATCTTTCCATATATTTCAGGTTAAATTGTTAAAGAGATCTCTTCAGATTGTAATTCTGGTACAGTTGTGGGTTTAGGATGTGAAATATTGATAAGAGGCAGTTGAGAACCTGACCATACTCATTCACGCATTTATATTATCAAACAAACTTTTTGTGGAAATGTTTTATGAGAAAAATGGTGTGAAATCTCACTAGGTTATTGACTTGTTACCGATTACAAAGTTGGTACAATAATGCAATGCCAAGGAGTTATACTGTAAAAGTGTATTACATTTACCAATCTCCTTACAGCTTGGTAATATTGCAACACAGCGTAAAGGTAATTACGAAGTGTAAGTGGAACTTGGAGGGTCTTAACTTCACACTAAGTATAAGTAGATTGTACAGTCATATGGTAACACCTCTTGTATATGTTGTATATAAAATGTTTTCTTTGTGAGTTCGGCTGTAATTAATGATCTAGGACAGGAAACTTCTTCACACCAGACAAGTTACAATTCAGCATCTGTGTATACATGAGTGGTTTTCTCGGGTCCTGAATTTTCAAGCTGTCAGATACAAGAATATACGATGTAGAATGGGGGGGGGGGCTGTTTGATAATACTATTCAGTTCAGTTTATGTCTCTCAGGAAATTGATATCAGGTATGAGATCACAGACCATCCTGGACTGTTTATGCAAATTGCTTTGGATAGCATGTAGTGAGCCTTCTGTATGTTGTTCTGTGAGGTAATAAACCACCAGCTACTACAATGGAGACCTCACCTCACATGGTGATAAATGCAGCAAACAAACACCAATGTCAAAACCTGATTAGATTTCAGTCAAGGTTAAAGTTGAAAGGTCACCCTTAACCACTTTCAAAATAAAAAAACTGGTGTATCTCATGAACATCTTGACAGATTTAATTGATATTTACAAGGTCTTCACCTGATTAAGAATTTGATGGTCATTATGGTCAAATGTCAAAGGTTCTTAAATGGATATTTTGTGTACATAATATCTTACAAACCCCATTTACTGTATATTCACAACGTTGCTTTATTCCATGGTTATCAGTACAGGTTAAAGTTGAAAGGTCACCCTTGACCTATTTTGAAATAAAAGCTTGTTTTCAAGATATTTCACACCTGAACAAGTTCATTTCATTGGTTATACATCACACTATCAAGTTCTACTCCAGGTTAGATTTTGTTGGTCCTCGGTCAAGGTCAAAAGTCACAGTTGACAACTTTTTGAAATAGCAAGTTTATGTACAATATATCTGATGCTGTATAATAGATTAACCATTAATAGATTCTAGTAAACAAAGATAAGGGGGTGAGTGTGAGGTTTATATAAGTCACAGAGGGGTTAGGATGTATATCTATGTAACCCCTTGCTCATTGTGTTTTCAGTTTACCAGCTGATACTTTCAACAGTAAGTCTTTATTGTATGATTATTATTTCACAGGGATTCCGTGGTGGGAGTTTAAAGGCCTGTGCTGAGGTAAGTTTTAAATAATTTGATTTCAATTCCTTACCATTTGTCTTAAATGATGTGTCCTTATGATCCTTGTGATCAGTTCAATTGGGATGAATCCTTACTGATTAATCTAAATTCTTAAATAAGGGTTATGTAATGCCTATCATCATCAGATGGTGAGCATTAGAATGGGATATTGTGCTTGTGTAACAGAGGTCATCATTTATTTCAAGCCTCTGCTAGGAATCAAACCTGGGACCCCTGGCTTACTAGTCTGACACTCAATCAATCGAGCTAAAGAGAAGTTCTCTCTAGCTGAGCGGTATTTTGAGGCTTGTATTTTACCAGGGTTACACTTGTTTTATGTATATTGTTTAAACACTTGACTGTGTCTCATATTGAAACCAAAATTAAAGATCTAATCTCCAATAAACACAAGCATACTAACTATTGCTTATTTTGATGAATTTGTGGACACATATATGTCAACAAAATTGTATTTCCATGATCACAAATAAATGCATGGTATATACAAATATAGTTAGTCACAGCCACTTTAGCCAGACCTGGGAAATAATTGCTAATGCATCAAAATTTCTGTTTCAAAAATGTCGATAGTACTGTATTTATTCATAGATGGGTCTGTATATGAACATTACTGTATGTATCCATCAATAAGCCCGGTTCTTCCCAGATCTATTAAGTTTAGTAAAAATGTGAACATGTGTTTTATCATTATCTTTCATGATAAGCCCAGTCCTTGACTTTGAATCAGGTATGTTACCTCCCTTGGGCTTGTTGAAGGACAGATATATGTATATAATAGTAATCCTGTCCTTGGCATTGAGATGTGTTGTTGTCCACACACAGGACTGATTGATGAGTGTGTAGGTTTCAGGCTGGACCAAGTTATGTGAAGTGGACCTCCCAAATAGCATCACAGAATTGATCCAACAAATCAGGTACACCTTATGTATATTACATTTGAAGTAGATTAATGTTCAAATAATTGATGACAATGAAATTATGAAAGGATAATATATTGTAGTGGTAGTTAAAATATTGTATGAAGGTCAAGGTCAACAGTACATGACAGCAAGTGTGAGTCTTGTATCAATGTCAAGGTCAGCTGTTCTAGTACTTAACAGTGCTTGTGAGTAGGTCAAAGTCTACCATGGATAATAACCAGTATTTATATTCAAACAGGGATGTGGAGCTTTCTCTTCATTTTCCTCATTTCATTTATGTTCCCATTTCATCCCTAAACACTGCCTGTCAATTTTAAAAGCTGAGTCATTTTATATAGAAAGTGTCTGGTGTCTTTTGTGAATGTCATGATCAATATTGCATAACAAGAATCTTGTTTGAATGTATAGTAACTCGAAAATGTTTACATTTTAGGGAGATTGAAAAGGCTGACAGTGAGGACACCCAACAGATTGAAATCCCAGAAAATGTTGTGAAACTAGAAAGCCATTTAGAGACACCAGCCAAACTTCATAACGATGACAAGCATAAAAGACGTCTGTTGTCACAAGTGATTAAAGAAGCAGAGGAAATTGACAACTCTGATGTTTCTCAGTTTAAATTGCAACGAGACTATCCATTGACCCATTGTGTTTGTAGAATCAGTTTAAAATCAAAGGAGGTGTTGGAATCAGAAAACAATAGTAATTTCTGTGAAAATGGTATAATACTGAAAAATCAGGAACTTAGGAATGGGATTCAACAAAAGTCATTTGATGGATGTAATACAGAGAAAACTTTCCAAAGTGTTGAGGAACTTACAAGCTTTCTGAAGACATTGACTCTGAGGGATGTTGATCTGATTCATTTGTATGCAGAAGGAAATACAATCACAGTGGCAGATCTCATCCTATTCTCATTTGTATTCCATTTGTTGGTAAGGCTAATATTATTACAATGTAAACCTTAAATTTAGGACTAATTCATACTTTTAATTGTTAAATGATGATCATCACAGCTGAAATTAAGTTACAACAGTTGTTAAGGGATTTTCAGGGAAAGGAGTTTCTATCAATTGGCTGACATAGTATACTTTTTATGCTCTTTGAAGGGAGAGCATATAGTTGCTGCTTTGTCTGTCCGTCCGTCTGTCATAATTTTGTCTGGAGCATAACACAAAAACTGTAAAAGATATCAACATAGAACTTCATAGATAGATAGATCATAGCAAGGAGAAGTGCAGTGCAGAAGAACCATCACTATTTTGTATAATTTAGGAGTTATTGCCCTTTGTTATTTTTCTTACTTAAACTTTGTCCGGAGCATTAGGCTGCAACTATAAGAGGTATTACCATGAAACTTAATTGGAAGATAGATCTAAATGAGTAGGAGGGTAGTGCACAAGAATCATAACTCTTATTGCCCTTTGTTATATTTCATACTTAAATTTTGTCCCAATTAGGGAGCATGACATGTCTTTTACAGCCCTTGTTTGGCTTATAGAGTGTTACAAGTCATAATTAGAAGTTTGTTGTAAAGTTATGAAGTTGTAAAGGACAGCATTGATATGAATGCAGAAGCAGGGCATCTGTCTGCATTTATTCTGTTACATCCTATTGTAGATGTATTGTAGTATTGTTGTTTTTTATTTCAGGACTTAAGATCTAAATTGATATATAAAACTAACTTTTTATTTGCAGGAGGTTTTATCTTTTAACATTCATTGCCTCAGGAGTCACGTTCCAAATATTGTCTCCTGGATTAAACACATGATCACCTTACCACGAATACAGGAATGTGCAAGGAATTGTGGGTACAAAGTTAACCTTTTAGATGTGTCGAACACTTCAATAGACTCTAGACTCAGGAAATCAAGTCTTTATTTTGTTTCTCCGCCCCAGGAGCAAGAAACACAGGAGGACGACCTAGAACTAAGGTACTGTCGACTATATATCATGTGCGATTTACATTTGGCAATAGAAACTCATTTGTGAAAGTTCATAGCTTATAGTTAACACAGAGATGATAAACATTTAATTCCTTACCTTAAGTCTCTCTGTGCCAGTATTGTATAATACATGTATTGTCTAATTTGTTAAAGTTACAGCAGTCTCATTGTGATCGAAAAATCTCAGAGGTTAGTTAATGCACTCTTTAAAAATGGTTTAGAGTACTTGATGATATTTTTAATGTGATTATATCACTTTCCAATCAGAGAGTGTAACACATTCATTAAAAAGAAGCAAACAGCCTGATGTAGGATGTACCAATCTATAGTTAGAAAAATAATGAAGATCCTGTTAAACTCCTTTCAAGACAACTACATCAAGTGTAGATAAACCTATATTTGATAATTAATAAGTAATATTCTATTTCTGTATGAATCAAAGAATTTATTCTATTTTTGTAGTCGGAGATGTAGAGCCAAGTCTCGGGCCATCAAACCAGAAGTTGCAAGTGCACTGGAAAAGGTCAAGGTAAAAGATTAAGAATATGTCCTTGATCACCTGAAGTAAATCACCCATCCCCTCCATAATTTATTTCTTTTGTATCATATTTTTACCATCAAAACATGACGACAATGCTCATCGGCATCAGGGTGGCACTAAGCGATGTGCAAACAGTTCATTAGTACTGTCCAGGGTCAGTATTTACATTTCGAATAATGCAGGATTTCAAGTTAACTGATTTCAAATTAAATGAGGTGGAAATACTAAGACAATGAAGACATTTGATGGGGATTATTTTTTTATTTCAAATAAACCGTTTTTTCAATATAACCGAGTTCAAGTTAAGTGGGTCCAATTATGTTTTATTTATTGTTTTTGCTGCAAATTAAACTATTATTCGTAAGTTTAAGTTTTGTAATGGCATTCAGAAATAGAAACCACGGCAAATACAAGGCACCAGTTCTTTCTGTACACCTTTACTCACTGATGCTTTCATATTAACTTAAGTTTGACATTTAATCTTAGTGGGCTTCTAGAGAAAAATATATTTTCACAGTATATATGCAGATGCTAAGTCTGGCTATAATGACATGTGGAGGACACAGTGATGATATGAAGTTTCCAGACATTACATTGACCACATTACAAATTCATAATTGGTTAATATGATGAGAACTTTTCAAATTCTAGGAACTAATTGGAATGATCAGCTGATGAGAGAAATGCATTATAATTTGTCTAGGAGGGCGAGATCATTGTAGAACTAGGCCAACACCCGTGTGGAGAAGCAGTTCAGTTAGTGTGGGATGGAATTCCTGAGGGGGTACATCCTGGAGCTGGTGAGTAATTGTTAACCAACACCCTTGTGGAGAAGATGTTCAGTTAGTGTGGGATGGAATTCCTGAGGGGGTACATCCTGGAGCTGGTGAGTAATTGTTAACCAACACCTTTGTGGAGAAGATGTTCTATAAGTGTGGGATGGAATTCCTGAGGGGGTACATCCTTGAGCTGGTGAGTAATTGTTAACCAACACCCTTGTGGAGAAGATGTTCTATAAGTGTGGGATGGAATTCCTGAGGGGGTACATCCTGGAGCTGGTGAGTTACTTTTAACCAAGCAGAGATATAGTGAAGTTTGCAATATAGCCAACAGTGTGTAATGGTATACTTTAGCAGTCTGGCAGACAAAAATGAAAATTTACTTAATTTTTTTATCTCTTGGATAATAACCCCATGCCTAGTTATAAAGCTAGCCCACCACCATTTTTTGCTGTTTCAGTAGAGATTCTGACAAATGTTTAACTATGAACCATTTTTATTACCATCAGATGGTGGGCTATTGAAATCCCTATGTCCGTGGTCTGTCGTCCATCCACAAACTGTTATTGTTATTGCTATTTCTTGAGAAGAACTGAATGGATCTTGCTCAAATTTTATATGACGGTTCTGCTTGGTCTCTAGTTGTGCCCATTTGATTCTGGTACTAGTCAGAAAAAGAAAATGACCAACAGTGGCCATTTTAGATTTTGACTTCGAAAGTTTGTTATCTCTATTTTCTGAGAAATATTGCATAAATCTTTCTCAAATTTCATGTATTGGTTCCTCTTGGTCACAAGTTGCGATTGTCTGATTTGGGACTGATCAGAAAAAAACAAAATGACTTTTAGGCAACTTTCTTGGATTTGAAAGGTAAAGATTATCATTGATATTTTTGTAGAGGAATGTTCAAATTTCTTATCATTAAGAGAAAAAACAGAGAAAAGAAGGGAAATTATCCAAATAAAACAATGGTGGTCACCAAGATCCCTTTAGGATATCTTGTCTCATTGTTACTGTTTTGCAATGTCAACAACAGAGTAAGTTTAGGAGATTAGCTTTCGCAGAACAGACTGACACACACACACACACACACACACACACACACACACACACACACACACACACACACACACACACACACACACACACACACACACACACACACACACACACACACACACACACACACACACACACACACACACACACACACACACACACACACACACACACACACACACACACACACACACACACACACACACACACACACACACACACACACACACACACACACACACACACACACACACACACACACACACACACACACACACACACACACACACACACACACACACACACACACACACACACACACACACACACACACACACACACACACACACACACACACACACACACACACACACACACACACACACACACACACACACACACACACACACACACACACACACACACACACACACACACACACACACACACACACACACACACACACACACACACACACACACACACACACACACACACACACACACACACACACACACACACACACACACACACACACACACACACACACACACACACACACACACACACCACACACACACACACACACACACACACACACACACACACACACACACACACACACACACACACACACACACACACACACACACACACACACACACACACACACACACACACACACACACACACACACACACACACACACACACACACACACACACACACACACACACACACACACACACACACACACACACACACACACACACACACACACACACACACACACACACACACACACACACACACACACACACACACACACACACACACACACACACACACACACACACACACACACACACACACACACACACACACACACACACACACACACACACACACACACACACACACACACACACACACACACACACACACACACACACACACACACACACACACACACACACACACACACACACACACACACACACACACACACACACAGCTTTAGTGTAATCACATTGCCAAATATCTAGTTTCCTTTCCTGAGACAATGTATTGCCAAATATCTACAGTTTCCTTTCCTGAGACAATGTATTGCCAAATATCTACAGTTTCCTTTCCTGAGACAATGTATTGCCAAATATCAATTCAACAATTACAATCATGAACATTGTACATGAAACAATAAGATGGCTTACAGTAACATGGTTCTGTAATAAGGCAATCTCCCTATTCTTATAAAGGGATATAAGGCTTCATGTTGAACTTACCTTAATCCAGTTGGCATTCATATCTCCCATAAATGCCAACAAAAACACTTGTGTAAATTATTTTCAATAGTCATCTTGCAATAAAGAGAGGAAATCTCTGTTTTACATTACTTTCTGTACCATTGGCAGTTCATGACCTCGTAATACACAACTTATTTTATTTACATATTAGGAATGTAATACAATGGTAAATACATTGGTATAAACAGTCAGACTTTGTTTGTTTCAGACTTGCCAAAGAAGCGCCTTATGAGGAAATGTCAGCAGTTAGAGAATTTGGTGACCGCTGTCCAGGCCTTAGCTAAACCGGGGAACATCATTGTGGACTTTTGTAGTGGAGGGGTCAGTTACACATGTCCCATAACTTTGTTCTGTGTTCTGATTGAATAATCTCTCATTTTTGTAGGTTAACAATTAAATTTTCAATCACTTTAAGGTTCAGAAAATTATTACTGTAAAATAGAAAAGCTATGCTATATATGATAGTATGTGTGGGTCAGCTCACCATCTACAACTTTGAGAATTCAATCTTTCTCATGGCAGGGACATCTTGGATTGGTCATAGCCTATCTGATGCCAGATTGTAAGGTGAGTTTTTTGTTCCTATTGTTATGTGATGTAAATTTGTTAAACATAAGAAATTATGACATAGATATTTAATAATCTGCCTTTATAGCACACCAGGTAATATATGCTTTTGTTTTAATACCTGCATCACTTGTTTTGAAAATATCTTGACTTTGAATGGAATTTAACTCACATTTCCAAAAAAAAGTTGAGTTTTCATGAATAAACGACATTTTCCCATTTTACCCAAGTGTATTGATGGAAATCTCTAAATTTCCTATCCTCTGGCCTTTAAGAGCCCTCTTTTTAGTCTCAAAGAAGTGAAATATTCTAGTATTCGCCCTCTGTATGTTATTATGTTCTGATTACCTGTAGGTTTATTTGGTTGAGAACAACGAGTCGTCTTTGATGCGTGCCAAAAATCGTGTGGACAAGGCTAGTCTCTCTAATGTGACACTGTTCCAGGTGAGGTATAATTATGTATTAATGAATGGTGAATCCTAACTCTGATCTTAATTAGTTGTAATCAGCTTTTCCAAGTTTACATAATAAAATGTATAAATCAAAGAAGCATGTGTCAGAGCGTAGCCCACTTTATACAAAACATAATGCCATGGTTACCATGTCATTTACATAGTCAATGTCTCCAAAAAAATCTGAGTATAATGGTAACTGTTATGCAAACATTTTTTTAATCAGATCTGAGCTTCAATTTTAAATCTAATTTAATATTAATGCAGTCTTGCATGAATTATATACAAATGTATCGATTCATTCCTATGTTGCATCATTTTTATATCCCAGATTGAAAGATCAAGGGCATATTGGTTTTGTGCTGACTGTTTGTTGTCTGGTGGTGTCAAAATTTTTAACCATGTGACCTTGACCATGTCCTTTGACCTACATTGGAAAAACTAAAACAGTAGCCTTAATTTATTGCACAATGAACACACAGTGTGCATGCTATAAGCACATGCCTTAAACAAGTTTTAATATCCCACTTTGGAATTTTGTTGCAACCGGGGCATAGTGTTTCATGAACACATCTTGTTTCAAGCGACATTAAAATGTTTTCAGTGTCTGAAAATAAGTCCATGGCTGATTTAAAGGATTCCTTTATAGTTTTTATAGCAATGTCATGATATTGTTCTCCTATAAACCTTTCCAGAGGACGTTGAGTTGCAAAAGGATGATCCCCTTCTTAAACATGTGTCAAGCGATATGTTAATGTAGGCTACAAGTCTGTGACAATACTATTTGAAAATAATTCACGTTTTTTTTTACAAATTTATAAGTTCTATATTGGTAAATGAAATGTTTGTTACCAAGTGTAACCAGGACTATTTCCGGGGAAGATTTGATGTTGGAACTTGTCTACATGCTTGTGGGTCAGCCACAGATATGGTCCTACATCAGTGTCTGCAGAACAATGCCAGCTTTGTTATCTGCCCTTGTTGCTATGGAGGTATCCAGAACACACACCTGATGACTTATCCCAGGAGCCAGTATTTTAAGTCTGCCAACATTCCATCTAAGGTAGTATCGACAAGCTCTATGCCAGAAGTTAGATAATTTGTTTATAAAACTCATTGATATGTCTATTTGCACAATCTAAAATTTTGTCTTTTACTGTAAAGCTCACTACACCACACATGTAAGTTACAGTAGGTAGACAGGAATTAGCTTATTTGGTAAGGCTAAAACTTCTGTGTGCTCAAAGTTTGTTAACATGTAGAAATGCTCAGATGAAGTTTTGTGTTACACTTCAACACTATTTAAGGGGGATTAAGAGTTATGGATTAACCTCTTTGTCTATCTTTCAAGATCTTTTTTATGTTAGTAACCACTGTGATATGTGCCAGGTATCGTTTTCTGTAACATGTGATTAGCTCTGTTTCTAGTGTATGTGAATAATACATTCTTGCGTGTGTTAGATTTTGACAAAATTTTATTGTGTTGTTGTCATCTCATCCAAACAGGATTTTATTGTGTTGGGTCATGCAGCAGATCAGACAGAATTTAATCGAGACCTCGAGGAGCAAGGTATGTACAGAGACTGATCTATAGGAGCAAAGTGGATTATGACTTTTGCTACAGGGCTCTTTAATGAAACGAGTTTGAACACAAATTATATTGATCTTCAATCAAAATGATTTTCCTAAAAATTTTTAAAAAAAATGTTTTTTTGGTCACAAACCAAAACGAAGTTAATGTGACCCACCTGTTCAACACTGAATCAGAGTAAACAGAATGCTTATTTAACCATTGCTATCTCTAAAAAAAATCTTCAGAATCAATTTTAGGTAAAATTCTGTTATTGCAGGTAAATATTGCATGAACCTTGTGGATACAGACCGAGCCTCACTAGCCAAAGAGAGTGGATATACTGTAGATTTGTGTTCTCTACTTCCACCATCATGTACACCTAAAAATAACATCCTGATAGGATGTCAAAATGCAGTGTCCTGAAGGACAGCTAGGTCCTAATATAGCAGTGTCAAAGGACCGTCCTAGTGAATGGCATCTTCATACTAGGACATGTGATATCCTCTTAGGACATCCTAGTGTGGAATCTTCTTTGGACATCCTAATGTGGAATCATCCAAGGACATCCTAGTGTGGAATCTTCTTAGGACATCCTAATGTGGAATCTTCTTAAGGCATCCTAATGTGGAATCCTCTTAGGACATCCTAGTGTGGAATCCTCTTAAGACATCCTAGTGTGTAATCTTCTTAAGACATCCTAGTGTGGAATCTTCTTGGGACATCCTAGTGTGGAATCTTCTTAAGACATCCTAGTGTGGAATCCTCTTAAGACATCCTAGTGTGGAAACTTCTTAAGACATCCTAGTGTGGAATCTTCTTGGGACATCCTAGTGTGACATCTTGTTACATCTTAAATGTGCCATCTCCATAGGACATCCTAATGTGCCATCTCCATAGGACATCCTAATGTGCCATCTCCATAGGACATCCTAATGTGCCGTCTCCATAGGACATCCTAATGTGGAATCTTCTTAAGGCATCCTAATGTGGAATCCTCTTAGGACATCCTAGTGTGGAATCCTCTTAAGACATCCTAGTGTGTAATCTTCTTAAGACATCCTAGTGTGGAATCTTCTTGGGACATCCTAGTGTGGAATCTTCTTAAGACATCCTAGTGTGGAATCCTCTTAAGACATCCTAGTGTGGAAACTTCTTAAGACATCCTAGTGTGGAATCTTCTTGGGACATCCTAGTGTGACATCTTGTTACATCTTAAATGTGCCATCTCCATAGGACATCCTAATGTGCCATCTCCATAGGACATCCTAATGTGCCATCTCCATAGGACATCCTAATGTGCCATCTCCATAGGACATCCTAATGTGCCGTCTCCATAGGACATCCTAATGTGGAATCTTCTTAGGACATCCATGTGGCATCATCAATGCCATTATGAAGGCCATCCTAATACTGGAAGTGACATTAATGGCCTCTTCATATGGTACATTATTGCTAACTGTATCATACAACATACAAAATTACAAAAGTATATCATCAAAGTAGAGCATTTTAATTTGACAGTTTGCTGTGTTGATTCAGGAGCCTTCAGTAACACAGACATCACATGAGTGAATTCGAATTTGTGAACAGAACAAATTGATTTGGACATTTCCATTGATTTATTCATACTGTGATATGTGATTATGGTATTTTCCAGGTTTTAAGCTGCACCAATGTATATAAGCCGCAAAGCCCCTTTTTTACAATTTTTTTTTATTTCATCCCCGTATTAGCAGCACCCTTTCTTACAATGTAGAAACCGTTATGTTGAACAAAGTTTGTTGATATAACGGACAACAGAAGGCAATTCATCAAGATCGTCAATGAAACAGTTTGAAAATTAATTATACATGGAAAATCCTTTATTTTACTGACGTGTTTGAAAAAATATAAGATAGCAATTATCAAACTTGTTTAGCTTGGAAGCCTCCAGAGGTTGTCTACGCACTGATATAGGGCCCGACATTACATACGGTTTACTTAACAATATCTCCATCTGTGTCTGTACTGTTAAATGTTAGCAAGGCCCATGCATAGTCCCATGTTATTTCTCATAAGTTACACAAAACCATTCTTATCGTAAACAAGCATGGAGGTCTTTATATAATTTGACCTATGACCTGATGACTTATCACTTCCAAAGCAAAGTTCAGAAGATATAATTGTGATTCATATTAAAAGTATGATTTATTAAATTCACATGATGTTATTATTTCAATCTTTGCATCATTCTGTATATGATTGCAAAAGACGGCTCTAGACGATCTGATATAATGGTATGCTTTTTTTTTTTTTTTTCATTCTGTTTAATTTTTTTCATCCACGTATAAGCCAAACTGGCATGCCCGACAACAAAGGAAAAAAACTGCGGCTTATAATCTGGGAAATACGGTATGTGTTTTAAAAGTACCAATTAAATAAATACAAACTTACCTACTTCTCGATTTTCTTTAAGACATAAATAACTTTTATTCAATAACTTAGGGTGTTGTTCTTCACACCCAAATTACTTACAAGACAAAAGTGCATTATACACTAATCAGAATTTCTCCGTTAGAAAAAGTTACATTACAAAAAATTAATAAGTAAAACTAATAATTTCAGAAATACACAAAGATATTATAACTCATTACAATATCAGAGAAATCCAATATAGATCCATAGAGGGGGGGGAATTATTACTATAGATATACATGTATACTGTACACTCACGGAGTTAACACGGTGCTAAATCTTGATCAGAATAGAAATATTATCTATGATGTATTAAAACGTATTTTATTTTTCGATTAATAATATTAATACTATTTTAATAATAATAATACAAAATTCATATAAGGTAAATACTGAATGTTTAATTTTCATTTATCAACAAAAAACATACTACAGAAACCTTTAATGAAACTTGATTTATAATCTTTTACTTAAACAGTTAACAAAAATACATGATTCACCTCTAAAATGTGGCTGTATAGTACCATCCACTCAGTAACACTTCTCCACTAGTTAGATATAGTGATGGGATGATGCTCGGATATAATCAATCATCTAATTGTTTAACCTCATCTCTTGCTATGTTCGATTACAATTTCCATAATCAATCATCAGAACCTTCGTATTTTCCATGAAAAATATATCATATTAAATATAATAAAGATGCTAACTGCCAATTCATTTTTATGTTAATTCAACGTAAGTGAAGTATTTTAAGTTAAAATTAACAAAAAAATAAAAATATTACTGTAATGGAGAATATATTCCCTTTCTATGAATATTGAATTCAGTCAGCCAATAATTTAATCGATTTACTACATCAAAAAGCCATTTATGGATTTTAACGAATTATCCATCACTATTATCATTATCATCTAGTCTTAAATCTGCATGGTGTCACAAGTGACTGCAGTCCAAAAAAACCTGCCCCTTAATGATATATAGAATATAGACAATATCCTGGACAGAAGATTTTCAGTGGATGTTAAACTATCAACCCACCTTCATGGATCATAAATCACACAATCCAGTCACCACTTATCCGGTTACCTCACTGTCTAGCCACAGTAACACTGATAGGGAGTGGTTACCTCACTGTCTAGCCACAGTAACACTGATAGGGAGTTGTTACCTCACTGTCTAGCCACAGTAACACTGATAGGGAGTGGTTACCTCACTGTCTAGCCACAGTAACACTGATAGGGAGTGGTTACCTCACTGTCTAGTCACAGTAAGCACTGACAGGGAGTGGTTACCTCACTGTCTAGTCATATTAAGCACTGATAGGGAGTGGTTACCTCCCTGTCTAGTCACAGTAAGCACTGATTGGGAGTGGTTACCTCACTGTCTTGTCACAGTAAGTACTGATAGAAGTGGTTACCTCACTATCTAGTCACAGTAAGCACTGACAGGGAGTGGTTATCTCACTGTCTAGCCACAGTAAGCACTGATATGAGTGGTTACCTCACTGTCAAGCCACAGTAAGCACTGATAGGAGTGGTTACCTCACTATCTAGCCACAGTAAGCACTGATAGGAGTGGTTACCTCACTATCTAGCCACAGTAAGCACTGACAGGGAGTGGTTACCTCACTATCTAGCCACAGTAAGCACTGATAGGGAATGGCTATCTCACTGCCTAGTCACAGTAAGCACTGATAGGAAGTGGTTACCTCACTGTCAAGCCACAGTAAGCACTGATAGGAGTGGTTACCTCACTATCTAGCCACAGTAAGCACTGATAGGAGTGGTTACCTCACTGTCAAGCCACAGTAAGCACTGATAGGAGTGGTTACCTCACTATCTAGCCACAGTAAGCACTGATAGGAGTGGTTACCTCACTATCTAGCCACAGTAAGCACTGACAGGGAGTGGTTACCTCACTATCTAGCCACAGTAAGCACTGATAGGAGTGGTTACCTTACTATCTAGTCACAGTAAGCACTGATAGGGAATGGCTATCTCACTGCCTAGTCACAGTAAGTACTGATAGGAGTGTTTACCTCACTATCTAGTCACAGTAAGTACTGATAGGGAGTGGTTATCTCACTGTCTAGCCACAGTAAGCACTGATAGGGAGTGGTTACCTCACTGTCTAGTCACAGTAAGCACTGATAGGGAGTGGTTATCTCACTGCCTAGTCACAGTAAGTACTGATAGGAGTGGTTACCTCACTATCTAGTCACAGTAAGCACTGATAGGAGTGGTTACCTCACTATCTAGCCACAGTAAGCACTGACAGGGAGTGGTTACCTCACTATCTAGTCACAGTAAGCACTGATAGGAGTGGTTACCTCACTATCTAGCCACAGTAAGCACTGACAGGGAGTGGTTACCTCACTGTCTGCTTTAACTCCTTTATCCCAATATCAACTTGACAGTCCTTATTAATAAAGCCTCCACTGATCCTGTGACCTCTCTGTTGTGCATTGTTTATCCTTTCACCAATAATCTTGTTGTAGTAATGTCTAGGCTTTAAACCTAGTCTTATCTTGTTCTCCATCTTTATTAACTTCATTCAGTGGAAACAAATGGGTTGTTCCCCTTTCCTGCTATCTAGGCTATATTACATAGTTTGTGACGTAGAGTTGAAGAGAAGCTGTTAACATCAGTTTGAAATCATAGGGCTCAGATTTAACATGTTGGCTGGACACAGATTTATTTTACTTTCCTTTAAAACATCCTTTTAAACCAAATAATTCATAACCCTGTTGCTGAAACTTGGAACGAAAATGGCCCATTTTCCTGACTCCATATGCTTAAATAGTTGACATTAATCTGTCCTTGTTAGAAAGAAATTGCTGTAAAACCTAAGTCCCTCTACTGTTTCATCTCTACATATTCCACCAACTTTCTCCGTCAACAATAACCTGTAATAGTAATTATAAAAAAATGTTTAATATAGCAGGCAATTACTGATGCAATGTTGTTCTGATGAGGTAATCACTTTCATGCATTGTTATAAGTATACATTCATTATTTATATTACACATGTCCATGAAAGTAATTACATCCTATACAAAGCTGTGAAAATTATTAGTTTCTATACAAGAAATATCTGACAACTTTTACTGAAATATATATGCAGTCAAAATAAGTGTAAACATTTTATAAACTCAAACAAATAGCAGCTGGAAACTGTGGTGAATTACATAGACCTAATGGCAGTTTACGAAAAGTTTGACACATTGTACAAGTTTAATTTGGATTATACAAATGTAGATATTGATGAAAACACTAGTTCTTGGTCCAGACATATTTTGTTTTCATTATTTTTGGATAGGTGACGGTTAATAGGCACCAGTGGAATATTTTGTTCATAAGTTTTAGATAGGTGACGGTTAATAGGCGCCAGTGGAATATTTTGTTCATAAGTTTTAGATAGGTGACGGTTAATAGGCACCAGTGGAATATTTTGTTCATAAGTTTTAGATAGGTGACGGTTAATAGGCACCAGTGGAATATTTTGTTCATAAGTTTTAGATAGGTGACGGTTAATAGGCGCCAGTGGAATATTTTGTTCATAAGTTTTAGATAGGTGACGGTTAATAGGCGCCAGTGGAATATTTTGTTCATAAGTTTTAGATAGGTGACGGTTAATAGGCACCAGTGGAATATTTTGTTCATAAGTTTTAGATAGGTGACGGTTAATAGGCACCAGTGGAATATTTTGTTCATAAGTTTTAGATAGGTGATGGTTTTTAGGCACCAGTGGAATATTTTGTTCATAAGTTTTAGATAGGTGACGGTTAATAGGCACCAGTGGAATATTTTGTTCATAAGTTTTAGATAGGTGACGGTTAATAGGCACCAGTGGAATATTTTGTTCATAAGTTTTAGATAGGTGACGGTTAATAGGCGCCAGTGGAATATTTTGTTCATAAGTTTTAGATAGGTGACGGTTAATAGGCACCAGTGGAATATTTTGTTCATAAGTTTTAGATAGGTGACGGTTAATAGGCACCAGTGGAATATTTTTTTCATTATTTTTGGAAAGGTGACTATTCTAGGCACCAGTGGAATTTTTTTTTTCATTATTTTTGGAAAGGTGACTATTCTAGACACCAGTGGAATTTTTTTTTATTATTTTCGATAGGTGATGGTTTCTAGGTACCAGTGAAATATAAGGTTAGAACATACCTCTCTTTAGACAATATCACAGATACACCTTGTAATTGGGCCAATTCTTCAGCAGTCAATGACGTCTTCTCTTCAACCTGTAAATTGGTGTACAGCATTTATTAAGTCTTTACAGCAGTGATGAGTTAGCATTGTAGAACTTTAATCAACCAAAGCAAAAGAGACCTAAGATAACTGGATATCAATTATTGGACTCAACGTCTGACAAGTGATTTGGTTAGTTAGTACGGTTAGTACATTTGATCTGTGTAAGAAATCCAATAGAACTCCTGAAACTCCTTGTACTTACAAGGTCTGTTACATCACTTATCACTTGTTCCTCGTCATGTGACTGTAGTTGTAGCACTATCACTCCACTGTCAAATACCTTTAATCTAAATCATAAAGAAACTTTATGTTAAAAATAGCACTTTTTTCTAAAGACACGTCTACCAGCAAAATGAAACCTCATGTATCTGGAGACATGTACTGGACATTGGATGTTGGAGACTTCTACAAAATCTACTAAAATTAAACTTTGTTTTACAACAATTGTGAAATAAGTTGATTCCAACTCATGATTGTCACATTTGTTGGGTTGGATGGAAGTTCACAACAGTTCTTGCTATTGGAGGAACCCAGGAAAACCCACGTGATCAGGTAAGTGACCCCATACCTTTTAACCCTTGATGGGGAATCAAGCCCTGGACACACAGGTGGACGGCGTGTGAATTATTGTCACCTGACCACCCAAAGATTACTGTCATGGTTGCCTATGTGTCAATGTTACAGTTCACATTAGCATAACCTATACTAGCAAAAATACCACTACCTCTGTATCTGTACTAATGTATTGAAATTATTTACTACACATCTGTACATCATATTGTTTGTAAAACTATCATAATATAACACTTAACTAAATTATTAGTAATTTACTGAAACATGAAACAAAGTTTATTTCTGCCAACAATCTGATTTAAACTAACTTTAATGATAATATGGTACCATAAAATTGACCTGGTTGAAGAGAAAATTTGATTTTGATCTTGACCTTTGCTTATTTTTTTTATTAGTTTTGCCTTTTTGTCATGAAAAACATTTAGTAAAAGGTGTAATATTTGACCTTGACCTTGTGTCCTTCATCCATACCAGGGCAACTTCTCATTTAATTTGATCAAACTCTGATTAGTATCATAGTCTTGAAACAAAATATCTTAAACTTTAAAGAAACAGAGATATTGACCTTGTACACCATGATCCTGACTCTATTCAGATAAGTTAACGATGGATTTGGATCAATTGTATGTATTTCAGCTAACCGACCTTGTGACCTCGGATCAGGCATTAGATTAAATTTATATTATTTCAAAATGTAACAAAATATGGAAGTCAAATTTGCCATAAGTTAAAGGTCACTGTGACTTCACTTTAGAGAGAAACACATACAACCTAAGGTTGAGCAGCTTTGTTTAAAACTTCATCAGTAGAATAATGAACATACCTTCAGAAGTGAGTCTAAAATTCATCATTAATTTATCATGTATATACATTATACTTGATATATTTAAAAGTAACAAATGTTGGAAGTTTGAACTGACCTTATAGGAAGACATAAAGTTTGCACTGACCTTATAGGAAGACATAAAGTTTGCACTGACCTTATAGGAAGACGTAAAGATTGCACTGACCTTATAGGAAGACGTAAAGATTGAACTGACCTTATAAGATGATGTAAAGATTGAACTGACCTTATATGAGGATGTTGAGATTGAACTGACCTTATTGGAAGACGTAAAGACTCTAACATTTCACATGCATGCAACATATCTTCCGGCGAAAGCAACTGTAAAGACAAAACAAAAATATGTTATAATCTGATACACATCTAAAGTACACACAACTCTCAATGACAGGATGGTAAATACAACAAACTTTATATATGTATCTGAAATATTACAATAACCAATGAAACATTTTATCATATCTATATCTGGTTTATGATCCATTGTTTCTGTAAGTAGTATGTGATGATCATATTTTGAAGGGGGGCTGTATGTACCCTTCTGCTGGAATATTGGTATATTCATTGTGCAAATGTTATAAAAACTAACAATTACACTTGAATTTGCCATTTGTTCTTTGTCAGAGGGAATTTTCAGAAATTTCTCTAATATGTATGACACCTACCTCCATTCCCCTTGCTCTGTTCACACGACAGTAAACATCAGTTAATGTCATAATTCCTCCACACTCCTGTTGTAAAATCAGTTAAAACTTACAAATTACAAGGATATATCATTTATATATCTATAAGTAAACATTCTGATGACTTAGATATTTTTAGTTATTGTTTATATGACTGCATTCAATATCTTAACATTCGCTAAAAGGACTGAAAATTATTATATAGCCTGGTGCCTATTTGAATATCCTAAGTCATTGTTCTAGACAAATACTGTAAGTCCTGTATGAATAACAGCTGCGGCGACTGCATGTAACCTCCCCAACCCCAAATCTTTATGAATACCAGAAGTTGTATTTTGAAGACCTTTGACAACTGTGTGTAAGACATTTTCTATGACCTTGATCAGTTGTATGGACCTGATATGTCCTGTTAAAGTACCTGCTGAAATTGATTTTCTACAACCTTGGAGAGATGTATGTATGCTGTGTATAAAAATACAAATAAAGTTGTTTCTCTAAGACCTTGGACAACTGTGTATTGCTGTATAAATACCTGAAGTTGTTTCTCTAAGACCTTGGACAACTGTTTTGCCAGCTCCGAGTAGTACTTGTCGCCTGTTCCATGTGTTTCTCTTGTCACAGGGTCGGGAATACCCATACTGAGTAAATAGGACTTAAACTTCACAGTCTTGAAAATGAAAACATATCATGCTTATACTGAGTATTAATCAGAAACAAAAGCAACAGGTTTCATATATCATCAAAAGTTCCACAAACATAAATCCTAATCAAGGATCATAAGTACACACATCATAATGTAATTAATATAAATCACTTGTCAGGCTTTGTAAGTATGATCCTTTTAAGCGAAACGTAAAATACACTTAAATTTATGCACCACCCTGCCCCCCCCACTTAAAAGAAACAAATCACTAAATTAATGATATGTAATGTAAACACCACATATATACTGAAGTTATGTTTAATTTTGATGAATCATGAAACATTAAAAAAAGGAATTGGAAATTCTTCTTCATTTCTAAAACTTCACTAAAATATAGCATTTATACCCCAAAAAATTCACTTTTCCCAAGGAAGGACATGACTACTTGTCTGATATGTTCAATTTTTACAGCACAAAGTAGGGAGGAGATACTTGATCCAATATGACCATAAACTAAATACTGAAGTGAACAAAATCTCTCATAAAGATTTTTAGTCATATCTCAGAACCTGAAATTTTTTTGTCTCAAAAATATATCAAATACTTCAAAACACTATCGAATACATTATGTGCAGTTTCTCAGCATCCCTAAATTTCTGAGTTTCAAATCTGAAAGATATTTTGTAAATAATGGATATGTTAAGGTGTCCACTTTGTGAGCTAGATATCTTCAAACTCGGAATTCTACCTCTTGAGCAGCAGAGCTAAACTTTAATGTAAAATGTTGACAACACCAGTCTTGCCTCAGTGACTCTTTGTCACAGGTGATAAAATATGGTTTGTTTATATTAGCACGAATTCCTCACAAACTCTAGATATGGGTTGAATTCTTTTTGGTGATTCTAAATTTCACAGTTTTAACAAACCTCTGAAGTGTAAAAAAAAAAAATTTTTTGTTGTTGCGGAAATCATATTAATTTTCATTTGTTTTTTTTCTCCAAGTGTATCCCATCCAAAATAAATGGCAAATAGATATAAAGATGTTGAATTTTTCAGAAAAAGAAAGCTTATGTCTAAACAACCTTGATAACTGAACTGCTTACGTCAGATACCATAATGCCATACCTAGCACGGAGGGTAGAAAATATATAACTCACCTCATCTTCTGTTATTTCTCCTTGTCGTTCTTTTATTTTAGTTGCTATCGTTTTGGATAAGTTAACCATCTCCTTTGCCTGTAACAGATATTACAAGTCTTTTCATTAAATATTAGTTCTACAATCTATGGTAGAATGGTAAAATTTCTGAAAGAAAAATGAATTTGAATATATTTTTTTATTTTCGAATGTAGAAAATATCAGAAAGGCCATGAAATAGCTCAGAGAGTTTAAGTTAAAATAATTTTTGTACGGACAGACATAACTATGGAATGCAGAACACTTCTCGACAATGTATACATTAGGAGTAGGGCAGCTCAGGGTTTTTCTTATATACACACAACTTAGTTTAGTTAAAGCTACTAAGGTATCCATGCAGTAGTGTAATGTTATGACTTTAGAGAGTTTGTGTGGATGAAATATGTAGCCATTGGAGACAGACTACAGATAAAACTTTAAGAAATTTAAGAGACACTGACCTTGATATTCATAAATAAGTCTGAACAGGTAGTATAGATACATCCTATGTCAACCTGTCAGCAGTTGTGTTTCATTTATACAACATGTTTCATACCTCACCTTTTCCATAAGTTTACTAAGATCTTCAAAAGCTTTAGAGATATCTTTATCTGTATCTTTCTGTTTTTGTTTCAGAGATCGTTCAATACCCATAATTCCTGCCCGGTGTTTCCCGCTCTGTAACAAAGTCATTGATATATGGAATGACATGAAAATGGTATGTTACATAGAACTAAAATAAATATATCATTCAATGAATTAGATTAAAGTCAAATGGTAAAATGAAAAATGTAAATACCTTAGTTCCAGGGACTGCTGTTGGTATACTTTGTTCCCATAATCTATGTTGAAGCTGTTCAGAAAATGCCTGATTAAACTGCAAAATTACGCAAGGGACACCATTAATGAGTGATAAAGTCCAAAACACACAATACAGTTCAAATTCTTGTGCATGTTGGAAAGACTTGGATATATGGGAGATAATCTGATATGTAGAGTAAGGGAGACAAAGTGTTTTACATAAGAAGGACAATCTGATGCAAGAAATATGACCTCATAGACAAAAGGGAAACAATCTGATGCAGATAATAACCTCACAGATAAAAGGGAGACAATCTGGTGCAGAAAATATAACCTCACAGATAAAAGGGAGACAATCTGGTGCAGAAAATATCACCTCATAGACAAAAGGGAAACAATCTGATGCAGATAATATAACCTCACAGATAAAAGGGAGACAATCTGGTGCAGATAATATAACCTCACAGATAAAAGGGAGACAATCTGGTGCAGAAAATATAACCTCACAGATAAAAGGGAGACAATCTGGTGCAGAAAATATAACCTCACAGATAAAAGGGAGACAATCTGGTGCAGAAAATATAACCTCACAGATAAAAGGGAGACAATCTGGTGCAGAAAATATAACCTCACAGATAAAAGGGAGACAATCTGGTGCAGAAAATATCACCTCATAGACAAAAGGGAAACAATCTGATGCAGATAATATAACCTCACAGATAAAAGGGAGACAATCTGGTGCAGAAAATATAACCTCACAGATAAAAGGGAGACAATCTGAAAATATAACCTCACAGATGCAGAAAATATAACCTCACAGATAGAAGGGAGACAATCTAGTGCAGAAAATATAACCTCACAGATAAAAGGGAGACAATCTGGTGCAGATAATAAAAAAAATATAAGACACTTTGAAGCATAGAATAGACGTTCTTGTAAAATAACCTGTAGAAGATTTAAGCATGACAATACAGTAACCTACATCAGATAAATCATTAATCACCAGCACTGACATACATTGCGTTCTGATGGCAAACAAGCATAGAAACTTAATTGTGTCCTACAGAATTGATAAGTGCACAAAATTGGCATGTGCCAGTTGAGCAAATATTTGCTGGTTCAGAGAGACAGCTGGCAAAGTGCCTTACTTGAATAAAATGTGCCAACTGCAAGCTTGACACCAGCAACTGGCTATCTATCAGTTGCACACAATACCATGTGCATAAGGAAAATAATGAAGTGTGATAAAGGAGATAATCTGATTTGATAAGGAAGAGTTTGACCGAGGTATCTGATCAGTGCAAAGGACACAACATGGATTTAAAATGATTACCAATTACTGCAGATTACCTCTAAATTTCTAAAACTTGGTTACTCAAAATGTTATGGATTCGTTAAAAAGCTCTAAATTTACCATGTAACATCTAATCCATCTCTTACTACTGTGTCACTACAGCTTAAACTCTAAAGGATTTTATGCTTCAACTAACAACAATAGTTATAAACATAAATTACCTCTCTTTCGCCCGCTTCCCTGAAGGAGAGTCTGATGAAACTGTTGACACTATGAGCCACAGGTCCAGGAGGTTTTTGACTTGGTGCAGCATTTAGATGGACTACTATCTTGGCACTGACAAAAATGAACAATATGAAAATTTGAAATACTTATTCATACCATGTAGTCACCTGGTGTTTTGTTTAGGACTTGTTTCGTGTACATTATATATCAAGTAAAAGTATTTTCTCCATCAGTATAATTATCAATGGGAACATTCAAATCTGAATCCTGCTTTTGCTATTGAACCTTGATTTCTTTTCATGTGCTGGCTTTCCCCTCAATTCACTGATCATGAACACTAGTTCCTTCTAAATGTACTGAAAATTACTCTAAGAAGGTTCAACAATTTCAAAAACACATATGTTGTGTCTGCAGCAAACTATCAATTAAATTCTTTAATTTGGTACAGGACCCTGAAAGGGGCAGATCACTCTCACTTATTGCTTGAGATGGCATTGCAAGAAGATTAATGTAATATAAAATAACAAAACCTTTTAGCAAATCCTGATGCTTGTTCCTCCAGAAACACCACGAGGGACAGGTGTAATACCAAAATACGAGACTGCAACAAATTGAAGTGAAAACTTTCTTGTAAATATTTTCCTGTGAAATTTCAAGCAGAACACATTTCTGATTATAAGTGAATAAATAGCTGCACTAATTATTGGTTTATTATACTACTTAGCTAGAGAGACCTTCTCTTTAAATCAATCTGACCTACGTTACAACAATAACGAAAAATAGTTTTTTTAATTATTTTAACTTTTTGGGGGGTATTTCCATTTTGCTATTTCTTTTTTAGCAGACAAAGCCTTTTAGTATCATAAAGCCACTTATGAACAGCACATCCAGATATGATCTGCATAGTAATAAGTCCTTTCTATGTATATCTTTCATAGTACATAATAAAACATGCAGTACAACTTACCCTGTCCCTGATATCTTTCCATATTAGCTTATGTGTGGACAAAACCAGAATTCCATCTTGAAAAGAAGTCTGAAATATATCATTCACAGGAATTTAACACATATGCAAAAAATCCAAACTCAAATCTACATGTATCAACATATACTGCATAATGGTATTGTAGAGAAGACCATAATCAACTTGCTACATGTACCTCAGACAAAACCAATTCCTGATTATTTACAAATTTCTTCAGAATTCCTTATCTTGCTCTCTATCATTCTCTGAAATCTATTCTATCATCCTAGTTATTAGAAGAAAATTTATGACTTAAACAAGTGCTACTAAAAGATATGCACCAAGTCAATGGATATATTGTATACACAGTACATGGCTCATGATACGGTTTACATCTGTCAATGCATATTTAACAACCTAGTCACGTCCCGTCCTAATTAAGGCCAAACTCTGAAGTGATCAGCATTAATTTCTACAACCAAGCGCAATGTCAGCTTAACTGTTAGTTAAAAATGCTTACAATTTCCTGGTGATCACAGTTTCATTTGAGTTCTGACTAAACAGCTCAGCATACATAAGAAAACTCCATTTCTTTGTTTAAATCAAACTAGAACCAGTCAATCCAATTCGTTGATAACTTTATATAAAACCAGTTGAAACCATATTTTTTCATAATTTGAAAGAATGAAAATTAAACAAGTATACAATTTTTTACACCCACAGTTCCCATATTGCATCTAGTTACACAGTTAATTCTTAGAAGCAATAACTACAATACCTTATCATGGCCATCATACAGAGCCACACCTCGTTGCTGCAATACTTGTCGTTCTCCTGGAAGAAAACTATCGTCACCCCACTCAAATCTGTCCATTTTACTTCGCTTTCCGCATACTTCGAGGTCACATAAACGCTCTGAACATTACACCGACTAAATTAAGCTTTTGAAAGACCATTACAGATTCCAAATTACAAACCAAATACCGGAAATCTCTGCCACGACACTGGCTGTCATTTTCAAAATAATTTCAACATTCACAAATTATTGAAATGAAATAAAAAAAATGTCTTTGAAATAACATAGCAAAACTTTTAATTGAAAAAAAAACACGAATTATTAAAAAAAAAGATGCACCACTGTATTCAGGTCCTCTAATTTAGTATTATTACGTTATACGAGAGTGGTTAATAGATCTAGATTTATTGCACAATAAACATATGCATGTATGCACAATAGCAGACAATAATTTGTGTCTGGTAACTACGGGCGTAGCTAGCCAAGCAGAAATGTGTAAGCCCAGGCGAGAGGTCTGGGGGCCGCCTAGGCATCTTTGAAATCATGAAATGAAATTCATGAAATGAAATTCATGATTTCCAAAATGTTTTGAATCGTTTTCTGAGACAGTTTTTTTTTATTTATTTGACAAAAAATCAACCCCTGATATTTATTTTCAACCTTACTTTGGTAATTTTGTCCGACATACTCTATGCACGGATTTTTTTATGTGTAAGCCCGGGCTTTTTCTTTCTATAGAAGCTACGCCTCTGATAACTGTGGTTCAGTATATGTACTGGTATGCAAAACAGTTATGCACGCCATGTCTAAATCATATTGTTGATTTTGAATAACAGACTATGACTACACGTTTAAATTAACCCCATAAAAATATTTGGCAGTTTAACTTTATGTTGTCTCTGCCTACAGGAACTGTTGGTCCTCCATAGGCGGCTCTAATTCATCATATTTTGTGTATGTTGTCCTTCTGATGTCTGCTACATAGTGTTCCGTGTAATTCTATCTCAGTGGGTGTTTGTTCCAGTAGGCGTCTAGTCTATTTTTTAATTGGTTTGTTGTTGTTGCTGGCACTACCTGCCACGGGAGGCTATTCCAGGTATCTACTATCCTGTGTGTGAAGTTGTATTTCCTGAGTTCCCTGTTGCACTGCTGTTAATTAAGTTTTAGTGAATTCCCCCTGGTGTTCCTGGCTGTATTCAATTTCAGTAGATGTTCTGTTACTTTCTTATCATATATTCCCTGTATTATTTTGAAGACCTCGATCATGTCGCCTCTCATTCTTCGGTATTTAAGTGTTGGCATCTTTAAGTGTTTTAATCTCTCTTCATAGTTCATATCTTTTAGCTGTGGTAGCATTATTGTTGCCCTTCTCTGCACATTCTCTAGTTGCTCCGTGTCCCGCTTTTTGTATGGTTACCAGACCGAACTAGCATACTCCAGGTAAGGCCGAACTAGTGCCTTGAACAGAAGGCAGGAGGTTCTGTTGTCCAGGTATAAGAATATTCTCCTAATAAGTCCAACTATTTAGTTTGCTTTCTTGACCTGTAATTGTGTTTTTCAAATGTGAGATGGTAACTCCGATATCCTTTTCACTGTCAACGTTTTCCAAAATCTCTCTGCTACTGTCTTCTGTTAACCTGCTTCCCTTTATTTTTAATGGATAAGACCTCGCACTTATCTGGATGGAATTTAAGCAGCCATCTTTCACTCCACTTATATAGCTGGTCGAGGTCTTGGTGTAGTAGTAACGCATCACTGCCGTCTTTCATTTCTCTGAAAATTTTCGTGTCGTTTACAAACAAATATACTTCTGATAGTACCCAATCCGGTAGGTCATTTATAAAAATGCCAAATAGAACTGGCCCCAACACAGATCCTTGAGGTATTCCACTGGTAACTTCATGCCATTTTGACTGCGCTTCATTTACTTGTTTTCTGTTTGATAGAAAATTTTCCACCCAGACACATGATCTCTCATGTATTCTGTACATTTTCAATTATTCCATAAGTCTACAGCGTGGAACCTTATCGAAAGCTTTCATGAAGTCCATGTACACTGTATTTATGACTCCTCCTTTGTCTAGGATTTCCGTCCAGTTATCTATTACTCTCAACAATTGTAATGCAGTTGACCTCCCTCCGAGAAATCCCGATTGCTTGTCATTGCTTGAAAATTGGCTCATTAATCACACTGCGTAGCTCATGTAATACTTTTGGGTGCAATTTGTGTGGTCCTGGTGATTTCGTCACATTCAGCTTGGCGAATAGCTTATTTACTTCCTCTATTGTTATAGGTTCAATAGAATCCTGTGTTACATCATTTCCTTTAAATCTGGCATATTTTCACAGTCCTCTTCAGTAAAAACACTGCTAAAAAGTTTGCAAGCACCTCCTCATCCGCTCTAGCTATGAAGGTCCCCTCTTGTGTCTTTGTCTTAGATTTTCTCTCCGAGTTTACATACTTCCAAAAGTTTTTACTATTAGCTTTTGCAGACTCAGCCACTTGTCGCTCCTTTTTGTTTACGTTCCTTTGTTATTAGCGATTTAACCTTGTTTCTTGCCTTGCAATATCCCCTTTGCTTTTCTTTACTTTTATCTTGCATATACCTCTCCCATAGTCGGTGCTTTAATGTTACTCACTGTCTCCTTGCTTAATGGTATGGTATGCTTTGTATTCCTAGGTGTACTTTTGGGGATGCGTTTCCTCACTGATGTCGAGATCTTCTCTAGAAAATTATCCCACATATCTGCTGTGCTGGCATAGGAAATTATCTCTAATACATTCAACAAATTTCGAACTATTGGTATTCTTTGTACTCCAGTCAATCCAATTATATCTGGGAAATTAAAATCCCCTGTTATAATTGTATGAGTAAAGTTGCATTAACATGCCTTATTTAAAAGTGCATCTAGATTCTTCTCATTTGATGATGGACTTTTGTATATACATCCAAATAACAGTATATTCGTTGTATTCAGAGAAATTTTCAGCCTTACACTCTCTTCAAAATCAGTATTAAATTGTAACTCTGCCACATCCAGTTTCTTTGACACGTAAAAAATGACCCCTCTCTTGCTGTTACCTGGAAAGTTACTCAGGATTACTTCATAATTTAGTAGTTACAATTGCGCTTTGGTTAGAGTGTAGCTCCTATTTTTGGGAGAACCTCGGTTACTGCTATTATGTCTGGTTGGTTGTCTGCTAGAAATCTATTTTTGAATTCATCAAACTTATTAAGTAAACTGTCCGCATTTGTGCTTATACATTGTAGATTGCGTTTCATGCTAGATTTACCTTTCATATTTACATGTGATGGGTTATTTGGTTTTAGAACCTAATAAAATTGAACTATTTACCGTATTTACACTATTTACAGTGTTCGTTCTAGCATGTTTTAATTCATGCTGGTGGTTTATTGACTTTCTGGGATTTTCACGATTTTCCTGGCCCATGGAGGCCCTCTCACTTTGAATCGAGCTTCCCCGATGAATGTTCCTCTTCGCTTCCTCCCTCATTTGTTTTTTCTTTTCTCTTTCGGACTTTGTGAGATCGTTTGATATTCTAAAATTGCTGTATTTCTCCTCCGTTTGTAATCTTTTGATGTTCTTTAAGAGTCCTGCTTTAAATTCCTGGCACCACTTATATAACATATCTCAATTTCAGATTTCCTCAAGCCCAGATTTTCCTCAGCTAATATCGCCTTGAAAATATCTTGTATGAAAATTCCTCAAGGAATTTCAGGACATCCTAGCCGGTGCCTTCCTCCTGTTCCTTGAGAAAATTTTATACAAGCCGTTTTTGAGGAGATATCAGCTGAGGAAAATCTCGACTTGAGGAAATCTCAAGTTGAGATGTTTTATACAAGTGGGGCCTGGTTGCTTAAAATGGCCTAAATTTGTCTTATGGTTTTTCTTTCGTTATCCTTCTGTTCCTCCCTTCCTTTGTACTTTCCAAGTCTTACCACCTTCTTTATTGCATCCTTTACTTGTATGTTGCACACTTTCAGTACTTCCTTTACCACCTCATTATCATGAGTTTTCCTCGCCTCCTTGTCCATGGACTGCATTTCCTCCACCCCATAAATAACGATGTTGTTCTCTCTTATTTTTCTCTCGTTTATTTCATCTACTACAGAGTCGAATGCTTCTTCCTTCCTACCTTTAATGTAAGTTTATTCTGACTTGTGAACCTCGTCTACATTTCCTGGTTCCTGCTTTAGTTCATCTGATATTCTTTCCCTGACCTTGGCTTCATCACATTTCGTATCCACTTTCTGTTCAAACGTACGTATCCTGCTTTCGTACTCTTTCCTGATGGCTCTACATCTTTCCTCGATCTTAATGTCGGTGATTATGTTCTTCTCGGTGGCTTCTTTGCTTTGTAAACAAAACCACATCGCATCTGTACTCTGGAGAATTCTGTATTCTTCATCTGGCTTATTAAGACATTTTCTGCAGTAATGCAGTTTTACAATTAAATGTATTCTAATTTTCCATACTAATGAAGCTGTACATGCTAATTACCAAATGCCATGACCTCAATCATATTACACAAAAGTAAATGAAGATCAGCCACCGGAATAAACTGGATGAAATATCATACCCTTCATGTCACTCACCAGATATCATGAAATTGGTCTTTTTGGTTATTCGGAAGATGTAAATACTAATACACATTTGGCCTTTGTAATTTTGAAAGGTCAGGGTCATCCATTCAAACAAAGTTTATATTTGATATATGCTGTTATTTACTAATAGCCTATTAGCAGAGACGTATATATGTATTATATATGTCTCTGTTATTACATATATATACATAAGGGGGGTTATTAATGGTTAAATGTAGTTGGTTTTACATCAATGTATAGTGTACGTATATATGGATGTATCATAGCGTTGTGTATTACGACATGTCAATTAAGAATGCATGCTTTGACACCTGACTGTGGACTGACCAATAACTTGTGTAGGTCGTGACCTTAGACAAGACTTGCGTTTTTACCTGTGACCATGCCCGGACACTTCCATCCGAGATACACGCAGCGACGGTTCATGTTACATATATACTACACCTACGTC